CTACATCTTCGATGCGCCTCAGAACACTTCACAGAATATACTGGAAAGTGAATTGACTGTATATTTTGTGGGCGAAAGTCTGAGAAGAGAGAGCAGAGAGTGTGCATTACACCCGACAACTGTCTGTCACACAGTGAGGACCTTGCAACTCCAGAAAATCCTTGAGGATAGAAGGCGAGTTCCAACTTATTTCAGAGATAATTAAATATGTAGCAAGACCATGATGCAGCTTGGCTTTCTCCACAAAGCCTTCGCCCTGAATGCTCTCACCAGCAGTTTTATAGCATGAAACATGAGCACAAAAAAAAATGGTAACTGTAAAGGAGCAACTTCTTGGATCAACAAACCAGAAAATAAAGTTGGGGAGAAAGCAGCGAATGGGATTAGAGTAGAGAGCTCCAGTGGGGAGTGAGAACCAGCACAGACTCAATGGGGAGAGAGCAGAGAATGGATTGGAGTGGAGAACTCCAGTGGGATGTTACCAGGTATAAGTAGGTTAACTCGAGGTACGTGATTTCAGTTCTGAAGAAAGACTGGACAGGTTGCAGTGTTTTTATCTTAACTTGAGACGATTGAGAGGGGACCTGGTATATAAAGTTATGAAAGGATTCAATAAGGTAGATGTTGATAGGTTTAACCCATTTGTTCGTGATTCCAAAACCACTGGGCATAAATATAAGGTAGCTAACAGGAAATCAAACAGGGAGTTTAGGAGGAACATTTTCACTAGAGCTTGGTGAGAATGTGAAACTCAGTGCTGGAAACTGTGGTTGAAGCAGAAACCATCAATGTATGTAGCAACAACAACAAGAACTTGCTTTTATATAGCGGTCCTCACGCAAGGCAGCGTCGCAGAGCGCTTGACAGTAGCGGAGCAAGGCGCCAAGCTGGGGGGAGAGGGAGGTAACCGTAGGTATGGTCAAATACGAAGGTCTTCAGGTGCGACCTGAAGATGGGGAAGGAAGGGGCAAGGCGGAGGGATAGAGAAAGAGTATTATAGAGTTTTGGGGCGTAGTGGCTGAAAGGGCTCAAGGGGCATGCAGAAGGAAGGAGCCAGTCAAGGGGGGGCAGCGGGTTGTGGGTTGGGGGTTAAGCAGGTTGGAGAGGTAGGGAGTTGCCGGGGCATGAAGGGATTTGAAAACGAGTGTGAGGATCTTGAAAATCGATCTGTTCAGTGATAGGGAGCCAGAGGAGCCTGACTAGAACTGATGTGATGGGGGTGCAGAGTTTAGTACAGGTGAGTATGTCGTCGGTGGAGTTTTGGATCAGTTAGATCTGTGCATGGTGGAGCTGGGAAGATCGATACAGAGGGTATTTGAGAAGTCGAGTCGGGAGGCGACGAACGCACGGACAAGTGTTTTGGCTGTGTATAAGGTACGGTCGGAGTCAGGCAATGTGACTGAGGTAGGGGAAGACAGTCCGGGTCAGGGACTGGATGTGTGGAAGGAAGGATAGCTGTGGATTTGAACCTGATGCCTAGGATGCACACTGGTTCAGTAAATCTGAGGTATGAGCCAGGAAAAGAGGAAACACGATGCTTATGTGAAAGAAAGTGGAATAGGGGTGTAGAAGAGGGGAATAGTAGGAGTGGGGACTCATGTAGAGTATAAATGTGAACTAGATGGGCTGACTGGCCTGTTTCTCTCCTGTATTATTCTTATGTAACTCTATATGCAAATGCAAATGAACTTGAGGATGATTATATTCTACCTCCATTGCTTTTCAAAAGACATTAAAAAAAAGCTGAAAACTACTAAAATTAAAGTATAAGAAACAAAGCGAAACTGAGTGCTCACAAAATTAATTTATCTGCGTTCATTCTGGGACTGTCGTAGATCTGGCCTCCCAGGGTTATTATTGCTTAAATTGGTGATAAGAATCTCCTTGGTAGTGTACATCAGGGAGCATTGATTGATTCATGGATTTCTCTTATGCAATCTGCTATGTCACAGTCACCCCTTTTACATCACCTGTCTTCAAGTTCGAACTCGCTGTTCATTTTCAATATAAGAGGGAGAAACACAAAAAAGGTTCAGCCTAGAGGTATTCGAAAATAAACCTCTGATTGACTGAAGCATCCCATTTGCATTGACTAAAGATCAATCTGGTGGTACTTGTCCCCTAGTAAAACAAATTCAATTAGTAAGAAACACTTAGCAATAAGCTAAATACACTCTGAAAGGGGGGGGAGCGAGCCATACCATGGAGATACAAATTAAGTGTGTAGAACCTTCTCAGCTTCAAGGATATTCTTTGCATATCAGTGATCCCCAGTTGGATTGCAAGGACAGATCCCTACAACCCTCTCACGAAGGTCACAGTGAACCGCTGCTTTTTGTAAGTCTTGGACAAACTATGCCCTATTTTTCTCTTGACTTGTATTCTATCCCAGTCATCTTTGCTCTCAGGCTGGGTGGTTGGGGTTCTGAGGGTGTGTGGGCAGTTTAGGTGGTGGAGTTGTGGAGCTGATGCTCTGTGCAGGGTGATAGCCTTTCTTTCCTGTATCTTACCCTCCTGCACTTCTCCAGATACAACTTAGAAATATGTATCAGTCATCTGCTAAAGTGTATATTACACCTGACAATTGTCTGTCACACAGGGATGATCTTGCAAGTCTAGAGAGTCCTCAAGAATAGAATGACAAGTTCCAACTTATTCCAGAGATAATGAAATATGAAGGGAAACCTGTCCATTCCCTCTGCTCTGCAGGCTCTAGCCTGCTCCACGTCCCCCGCCCTACCATTGGTGGTTGGGCCTTCAGCATCTCTGCTCCTACCCTTTGGAACTCCATCCCAGATTCCCTTTGCCTCACTCCCTCTCTTGCCTCCTTCAAGGCACACCTCAAGATCCTCCTCTTTACCGTGCCTTCAACCACCCCCCCTATCCCTACCCTCCCTGTCCCCCATATTCCCTGATCCCAAGGCGCCCCCTGCTCCAAATCCCTGATCGTCCAGCACCTTGGCACGTCCTCCCAACATGAAAGGCCATATACAATGTAATTTTGTATTGTAGAGAGAGTGTGAAGGATTGACTAGTGGAATGGTGACATGTATGGTCAATTCAAGAATTTTTGGCTTTCTATTCTGTTTCTGCTAGTGTGATATTATTGACACGTAAGTATCTATGTTTGGTTTTTGGGCAGGAAAGAAAATGGTAGTGATTTTAGTGGCCCCTCCACCCCATGCAACAAAATGGTAGCTGTTCCTGTTATGAGCATACGGAGCTCATTGTTCCAGGATTCCTACTGGACAAGGGTAAGTGGAAATAATAATAATATTTACATTTGATATATTATATTAAGACGTCTCAAATGCTTCACAGGATAAACTGGAAAGTGTAGTGACTGGGTATTTTGTGGGCGAAAATTACCACCAACTTGAAAATTCCCACATGAATCCACCTGTCAGCTTGAAACTGGTTCTATCATTATCTTTTTATTAAAAGGAGACAATCAAAGACCTGGACAACTACTTAGGGTGGGTGTGACAAACGAACAAAGCAAGTCACAACCTATGTGTTTAGCTCACAAACAGCAACAAATGTTATGCTTGACACAAACTCTATGAACCATCAGAGTCATTGTGCGCTGGCTTATCCGCTGATCTTCTGCACCTAATCGCATAAATAGACCCAGTGGTGAATTTGAATCCGCTGTGACAACTAATGAAGAATAGCTTTGGAGGAGACGCAGACTGGTTTGTGATTAAGGTTAGTCTCGCTGAAAAATAGAGACGTAACTAAAGGGTGGCTGAAGGAATTAACCTCTGTGCTTCCCTAAAAATCCATGATAAACTAGATGCTGTTCGAACAGTCATTCTACAGGATGAATCAAAAGTCCTTTCTCATGTGTCTTTGCGAGATATTCAAACTGCATGCCTTGTAGACATTTACACATATCAAGTTGGTGTCAACAATGTTAACAAATATGATGAAAGACATCTCCTGTAATAGCTGCACACTCTTTATGAATGTTGTCTTTAAAAAATAAATAATTCATAATTAAAAACTATGAGTAAGGACTTCTAATTCACCCTGTAGAATAATGAGCTGCCTGACCCCCAAGTCCCTGCTGCTGTTCGCTGGATCTTCTGGGGAGAGGTGACCTCTGGTCTGTGATCAAAATAGGTGACATTAGAACTACATCATCAAACTTAGGGTAGTGTTTAATAATCCTGAAATTGCACCTAATCGTACCTGGTAAAGGCATCCTATTTTAAAGTTAAGATTATGCAGAATTGTTAAATTCTATGTTAATTTGGAAACCATTTCTCTAAGAACTGCGGAAAACCAACTTTCAGATTAAGTCAAGACTGAAATTAAGAATTCTCCGTGGTTCTAAGGAATCTTAAAAGTTAAGACAATATAGTTTTACAGGCTTAGACTGGGTGACAATTCTGGCCACGCGTGGGGAACCAAAGGTAAGCAAATAGATTTAAAATGTGAGTGGGGGATTTATTTAATCTGTTTTGCTAATTCCAATTGTATGTGATCACTTTTATATTCTGTGCTGCTCCACAATCCATTCAGTCAAATTAGAGAGCAATAATGCCGATGTTGTAGGAAACTTAAGTGTTGTCTTTTAAGATTAATTGTATCCATTTCTATGGGGAATGGAAATGGCAGTGTTCAATAAGGATTTTTGAAAAAGAAAATTGCATCTTTAATCAGCAACTTCATTTAAATTAAACTATTTTACAGTGGATCCAACAGTGTAGTTATGAGCAAAAGTGCTATCACTAAACAGATTGCCTTGGTTCAATCAGTCTATTTGAATGAATTGTTTATGTAAATTACTGTTACCATGAATCTGACTACAAAATTTACAAAAGAATGAAGTTATTTGTCCTTCCTGATAACCTGCAGAAAAGCAAGCAGATGTAACAGACGTAGAAAACCCTGACATGTCAACTAACAGTCAAATCATATTATCAGTACAAGGGAGTGTTCCAAGTGTATGACTGGTATATAAATATGGCTAAGCATGTTACACAGACCACAGAGCCGCTACGATTCCAATCCAACGCAGTGAGCTTGCGCTGACAGTACTGTTATATCGACAAGCAGCAGATTTTCTGCCCTGGCACAATGCAGCGCTGTGGAGATGTGTACTTGGTAACAGGAGGGAATGGATTTCTTGGACAACAGATCGTGAAACTCTTGATGAAAGAAATGGAGAATCTCGCAGAAGTCAGAATACTGGACAAGTTGATGAACCAAGACTTTGTGCAATTTCTGGAAGGTTTGTTCAGTTTTAACTTTAACTTCCTCCCCTAGTTCCTCTTTAATGCTTCAGTGCTGAAAGCTGCAAAAATAAATTCAAAGATTTTACAGTGCACTTTATTGTCAGCGCTTTGTGGAAGCTCTTTTTTTCCACTCTGTTTAAGTTGTTTTTCTGCAAATTCATTCCTCCTTCAGTGCTCTCAAGTAAGACCGCACTCTCAGAACAAAGGGAGAAACTTCAAATAAAGCTTAAAACAAATTTATATATCAGTTTTCCTTGAACATTTCTCTGAAGTGTGACCGAGGGAGTTAATTTCAGCATAGAGGTTCTGATGCCAAAGCTGAGCTGCATTGTTGTTTAGACTATCCAACAGATGCTGAATTAAACATGAATGCTTACTTCCAGAGATAGACTGAGGGAGAAGGGGTGGCAATTATAGTCATACAGTCAATTTACTTGACACTTTGAGACATCTCAATAACGTGTGAAGGTGCAATATCAGATGCAAGGATTATTATTATTATTATTATTTTTATTTGAGAATACAACAGAAAAGTGGAGTCCTGCAGCTCAGTGGTTAGAGCACTCGCTTTGCAAGTGAGAGACCTGAGTTCAATTCCAGGCAGAGGGTGAAACCTTGGGCAAGTTTCCTTACTCCACACAGAGCCTAATAATAATCCCTCCAAAAACCCAAAACAATAATAAATTGGTCATTTTCAATCTACGACTGTTTGTGGGACATTGCTGTGCGCAATTGACTGCCGCGTTCGCCCACAAATATACAGTCAATTCACTTTACAGTGTGTTCTGTGAAGCGCTTTGGGACGTCCTCCTGACGTGAAAAGCGCTATATCAAATGCAAGGATTATTATTATTATTATTATAAAACGTTGATATTCTACAGGTTGACTTTCAGAAAACATTTGATAAGTTCTCCTGCAGAGAAGTTGCGGTTAAGCGGTTACGTTATTGACTTTGGGATCAAAAATAAATTTATAAAGTAGATTATTAATTAACCCAAAAAAAAGAAATAAAAGTTGGTTATCAATGGCAAAGTTAGGCATTTGTAATTTGGAGCTCCCCTTCTTAACTCTCTTCCCAACCCACCAACCTACCACTACCCACCTTCAGCAGGGACTGATCCAGGAATCCTTCATCTTATTGTTTATTAATATTGATAATGATACTCACTGTAAGCATAATATGTAAGTGTAGAGAAGAGACAAAGTTATGCAGAAAAACAGGATATTCCGACGAGATAGAAAATAATCTGAAGGAACAGCAACGGTGTCAGCCTGGCTCAGTTGGTAGCACTTTTGCCTCCGTATCAGAACATGGTGAGGTGAAGCATCAGGATTTTGAACTCATGGTCCAGGCTGACTCCGACAAAGTACTGTTGGGGAGTGGTGCATTGTAAGAGATGCCGTCTTTCAGCTGAGATATCAAACCGAGGGGTGGGTGGGTAGGTGGGTGGGTGGGTCGGTCTGGACATTAAAGATCCCACGGCACTTTTTGAAAAGAAGAAAGTGTCTCCTGGTGTCCTGGCTAACAATCCTCCAGACAAAATTAGTCATTCACTTCATGACTGTTTGAGGGACATTTCTGGGCTGTTGTTTGCTTACAAAATACATAGTCACCACACTTTACAGTAAATACCCTGATGCATTTTGAGATGTCCTCCAAGTGGTGGTATATCAGATGTGAGGCTTATTATTACTGAGTAGACAAAATCCATGAAAAATATGAGGCAATACTAATAAAAACAATAAATACGACAAATTCAATACAAATTCTGTGACGTGCTTTGAGTTGTCTTAACGACGTGATACTGCGCTATATCAAATGCAAGGGTTATTATTACAAGAACAAGTTGCACACAGGATAGTGCCCTGGAGCGCTTGACAGTGGCGGAGTCTGCCACTGAGCCAGGGGGAGAGGCAGGTGGGAGGTGACCACAAGCATGATCAAAAAGGAAGGTCTTTAGGCGGGATTTGAAAGTGGCAAGGTGGAAGGATTGAGGGAGAGAGTTCCAGACTATTAATAGTAATAATAATAATCCTTGCATTTGATATAGTGCTTTTCACATCTTCTCGACGTCTCAAAGCGCTTCACAGAATAGACTGTAAAGTGAATTGACCGTATATTTGTGGGAAAAACGCAGCAGCCAATTGCGCACAGCAGTGTCCCACAAACAGTCGTGGATTGAAAATGACCAATTTATTATTGTTTTGTTTTTTGGAGGGATTATTATTAGGCGTGTGAAGTAAGGAAACTTGCCCAAGGTTTCGCCCTGACCTGGAATTAAACCCAGGTGGCTCGCTTGCAAGGCGAGTGCTCTAACCACTGAGCTACAGGACTCCACTTAATGTTATTATTATTAACAAGAGAATAACTTGCATTTTTAATTTCTATTTGAAATATCTCGAGGCACTTTGCAAACATTTATTGGAAAGTATAGTGACTCTTGTAGGCAAGTACAAATTTGAGCCTGAAAGTTTCTATAAACAGATGTGAATGACTGATTAGCTGGAGAATTACGAGCTAGGGTATTTGCTTGAAGCAAACATAAAAAGCAAACAGATCATTCAGAAAACTGACCATGAGTAAATTAAGAAGGGGCATAATCAAAACAATAAATTAATAGCCAAGCACTGGGCAGGATTATAGACAATATCATTTATATAGATATTATAGAGAGTACAATAAGGAGATAACACATAGTAAAAGATAGCTGGAGGGCAGACAGGAAGGAACATCTAATAACACGTTTATACCTGGACCTAATATCAGTTTCAGCGGAATGTGTTTTGGGCATTTCATTGAACTTTTCATTCTTGGAACAATAAAACTGCAATACTCTTGCCCAAATTCCTTATTCTGTAGGCCTACAGAAAGCTGGCTTTCACATTCAGACTTGAATGATGAGTTTTCCAAAATTTTAAAGACAATGGTCGTAAAGCTAACATTGTGAGAAATTTCAGACCTCTATACTCAGAGATTTGTTTACATTATAGGAAAAACCCACTTTCATTTACATAGCACCCTTCACGTAAGGCAATGTTTCAGAGTGCTTTACAATGAGATGAGAAGAATTTAGGATGATGTGGCCATGGGTTGTTTGAAAACATAGGTTTTTAGGTAGGACTTAAGACAGAAAGAGAGGGAGCAAGACAATAACAATTTACATTTATATAGTGACCTTCATGTGACGTAGCATATTGGAGCGCTTGAAGAGGAAGGGAGTTTCAGAGGCTAAATCTGTAATCGAGCATTGGGGAGGACAAGTTTGCAGGGCTAAAGTGGAGAAAACGGGGGAGTGTGATTAATTTAGATAGCTCTTTTCAAAGAGCCAGCACAGACACGATGGGCCGAATGCCCTGGCACCTCCCTGCCTCTCGGACCTGCTTACACCACACTCCAGTATCTGCCTTTGCTCAGCCTGCTCTGGCCTTGTCCCCTCCACTCCACCATCTGCAGCCGTGCTTCTAGCCACTCCGTCCTGAAGCTATGGAACTCTTGGCCTCAATCCCTCCGCTTTGCCTCCTCCTTGCCTGTGTTCAGATTACACAAAGACAACAACTTCCATTTTTTTATATAGCGCCCTTCATGCGCAGTAGCTTCCCAGAGCGCTTAAAGACCTTCCTCTTCGACCATACCTACGGGAATGGTCACAGTGGAGTGTGTCAATAGTGGTGTCAACAGTTCAATGGTTCTATGGAATGCTTGGAGAATTTGCCTACTAAATCCTGTGAAGCACATTGAGATGTCCTTTTGACGTGATAAGGCTCTATTTTAAATGCAAGGATCATTATTATTAGTAGTAGAAGCGGTAATAGTAGTAGCAGTAACTACACTTCACAGTAATCACTTTGAGATATTTGGTCAAAGTGATGACACAAACATCAAAAGCAAGATAGTATTATTATTCAGTAAATTTCACCACCCAAAATTAAAATGTTGAATTCCTTTGACCACTTTACCTTAAAACATTTGTGTTAAAACACCTCATATGGCATTACAATGGCATTCCCGACCTGTACTGTGAAACTGACCTTATAATAGTCCTCTTTTTAAAACCTGGCAAACGATCTCACTGCTCCCAGCCATTTGTGGGAGAATCAAATGGCTGGGAGCAGTGAGGTGAGTAAAGCTAGTTAGTTACATTTATATAATTTTTTTTAAATGTTAATAAATGTTTTAATTTATTCTTCGCCCCCAAAATACATACACTACGATATATTCTGTGAAGCGCTTTGAGACTTCTCAATGACGTGATTATAATACTAATAATAATCCTTGCATTTGATGTAGTGTTTTTCACGTCTTCTAGGCGTCTCAAAGCGCTTCACAGAATAGACTGTAAAGTGAATTGAATTTGTGGACGAAATGCAGCAGCCAATTGCGCACAGCAGTGTCCCACAAAAGATTAGGCACTAGATCAAATGCAAGGATTATTATTATTATTATTTGATTAGCAAGAGTGATACAAAGTAAGAAACAGTAATCAATTTGCGTTTATTTTTTCTTAGTGTTTCTTGTAGTTTTTAAGGCAAGGAAGGTGGTAAGGAATACAAACTGCAAGTTTTAAAATCTCATTATCTCTTAGCAAGCACATTTGTTTCCTTCATTAAAATGCTTTTTTTTCAGGAGCTGGATACTCAGAGCATTTACATTTCTTCAAAGGAGATCTGAGAAACAAAGAGCTGGTGCAGAGAGCCTGCCGAGGGGTGACCTGTGTTATTCACTCTGCGTCTGTGATTGACGTTTGGGGTTACATCAGTAAAGAAGAAATTGAATCCATCAATGTTGAAGGTATAACTGCTTGGTTGAGGTGAAGGAGAGGAAAAGGTTTAGGAGTGTGTGAATGTTGACTATCACATTTCAGATGATTATTGCATCGTATCTGAACAGATTTCACTCTTTGGGTTTCATGGCCCCAACTAAAAACAAACTACTCTTGTATTTTGCTCCTTTGCACTCAGTAGCATTCAGAATGCTGCCTTAAACAATATGATGAAGTTAAGCGAGTCCATTGGATTCAGAGAAGTTGTAGCGCAAAACGGGACAGTTTGTCTGAATACTGGTGATAGATGATCTTCTGAAGCAATCAATAGTGAACCTGAGATTTGGGCACTTCCTATTTTAGATATGAAAATGGAGAGAATTTTAGCAATATCATCAATTTTGTAATATCATCAATCCTTACATTGACCAAACATGCTGCATTCCACCCCCAAACCTTTCATAGCAACCACAGTTTCTATGTTTTAATATACATTTATTAATTGTTTGAAGGAATCTCGTACATTTAATTCAGCAGAAATCTGCCACCTATGTATCTTTTATTGAGGTTTTCATTGGTGGGTTAAAATACTTTTCAGTGGTTTAAGCATGGAAGTGTTCAGAACTCTTCACTCTCTGTTGTTACTGGTACTCTTGGTTTCAGCAGCCAGAATATTATGTAATCCCAGCTATGGATTCACAGAATGAAATTTACTTTGTTTCACAACACATGCATCACAAGGAACTAATTATGAAGTTGTGCATTCCTATATTGGAAGCCAGTTTTAAGTCCTCAGTATGTAGGATTGCGACTAACATGACATGGGCAATTGACACAAGCATTTAAGAATACACAAGCAACTTTTATTCAGATGACACGTGTACAGCAGGTTTTATGGTACAATAAATTGGTACGATATTTGTGTATCTTTAACCGTTCAAGACTTCAAGTGAAGATGATAAAATTTGCCTTCTTGTGTGTTCTTTATTCACAGTAAAATAATATGTTGATTATTTGTTCTGTAAATGATACAACCTGTCTTTTTTTGTGATTGAGCGTGAATGAAAGTGTTTCATTTGAATTTGGCAGGAACTCGACTCTTGTTGGAAACTTGCCTCCAACAAAATGTGAAGTCTTTCATCTACACCAGCACTGTTGAGGTGATGGGGCCGAATTCCAGAGGTGATCCCATCAGGAACGGTGATGAAGACACAATCTATCCCATCACCCTCAAGTTTGAATACAGCAAAACAAAGCACAGAGCTGAACAACTGACGCTGAGATCAAATGGATGGCTCCTCCCTAATGGTGAGAAGATGATAACATGTGCCTTACGCCCAATGTACATTTATGGTGAAATGAGCCGCTTTCTGGTTCAACACCTCGACGAAGCCATTAACAATGGAGATGTTTTAGTGAGAAGCTCCAAGAAGGAGGCTCTTGTGAATCCGGTTTATGTTGGTAATGTGGCTTGGGCTCATGTCTTAGTGGCCAAAGCCTTTAAGGATCCAGAGAACATTGTTGGTGGACAGTTCTATTACATCACAGATGACACCACATACATGAGCTACTCTGATTTTAACTACAAATTGATGAAGCCACTGGGCATTCAGATCGAGTCACATCTAAAGATGCCTCTGATACTTACGTACTTTATAGCTTTCATACAAGAGGTGTTCCAATTCTTGATGAGCCCTTTCTTCAAATATACTCCCAAAATACCCAGGCAACTCATCACAATGTTAAACACAGAATTTACCTTTTCCAGCCACAAGGCTTACAAAGATTTCGGCTACACTCCACGTTACAGCTGGGAGGAGGCAAGACAGAGAACCACTGCCTGGTTGGAGTCCATTTTACAAGAACGAAGAGATGTTGTCAAAAAAAAACAACAACCCTGCAGCCCAAAGCACCCAAAGTGATGTTAATTTAAATTAACATCACTTAAATGCCAATAATTCCATGAAGAGCAGTTCCCCGTAACAAATATATAAACAAAACAAAAAAATCACACCCCAGTTTATTTCAGTTAAAAGAGACGTGTTTAGTTGCCTCATCTGCTTCTTGTTAAGTTTGTTAGATCATTTTTGTTTTTAGTCAGGTCATAGCGTTGGGTTCGCAATGGAAAGCAATGAAATTATGATTGGGAAACAAATTTAGATTTTACAGGAGGAAAAATATAGGAGGACCTGTCTTTAGTAGAAAATGTCCTCTAAAATATACAGAGTTTTAGACAATAAATACTTTTGAAGTTGAAAAAGCATGACAGTGATCACTAATAGCAAAACAGAGCTGCTAAAGGGATACTTTAGGTCCCACTGTCTATTTTACATGTAGGACCATCTTTAGAAACATGGCCACTGATCAGGTAAAACCTGGCTCCAAGGTTTTAATTCAGTCACGTGCCAGAACTGCAAAGATTTTTTGATTCTATGGTGGACACATCCTTTAATATAATGCAGTTTGAGGTGTCAGATATTTATCCACTACTTGGAAAGCTTTCATCTGCTGTCCAGATAAGATAACTCTTTGTTCTTTGGTATAGAATTCCTATGTATATATGTATCCCTTGTGTAACACTATAGAATTTATTATCCAACAAGACTTGTGTGCTATTTTTGGCATTGACTTTCACAAAGGCCATTGAAATGTTGGAGAGGGTACCGAGAAGAGTGATTAAAATATTGCCCACAAAATATACAGTTAATTCACTTTGCAGTATATTCTGTGAAGTGCTTTGAGACATCTAGAAGATGTGATAAGGCGCTATATCAAATGCAAGGATTATTATATTATTATAAAGATTGAGATTCCAGAAGATTGAAACTAACCCAAGTCTTAACCTTTCAGACCATTTGGTCTTTAAATTTACTATTGTGTAAAATTGTAGAAAATTCAAAATTCAATCTTAACTTGGAAGTTTTCCCACATTTCTTAAAAAGACCAGCTTCCAAACCGGAATGAATTCTAAAATGAAAACTGCACAATCTTAAATTTTATATCAAAGAGGCTAGGACTAGGTGTAATTTCAGGATGTACGTCCGATTTTCATTGAAAGGACAAATTGGTTATACCAAATGCTAAGATTATTGTTATTATTGACAGGAGACATTCTCAAGGTTAAAATATAGAAAGTCACAGATAATGTAGCAGAAAGTATATTGGAAATGAACGTTAGTCGCCAATCTTATAAATATCACATCTGAGCCCTTATTTGGGATATTATGTTTAGACTAAGATATTCTCTATTAATAATGACATTGACGTGTTGGGGAGAGTTCAGAGAAGAGCAAGAGGGATAATTCAGCAGATGAAGATTTGAAGTTATGAAGGAGAATGACTGAGAGCTACAGTTTTACCCAGTTTGCAATTGATGCAAACCTACATGTTATTTTATAAAAAATGCAAAATATAAAGTAATGTAAAGGTAAAACAAATAAAACAACAATGATTTATTGTGAAAAGGTCAACTTAGGCCCATTTTAAACTTTTTTTTATTTCTTCTTTAGGTTTATATATGTGAGAAATATACTACGAATATGTAACACAAAGTTTAAAGTACTGGAGACTTTTGAGTACAAATCCTATTTTGCACAGAAAGAGCTGAAGTAAATTACAGGACAATACCTTTGTAAGAAGGCTTGCTATAATGTGGGTTCACTTATAACACAATTAGATTATGAATTCCAGCATTTTCTGAGCTGAAAATCAAAATCACACCATCCAATTCCTGTCCTAGCAAAAAATAATGTTCAATTTCTGGGTTGTTAAGTTGTTACCAATAGAACCTTCCTCCTAAAGTCAGAACCTGTGCAATGTAAGTGCTCAATCTGTGCAGAAAGCACCACTATTTTAATCAAGAAAGTGACATCAGTCACTGATGTCCCAGAAGTTTCTTTGTAACTTGGGACCTGAGACATTGGATCCACACAATTGTGTTATAAAAGGTTTCGTCCCATATGCCTTAATATACACGGTCCAATACTGCAGCTTTTGATTGCAAATAGCCGATCAAAGTATAATCTATATTGGGAGTCAATGCTCCAAACCACTTTTAGTCATTCCCAACTGTACAGGATTCCTGATCAAAACACAGGACACATATACAAAATCCTGATTCAACTGTAACAAACACCTTCAACTAGCCAAATGTTATAGTCAGTACGATAAAATGCATTTAATCACAAGTAAATTTTCCAGACTGCTGCATAGTTTGAACATATTAGTGATTGCCGATTACAATATTGTGTTGCTGTTGTTCATCTTAATAAAGAAGCAACACAGCACTGCAGAAAAGTCGCTTGATTCCCTTGGAGGATCAGCATATATTCTGATACAACATTACCTCATGAGATTATGACTAGTTGTACATATTCTGTGGAAAGTGTGAGCTGAATGGGCTGAACAGACTCTTCTTAAGAATCTCCACAATGCAGAGTTTGTGATCTTTGGTAGAATAATGCCAGTGGAGGAAGGGAGCAGGAAAAGATCAGACATCTTTCAGTCAGTCTTACACATTGTGGTTAGTTGCAGGAAGACAACTAATCTCGGGGTGTTGTTAAGGAACTTCAAATAACTTAAAAGGGAATATTCCCATAACATTATCATTATAATGATGTTATTGCTGAATGGCCAAAGCACAATGATACAAACATTTTGATTCATAGTTTTTAGAATTATTGAATAAGTATAATCTTGATTGAAGCATATTGTATTTCCTGTAAAACACTTTTCTGGGTTATTAGAATTAAATAAACTGAAATAATGATTATTGGCTGTGCTTTGTGTCTCTGGGTGTCAGTAGTTTTACTTTGAGTTGAAACTTGTTCATCACTGATTTATAAACATCTCAATGTGAACCCAGGCTGTCTACAAACAATCCATCTTCAAATACCAGCATGTTTCCATCCAGTTGTCCCAGATTTCTTCTCTTATTTCCTCGTGGACTGTCCAGTTGGCCTAGATACCCTTGCTGCTATAAGTTTTGTGGTAATTTTTCTGATGCCTCCTGCTTAAACAAGGCTCAACTTTCATGTTCTGAAATTCATACTGAAAATGAAGTGTGTGATCAAGTGAGCTTGTACCCTTCTTATGCCCATGGATGTTTCTCAAAGCACTGTACAAAGAAAGTATGCGTTAAGCCCTTTGAGATGTCCTCCCGACATATTAATGTAAATTGAGTTATAATACAGATCACAAAATTTGAGATCAAAGAGATATTGACGAGGGCTTTGAAAGCAAGGAAAGCGGATACAAAATGAATGGCTTTTGAAGAAAGAGTAGGGGCTTTGTGGCTGAAAAGCTAGTGACCGATGGTGGGAAGAAGCGAGGCACCATTATAACACTATTCTAGCAGCTAAAATTAAAAACATAAATGAAGTGCATATTTTTAAAAACATTGTTGGTGATCCAGTGATGAACAGCTTGATGGGAACTTGGAACCATTCTCTGGAAGCCGGAGGGGAATCATATCACACACTGTAAACTCCCCGTACACCCTTCAAAATATAGATTCCCATTCAATCTTTTGGTTATAAATTTACCATTGATTACTCCAGGGCTTACAAAACTTTTATACAGAATTTATAGTTCATATGCCGTTTCTGACTTATCATTGGACCAGTTGCCTGCTAGCATTAGTGAAAATATCAGTGATTATTCGATACTTGGCATACTGAGTAATAAATGATAATCTCTTTAATACTTTAACATATTCAATAATGTAGAGTCCTGTAGCTTAATGATTAGCATACTTGCTTCACGATGAGAGGATCTGGGTTCGATTCCCGAGCGGATCGAAACCTTAGGCAAGTTTCCTTACTTCATATGCCTCTTTACCTAGCAGTAAGTAGGAGCCCGGTTGTTAGTCAATTGTTGGATCGCTTTCCGCTTTTCGGGTAATAAAAAGAAAAAAAATATGGTCACTCAATCCACAACTGTTTGTGGGACAAGGTGTGCAATTGGCTGCTGTCTTTCTCCCACAAATACAGTCAATGCACTTTGCAATATATTCTGTGAAGCGTTTTGAGACGTCTCAACAAGGCGCTATATCAAATGCAAGGACTATTATTAATACTGACCACGTTTGGCTCTCACAGTTCTCCATCTAGTGACGTAGATGAATACTGCAACCCCCTGCAACTATGGTGTATGATTTTCAGCATAATTTTATCACAGGGATCTGAATAGTAGTGATTTGCAACAGGAGTTATTAAGAACAACATCAGGTCACCAGTAGCCTTCCCTTCTGGTACATCATCTTCATTGCAGCTTACTACGAGGTAAACAAGAGACATGTGGAGTAAGGGATGTTGCCTAAGGTTTCACCCTGCCGGGAATTGAAACCGGGTCCTCTCGCTTGCGCGGTGAGCTCGCTAACCGCTTTGCTATGGGAATCTAAACACATCCAGTGCAATAAACTCAGAGTGCAATAAACTCAGAAGCTGGCTGCAGGGCACAATCCGGCCAAATGTTCCACATTTGACAATCAAAGGACTTGGTGGATGTAAAACTTTACAAACAAACAGTGGGAGAGCTTTTGGAAAACCCAATACAATTTGTGGATGTTATTACAAAGCTGAAAAACTATTATGTAAGAAACCTCTAGGTTACGTAGATTACTGTGGATTTCCATGTAACGTGATAAAGGATAATTTACTGCCTCTTGCCCCACCACTATTTAGTGTGAGGGAATCTAATACTGTGCATTACAGACGCCGTCCGCCTTGAAGGGCGCTATATAAATTCAAGTTGTTTTGTTGTTGCACTGTACTTTTCCAATATCAAGGATTAAAATCAAAATCAGTCAACCAGTGTCTCGCTCTCAATTGTATCCAGAAACTTTTTCTTTCTTCAAAACATACCATGATACTCAGAGACTGTGAAACTCATTTAGATATCCAGTCGTAGCAAATCGTGTCCACGCACTGAGGCTTATGCTAGGCAGATTGCTAAAATACCAATCTTTTTATTTTATTATTTGCTCTAACCATCAGCTTTAAGGTATAAAACAGTATTAAAGGCAATTGAGTATTGCAGATGGGGGTAGTTTCCATTAGGAAAATGTCTAATTATGCTGTGTTTCGCCCACAAAATACACAGTCAGTCCACTTTACAATATATTCCGTGAAGCGCTTTGAGACGTTTCAATGACGTGATAAGGCACAATATCAAATGCATGGATTATTATTATGATGTCACTTTCAATAGAGTGTACTATTTTCCTTCTGATACTATGCATTATGTATTCTGCTACTAAATTGAAAATGATAATATGAAAATTAAAATCTTTACTAGAAATTTTTTTGCACTTTACTAACCTAGGGGTGCTGAGGCCAACAGTAATAAGTCTAACTTATAAAGAAAAATCTTGAATCAAGCCACAGGGAGTCTGGATTTCACCAGATAGTTGACGGTGGCTCTGTGGCATCCTGCATCACATAGCACGCACGTAGCCAAGCTGTGGGAAACAAAATAAAGAACGCAAAGTTAAGACTCTGCAACAACAAAATTACATTTTTAAAATGCCGAGTCCTCCTACTGTGCCCTCTCAAAAGGAGTCCTCCCACAGGAGTCATAGAATCATAGAATTATACAGCCATTTGGCCGATTGTGTCTGTGCCGGTTCTTTGAAAAGAGCTATCAAATTCAATCCCACTCCCCCGCGCTCTTCCCTTCAAACTTGTCCTCCCCAAATAATTATCTACTTCACCCTTAAAAGTTGTTATCGAATCAGCTTCCACCTCCCACCCTTTCAGGCAATGCATTCCAGATCCGAACAACTTGCTGCGTGAAAAAATTTCTCCTCCCCTCCCCTCTGTTTCTTTTAACAACTATTTTAAATCAGTGTCCTAGGGTTACCAACCCACCTGCCAGTGGAAATACTTTCCCCTTGTTCACCCTCTCGAATCCCCTCATAATTTTGAAAACTTCTACTAAGTCTCCTCTTAACCACTGCTCCAAGGAGAATAATCCTAGTATCTCTAGCCTCTCCCGAAAACTGAAGTCCTTAATTCCTGGTACCATGCTGGTAAATCTCCTTTGCACCATCTCTGATGCTTTGACATCCTTGTACCATCAGCTTATATTGTCTCTCCTCATTTTTCCTCCCAAAATGCGTCATTTCACATTTCTCCACATTAAACTTCATCTGCCATGTGTCTGCCCATTTTACCAGCCAGGGTGGGAGGGCTATTTACTCCCAAATCTTTCATTAAAAGCAGGACACAAAACCACCACAACTTTTGCATTTATTATAATTATCACCATGTTTTTGGAGAGGTTGTGAGAGAATGAGCTGGAGTGGAAGCAAACAATCATCATCGGGAACACTTCCCTCAACAGTACACTAGCAAACAATCATCATCGGGAACACTTCCCTCAACAGTACACTAAGTCAAAGTGCACTTACTTTGCACAAGTGGACACAGTGCCTGGTTTTATTTTGAACATCAAAGCTAAAAGTGAAAGTTGATAGGTCTATGGGCTTATCTTGGGTTAACATAGCAGGGATTCTAAAAAATTGCTTGCGATGTTACGATTGTTCTACACCTCCTATTTCCCCGAAAAGCTCAGAAAGCTGGAATGTGATTTGGGTGAAAGTTGACTTCAAGGGCAGTATAAAATGTTTAGCAAATAATATGACTGCAACCGCTACTAAATGTTGTACTTTTGATAAACCACCGTCAGATATTGTCAAACATCCGTTCATTTTGTACGTTGGATCTCAAATCTAGTGCAGTTTGATATCTTATCCTGACTTCATATCGGTTTTGTTGTGTTTACAGGAAGTGTCATTGGAGTGATTCACAGTGATTCTTAATGGGTTGCCATATTGCATTTACAGCTGACAGTCAGCATTTCTTCTCTCTCAAGGATTTGTGTGGAAAAAAAACAACTTTCCTTCCTTCCCCATTCAATTAAACTATTTTTTTCAAATTGAATTTGGGGAAAGAAGAAAGATTTTGTCTGGTATGTTTGTAGGTAAAGGCACCATCCTGTAAAACAGGTTTGAACCCTTGTCTGAGACCAGTGATAACTACTGTATTGACTGTGTTTAAGGTAAATGTAATAATAATAGTGATATCGCATGACAATTTTTTCCTCCTTCCCCTATTTCTGTAAATGTCAATGATAAAATATGGATATTTCTTTACATAGTATGAAGCTCCGAGTTGCCATCCTGAGTGAAGGGTTTCATATAAATGCAAGTTGCTGTTGTTGTTAGCCACATGTTAAAGGGGAGGCAAAATGATCTTATGGGTCTGTTACCGTTTCAATGCAATCAATCAATAAATCAGGCTTCAAATTTGTTATATTTTTACAATTAAAAAGCTACAATTAGATTTTTAACAGTAATAATATAACATGACTATGAGAGGAGTTGGAAGACATTTAGTGTTAAAATGTGTGAGTGTTATTTATACAATGCAATCACCACAAAAACACACACGGTGCACGCCAATCTCTAACTGGCTGACAAATGCAGAAATTCAATCACCTTTATTTCATACTGAGTTGTGTTGCCCACCAGGAAGCTCGCAGGGAGTTCTAAATGTTGTACTTTTGATAAACCACCGTCAGATATTGTCAAACTTCCGTTGATTTTGTACGTTGGATCTCAAATCTAGTGCAGTTTGATATCTTATCCTGACTTCATATCGGTTTTGTTGTGTTTACAGGAAGTGTCATTGGAGTGATTCACAGTGATTCTTAATGGGTTGCCATATTGCATTTACAGCTGACAGTCAGCATTTCTTCTCTCTCAAGGATTTGTGTGGAAAAAAAACAACTTTCCTTCCTTCCCCATTCAATTAAACTATTTTTTTCAAATTGAATTTGGGGAAAGAAGAAAGATTTTGTCTGGTATGTTTGTAGGTAAAGGCACCATCCTGTAAAACAGGTTTGAACCCTTGTCTGAGACCAGTGATAACTACTGTATTGACTGTGTTTAAGGTAAATGTAATAATAATAGTGATATCGCATGACAATTTTTTCCTCCTTCCCCTATTTCTGTAAATGTCAATGATAAAATATGGATATTTCTTTACATAGTATGAAGCTCCGAGTTGCCATCCTGAGTGAAGGGTTTCATATAAATGCAAGTTGCTGTTGTTGTTAGCCACATGTTAAAGGGGAGGCAAAATGATCTTATGGGTCTGTTACCGTTTCAATGCAATCAATCAATAAATCAGGCTTCAAATTTGTTATATTTTTACAATTAAAAAGCTACAATTAGATTTTTAACAGTAATAATATAACATGACTATGAGAGGAGTTGGAAGACATTTAGTGTTAAAATGTGTGAGTGTTATTTATACAATGCAATCCCCACAAAAACACACACGGTGCACGCCAATCTCTAACTGGCTGACAAATGCAGAAATTCAATCACCTTTATTTCATACTGAGTTGTGTTGCCCATCAGGAAGCTCGCAGGGAGTTCTTGGTACTTACCACCCACCTTGTAAGGGCTCAAATCTGCGTTTGTCAGATGTTGAACGACCAACTAGTGACTATGCAATGGAAAAGAACTGCAATTAACTTGGAATATCTGTTTTGTTTTGTCCTCTCTGTTCTTTGATCAAATGTTTCATTTTTAATATTGAGTGCTGACAACACTGGGATATTGGCTTGGAAACCTACTCACTCTCCATAGTGCATTCCAAAATTTCTATCTAAATTTTTTCTTTGTCTTTATTTCCCTGCCGCCTTCTCTGCCTGTTCTTATAATCTGTTCCCTTCCAACGTCCCCCAGTTCTGACCTGAAACATTAACTCATTTTCCACTCTCCATAGATGCTCCCTGACCTGCTGAGTGCTCCCAGTAACTTCAGTTTTTATTTCAGATTTCCAGTATCTGCAGTTTGCCTTTTGCACTTCTCAAATGTCTGTCATCAAAAATCTCCCGCATGGAACTAGCACATCTCCCTGAAGCTCCCACTTTGACAAATTAATGCTATCATTTGGATGTTGGAAGGAATAATATTAAGTTTAGTTATTTTTCTTAATGGAGATTTGCAGGAAAATACTTTGTCCTTAAACAATGCCCCACCCCTGCCTCCACTTGTGTTTTAACTAAAATAACTCTTCAAATTGTTCATTTCAACAGTATCATCTAAACTCACTGCTCATTTCCCCTCTAACTTTCGCCACCTCTTCAGAAAACACTGACTCACACTGTAACACTGTTCCATAACTTCAACAACAAAATTGGTGGAGAAAAGTATAACAAAAAAATTGATCAAAACACATTACACCAGTTTTATTATTAGTCAATACATATAAAACGTACTGTGGTACACAAAAGAAATCACTTAAAATGTGGTTCTTACAAAGATTGGCTGTAATCCAGCATTAACAAACTAATTATATGTTAATACGAATAACCAGGCAAAGTTGAAACACTGGGAATGGCCAGCTATAGGATGGGATATAATCCTTACGTTTCACACATATTGTGGCAACAAGTTGAACCTGAAAGCAAAGAAAACAAAATTAATTTTTCTCCTGAATATTAATTTGATTTTGAACACAGTTAAAAAAACACTTCTGCAATAAGTCAAAACTACCTGAATTGAAGAATTTGTTCAACTAAATGTTAGCAGTATATAAAGTTCATAGGGCCAGGGTCGGTGGAAATACACAGCAAATTTGACTTAGCGCCTCATCATGTTGTTGAGACAACTCAAAGGGTTTTACAGATTATACTGTAAAGTGTAGACTGTATTTTGAAAATCATTGAAAATCATTCAGCATTGAAAAAAAGGATCAATCAATGTGTTAAATTATTGCAAGTATGCTCAAGCTAGATCCCACTTTTACCAAGTTAAGGTTGTGGCTAGACCAGCTGTGTGTGGGGTTAATATCTGACCCTAACAATACTATACCTTTTGTTGGAGGTCTGTGGATCTGCATGATACCCATGCGGGTGGCTGGGTTAGTACAAATCAGCCGCACACCAGGACCTTGTCCGCCTTTTGGTAGATGCTCTGGTCTATTTTCGTAAAAGCAATCTGTTAAAATAGGTGGATTTTGGTTAAGGTACAAAAAAGTTAAATATGTTGTTTCATCTTGTGTTTTTGACCCATTATCTGCGTTTGGCTGGAAATAAATGAGATGCAGATCCTTTATCTGATGCTAACAAGTCACTGAATTGGTGTGAGTCAAGAAACAATTTATGAATAAAGAACGCCTTTCCTTAGAATGTGCCAAAGATGAATCTGCTGCAATCCTTCCTTTTCATTTGTCAAAAAAAAATACTTGCTTCTCTCATCAACAACACCAACAACTTGGATTTATATAGCGCCCTCCACGCCAGATGGCGTCTCAGAGCGCTTCACAGTTACGGATCCCGGGGCTGAGCCAGGGGGAGGGGGAGGAAGGTGACCAAAGGTGCGGTCGAAAAGAAAGGTCTTCAGCCGAGACCTGAAAATAGGAAGAGAGGGGACGAGGTGAAGGGAGTGAGGAAGGGAGTTCCAGAGCCTCGGGGCATAGTGACTGAAGGCACGGCCGCCGAGGGTGGAGTGGAGGACTCGGGGGACGAGGCGGAGGCCAGACCTGGTGGAACAAAGGCAAGCGGTACTGTTTTGAGGAGAGAGGAGGTCAGAGAGGGTAGGCTGGCGAGGAGGGTGTTTGAATCGCCCAGCCGAGAGGTGACAAAGGCATGGACCAGGGTTTCAGCGGCTTTTGGTGAGAGGTATTGGCGGAGACAGGCAATGCGTTGGAGGTAGAAGAAAGTGGTGCTGGTGAGGGACCGGATATGGGGGAGGAAGGATAATTGGGGGTCGAACCTGACGCCTAGGTTGCGAACCGGTTCGGAGAGTTTTAGCAGGAGGTCGAGTAGGTGGAGGAGGTGAGAGCCGTGAGATTTTAGACGTTGACGAGAGCCAAAGAGTATGGCTTCCGTCTTGTCAACGTTCAGCTGAAGGAAATTTGCGCTCATCCAGCTCCTGAGGTCTGACAGGCAGAGTGACAGAACCTCAGGGGACTGGGGTCGCAAAGTTAGGTGGAAAAATAAAAATAAAAATTCTAACTGTTCCTAAAGGTGGAGGTGTACCCCATGTCTGTGGAAAGAGGAGGGGGTCAAGGATGGATCTTGGGGTACCCCGCAGGTAACCAGGTGAGAGCGGGAGGAGAAGCCATTTGTGCAGATGTACTGCTGGCGGTTTGTGAGGTAGGACTCGAACCAGGCGAATGCAGTCCCACTGAGGTGGATGACGGAGAAAAGGCGGTAGAGGAGGATGGCATGATCGACTGTGTCGAATGCGGCGGAGAGGTCCAGGAGGACAAGGAGGCAGAGGGAGCTCTGGAGGAGTTCGAAGAAGGAATAAGAGAGGTGCGCGCGGAGTTGATTTGCAACAGCTGTGAGGCCCGTGGGGTATGAAACTACATTTATAGCAGGTTGGTAGCTGAGGAGGGTGTTGGTGGCGGAGGAGGGTGTTTGTGGTGGATTCAGCGGAAAAAGTGTGGCTGCACTTTTTTATTGGCCCAGCTAATGATTAATAAAACCTCTCATTAAAGGGAACTTTTCGACAGTCAGGAAAAAGGTTTTGTTAAGATCCATCTAATTGACACATTTCACACACACAGACAAAGCCCTCAGCTTCTCAGTTTCTTGTTGGCCTCCAGTACCTCAGCCTTAATACATGTATCAGCCTAGCCTTGGCAATGAGTGTTGGTATGTCAACACTGAAGAAGACGTCACTGCCAACTCTGACCTATCTTCTCATAGCTGCCAAATATGTTGGTTGCCACATATGTTGACTACCAGGAGAGGAGCTGAGAAAGGAAGTAGACCAAGAAGCCCACTGCAGAGTTTTAAACAGTAAAATAATAACCTGTAGCCTTTTGACCAAGTGGCAAGAGTGCTACTAACATTTCCAGACATTTCATTTCAATGTGTTTTTAGATGGAGTCTACAATATAAACTAAAAATGGATATCATTTCATTCAGGCCAACAACTGATGAAGAAATGAAGTCCTTATCTATATATTTTAAATCAATTTCTATTTCCAGTTTTGAAAAGCAAGCAGGAATAGCGTCCATATATAAATATATATTATTTTACTCCGGTGATATAGACTCTTCCAATTGAGAAAGCGAATGGTTTATTTTTCATAGCTACTCTTTGCATAGTTAACAATTTAATACAGTGAATACAGTGGTGAAATTTGTTCTGAAGCACATCAAACAATAATACTGTGAGCTGTGCTGGTCTAGGTTAGGGAAATAATTGTTCTAAATTGTGAAAGGATATTTGCAGTGATGGGGAGAAACATTGCTTCAGCTTCAGTCTGGATCTCAAGATGATGGCAAAGATAGCCTACGCCTTCTGTTGCCTCCAAACCAATTGCCATGGCGTAAAGCTCTATTTCCAACTCAGTACTCAGCCCTGCTGCGACCTGCATGAAAGAAATTCATTTAATTAGCAGAAAAATACATTGCAACAAACTGAAAAGGGGTCCTAACAGTTGTTCAGGCATTGGTATGCTACTGCTTGGCTGGTTTATCAGCTAGTGCACTGCCTATTGTCTGTGCATTAGAACACATCTTTTCAATTTTACTAGTCTTTCAATTTTAAAAGTAAGCTTTTCAAGAAATCAAGAGATGCACATTGAGCTGTTTCTGTGCATCTGTTGCCTGAGTTGGCAGAAACCAGGGAGTAGTTGCAATTCCTGCCCCTTTCAACAAAGCTCTAAAAAATACATAATATTGACAATCATGGAGTTAATGGAATAACAGAAGCATTTGGTTTAACTCTGTTAGTGTTGCCAGATGAACAGATTAGACCTAGACTTTTTGGGAAATTGTGTTCAAGTGATTGATAGTGAAACACTGTACTTACAGGTCCTGGTTTAAAACACAATCTAAGTCCAGTGCTGGACAGAGGAGGCTTCACTCGAAATCTAAAGAAAGACAGCAGAATACATTGAAGGTTTGTCCAGTAATAATCTACAACTAATTCATTGCATTTCAGATAGTGGCCCAGGGATACCTTCAATAAGAGTTGCACAACTCTAACTGTTCCTAAAGAAATAGGAATAAACACTTTGCCAAGAAGGGTGGTGGTGTATCCCTACAACATTCTGATAACAACAACAAATTTACATTTGTACAGGACCTTTTACATCAGGAGGATGTCCCAAGGTGCTAGACAATCAGTGTTTTGGATCCGAGCTGGGGTTCGGGATCGGAGAGGGTGGAGGGCAGGGGGAGAAGGAGGGTGATCAAAGGCATAATTTAAGAGGAGAATCTTGAGACGGTGGAGGGAAGCACTGCGGGATGGAGTTCCAGAGGATGGGAGCAGAGTGGCTGAAGGCTCGCCCACCAGTGCTGGGGCAGATATGGGGGGGACGTGAAGCAGGCCAGAGCCTGCTGAGTGGAGGGAGCAGTTAGGTTGGTAGGGGGTTAGGAGGTCGTAGAGGTAGGGGGCAGCAAGGCCATGGAGGGCTTTGAAAGTGAGGACCAGGATATTGAACTGTATCCTCTGTGTGATGGGAAGCCAGTGGAGTCGGTCGAGGATAGGGGCGATAGGGTCGTGGAGTCTGGTGTGGGAGAAGACATGGGCTGCAGAGTTCTAGATGATCTGCAGCTCATGGAGGGAGGAGTTGGGGAGGCCGAAAAGCAGGGAGTTTGCATAATCAAGCCTGGATGTTATGAATGCGTGAATGAGGATCTTGGTGGTCTGCTGTGTGAGACAGTGGCAGTGCTGGGTGATGTTGTGGAGGTGGGGGAAGGCAGAGTGGGTCATTGCATGGATGTGGGGTAGAAAGGATAGTTGAAGGTCAAACAAGATGCCAAGGTTCCGGACTGGCTCAGTGAGGTGGAGTGCGCATTCTTGGATGGTGATGCTGTCAGCGCTTAAGGTGATGAAGCATTGGCCGGAGCCAATCAGGAGGGACTTGGTCTTGTTGAAGTTCAACTGTAGAAAGTTAGCTCTCATCCAGGACTTGATGCCTGACAAACGTTCTGTCAGCACAGCAGTGGTCCTAGAGTCGAGGGTGGAGGCAGAGAGGTAGAGTGGGTGTCATCCTCATACATGTGGAAGTTGACGCCATGTCTACAGATGATGTCACCAAGAGGGAGCATATAGATATTGAAGAGGAGGGAACCAAGGACAGAGCCCTGAGGAACGCTGCACAAGAAAGTGTGGGGGCTAGAGTAGAAGCCATTTGTGGAGATGAAGTGGAGACGGTGTGAGAGGTACGAACTAAACCAGTCAAGGACAGGACCATGAAAGTTGAGGTGAGAGGTGAGGCAGTGGAGGAGGATAGAGTGGTCAACGGTATCAAAGGCAGCAGAGAGGTCAAGGAGGACAAGGAGGCAGAGGAAGCCCTAGACGCAGATGGATAAAATCTCTGTGATGGCTGTGGCTGACTGAAGCTTAAGGTGGATAACCTGATTTACATAGAAAAATAATCATTCTTTGCCCTGAAAATACACAGAAACTACACTTTATAGTAATTTCTATGAAGCGCTTTGAGACCTCCTGACATAAAAAGATAATGATTATTATTACGATTATTATTATTTTTCAGCTTAATAAGCATATAGATGCACAAAGTAGAGTAAAAAAATTATTTGGTCACTCAATCCATGACTGTTTGTGGGACACTACCGTGCGCAATTGACTGCCACATTTCGCCCACAAAATACAATCAATTCACTTTACAGTGTATTTATTCTGTGAAGCGCTTGAGACGTCTCAAAGACGTGATAAGGCACTATATCAAATGCAAGGATTATTATTATTATTATTACCTGCAGGAATCTACACCAACATTCTTCACCAGGACAGTGAAGGCGTAAGTAAAACCCTCTCGGAGAACACCAAAGTTCACTTCTCTTGGAAACAGCTCGAAGCCTCGAACTGGTTCCCTTAATAAACCACTTGCTAAGGGACCAGCAATTGATACAGTGTTTACTTTTCTTCTGACTGGGTCTTCTATTACAGCAAACTAAAAAAAAAATGTTTTTTTTCATTTTTGAATGAATATTTTTACCGATTCTCTTCTCCCCTTGTTAATTGTTCTGACAAGCTAGAATGATTTGAACCAGAGTCACTCAAATGGGAATTACAGAAATTTACAGTGCAGAATGTGACTATTTGGCCCATTGTCTGTGTTATCTCTTTTAAAAACAATCCTTTGAGTCCCAAATTACTTGCCTTTTCCCCATACCCAGCATTACCAGCAATGCAGTGAAAGGTGTTATGCTATTTGGGAAGGTTGTTATGCTATTTACTTCAATCACTGCTTTCGTTTCACTCTCCCCCTGCACCTCCGACTATGTAATGTCTTACTTCTGATAATTGTACTGTTAAGCATTTTAGCTCAGAACAGATTAATAAAACTTAGATTCACAAATTTATATATTATTCCCTCAACCCCTGCATCCAGGAGTTCCTGAAACACGATATGCTGGCAATGAGCTGCAGATCAATTGGCATTAAAGAGACAGTCCCGATGATACACCAATCTTTCTCTGTCAGATGCCAATTAAGCTGTTTTGCATTTTTTCTTTTTATTCTCAATTTCCAATTCCCTGTGGCTGTTCTTTCACCTCATATGGCTATAGTTTGCTGCCTTTGCAGAAATTAACTTTTGGAAATTAACCTGTTCAACTCACTGAATGTACTAGGAATAAATTCCCCTCCTCATGAATTGCTTATGGAATCTAAAGCATTTGAGGATTTTAGTATTACACTTGCTTCATTCTCCATTTTGTTATACTCTCCAGAATGAGGTAAGCAGGATGTATCCCTTCAGGAAGAGATTGAGCATTCCATTTCATAAATGGGAATTTCCACGTGTAAGTGAAGTACTGAAATGCTCTTAAGCTTGGTGATACCTTTCCACATATGTCAGATATGCAGCTGAACAAAAAATAAATTTAACACAAGGATGTGATATTGGCATAGTTAACACTGTTAATGTGTTGAACCCTTACCTTCTGGTTCCGTAGACAACCAGGTTTTGAACCCAGAATAGCTGATGGGAGTCTGATTTTGGTTTTCCTTGGCTGGCCTAAAGGATCAATCACTAAGTGTTTATTTAAGATGAGGTTGCTTCCATGGGTAGGCAGTTCTTCTGGTTTGTACAGCAGAAATCCATATTCTTATTAAAGGGAAAATGGAATTACATATTATTAGAGATGTAAAAGAAATTTGCATTTTTTTCCTCCTTCAATTTTCACCTCTTTCTTTGCTGGGCTACAGTTTCATCAGCACAATTCAATACCTCAGCTTCTGATCTCTCAATTTTTTTTCAATATATCCATAATGATCATCAGAAAAGAACAGTTAAGTTTTTTAAATTTGTAATTCTTCAAATAATAATGGGTGAACATCAAATACTGTGCATGCATGTCAGTATATGGATCTAGATTGAGTATGATAATAAATTAACAGAGCTGTTCTGAGAAAACTAAAATTAAAGAGACTGATACATTATAATATCTTGAAATACAGTCTCTCATGTCAGGATATCTCAAAGCGCTTCACATGATTTTACTGTAAAGTATATTGACTATGAACTTTTTAGCGAACGTGGTAGCCAATTGATGCACAGTAATGTCTCACAGACAGCCAGGACATGAATGATCCATTTTATCTGGGGATTGTTAGCTGGGACAACAAGAGAAAGTCCTCTTCTTTTTAACAAGCAGAGGGGGCCTCGGTTGAATGTCTCATTTGAAGAACAACATTTTTGACAATGCAGCACTGCTTTAGAACTGTATTGGAGTGACCTTTTACTCTATGAGCTCACAGCCCACAGACATGGGGCTTGAACTCACAACCATCTAACTCATAGGCGAAAGTGCTACCAGCTGAGCTAGGCTGACACCTTAAAACCTTATCTGAATCATGTAAAACTAATGGTTTAAGAATGGTACATGCCTTGACATTATGCTGATGTTGTTAAATGTATTTAGGTATCCAGACTCAATCTTGGTCATAATACATTGATTAAAAATAAAGCAGCAAGAAGTAATGTAATGAAATTCCACATCTCACTTCAAACAAAATGATCATTCCCTTACCGCATTGCAGGTTTTCACTGTCCTCTGGGCAGCACACAGTTTTGCCACCAGATGATGAAGCAGGTGATCCTTTACAGGTATTTTTGCAACTTGACTGAGGAAATTGATTTGCACATCCTCCTTTTGATGAAGGGACATAACATGTTCCGATTTTATTAGTGTACAACTAAAAATAATGTGCTGAAATCCCGACAGACAATTCCCTTGCTGAACAAGAACCCTTTCATTTCAGTTCAAACCATTGTCCTGAGGTACAAATCATTTCAAGAAATAATTTCTCACTTTTTTGAACGCTGATCTGATTCAATTCCAGTGTGGAATGGATTGAATAGATGTGGATGTGGTTCAATTAAATGGACACTTAACTCAAATAACAATGTATAACTGTTTTATTTCCATATTATTTTATACTTCATTGAAATATTGACAATAAAAGTCCATATTCCTCATTCATTCAAATATACATTCCATAGTGCTATGTTATGGAGTGGTAACAGAAACTGATTGTGGCATTGAAGATGTCAAACTTAAAATTAGCCTCTTTCACACTCTTTATTTTAATAAAGCATTCTGAAAATGTTGTGATCAAGGCTGCTGAAGATTCACAACAAAACGATTTACTCTGCTGAATTTTGATTTTCTCAGAATTTCAGAGTCGAATTTGCCAAATTGTTGAATTCAGTCAAGAGCTTCAAGCTGATTTTCTGTTGTACTTTAGAATACTCTAGAAAATAAAAAAAGTTACAGAATTAAGACAGTAGTTAATGTCTCCGAATTCTGGGCATTCTGAAATGTAGGAATTTCTATTGCTCAATCTGCTGAAGAAGGTCATGTAGATTCTGTCTACTGAAGATTACATGGATTTGATCTGCTGAAGCTCACATAAATTCTGCTGAAGGTCACATAGATTCTGTCTACTGAAGGTCACAGATTGTTGGGATTCCAATGGCTACACAAGCTACCTTGAACAAGCTCGGGCCCTGACACTTAACTGTTCAGCGCTTTGGGAGACTCCTCCCGACATGAAAGGAGCTCCATAAATATAATTTTGTTGTTGTTGTTGCTACAGCTTTTGGAACAAATTCACAGAAATGCACTAACTGCAATGTAACCGATACAACTACTGTATCTCTTATTTGTTGTTTATCAACTGTGCAGCATCACCCAAAAGACTCCATAATAAAAAGGTCACATTGTTTCAAAACAACTTACTGCGCAAGGCAGTAAAACATTTCAACATGGTAAAGTGCTAAATAATAATAATAATAACCCTTGCTTTTGACATAGTGCTTTTCTAGACGTCTCAAAGTGCTTCACAGAATAGACTGTAAAGTGAATTGATTGTGTATATTTGTGGGTGAAATGCAGCAGCCAATTGCGCACTGCAGTGTCCCGCAAACAATCGTGGATTGAAAATGATCAATTTATTATTGCGTTTTTTCTTGAGGGATTATTATCAGGCGTGTGGAATAATAATAATAATAATCCTTGCATTTGGTATAGCGCTTTTCACGTTGGGAGGACGTCCCAAAGCGCTTCACAGAACACACTGTAAAGTGAATTAACTGTATATTTGTGGGCGAACGCGGCAGCCAATTGCGCACAGCAATGTCCCACAAACAGTCGTAGATTGAAAATGACCAATTTATTAATGCTTTGTTTTGGAGGGATTATTATTATTAGGCGTGTGGAGTAAGGAAACTTGCCCAAGGTTTTGCCCTGCCTGGAATTGAACTCAGGTCTCTCGCTTGCAAAGCGAGTGCTCTAACCACTGAGCTACAGGACTCCACAAAATTACAAGAACTAAACATAATAGCCAATACTTCAGTGCAACTGGTTGAAAGAAACAAGCTATGAAGCAATAAGTATAACAAAGCTTTAATATCATACCACTACTCACACCATACATTTATTCCAACCGTTTGCTACAAAAGGAGTTTGATGCATTTTAGTGACCTGAAATTTTGTTCTAGCTTTATGAACAAATGAAATGTAAGTTTAAAAATATTACAGTGCTGCTGGATTAGTTAGGGTAAAATAATCCCGGTCATATTAATTTTGCATCAAAATATATTGTGGTGATTAGCGTGGTTTTATAAAGCTTCTATGGAATAAATCTGTAGAATTCTATAAATGTTAGCATTCCCAAATTTCAAGAACAGAAATGGGAAATTCCCCCAAAAGGTTTTATTTTTCTCTTGTATTTCAAAATGCCTTTTGAGGTTTCCAAGAACCTGAAAAGCTGTGGTTGCCTTGTTACCTTCAGAGTTCCACTGAATGGTGACAGACAGAAACATGAAGCAAAAGAATCTGCAGATATGAAACAGGCGGAGACGCAGCAAAAGATAAACAGAATAAAAGAGAAGAATCAACAGGGCTTGAGAGATAAAAGAAACAAACAACAGAACAAGGAAGAAAAATCCCCAATAAAACCATTCCAATAAAAGAAAACTGCAATAAGAAACAGAGAAAAGTAGAAACTGGGGAGCAAAAGATAAAGTAAAGCAAGATTAGATAAAATATTAAATAAAAAGTTTGATTGTTGCTAAATGCTTTCTGTACAGTAAACTCCTGATACCTCGTTACTCCAAGGGACACTCCTGACCAACAATCTCCCAATAAAATTGGTCACTCCCTCCTTCCATGGCTGTTTTTCGGACACTGCTGTCCTCATCTGGGTCCCACACTTGACAATATGTCCTGTAAAGCACTTTAAGACATCTCTACAACTTGAATGGCGCTATATTAAATGCAACAATTATTATTACAAAACAGCTCAGTGACGATTTATCCAAAGTGGCAAGTTAGGCATACGTATAAACACAAATAAATGCAGAAGGGAAACAAAAAACAGAAGTTGCTGGAAACACTCAGCAGGTCAGGCAGCATCTATAGAGAAAGGAAAATGAGTCAACATTTCAGGTCCAGAACTGGGGCATGTTGAGAGGGAGGAGCTTTTAAGGGTGAACAGACAGGGGGGAGGCAAGGCAAGGAAAAGGAGAAAGTGGGGTAGAGGACAGGGGATGATGGGTTAAAGAGGTGTTAATGATGTGAAACAAAGGGGAGATTGCCACACACAGGGGAATAGAGGTGTTAATACTGCAGAATGAAGTGGGGTGGGATGGGAGAGAGAACTTGTAACAAATCAGGCAGATTAGGAAGAGAAAAGGTGTGCCTGGGACCAAGATGATGTGGTAATGGTTACAGAAGTAATGCAGAAGGGATATTGGCTTGAGTGGAAGTGATAAGTTAAGCCAGTTATCGGGGGTTTACTGTATTCTTTATTTCTTTGGATATTTTCCCAGATATATTAATCCTTGCATTTGATGTAACACCTTACCACTTCTTAGAGATGTGTCAAAGTGCTTCACAGAATATACTGTAAAGTGAATTGACTATATATCCTGTAGCTCAATGGTTAGAGCACTCGCTTTGCAAGTGAGAGACTGAGTTCAATTCCAGGTCAGGGCGAAACCTTGGGCAAGTTTCCTTACTCCACACACCTAATAATAATAGTCCCTCCAAAATCCAAAACAATAATAAATTGGTCATTTTCAATCTACGACTGTTTGTGGGACATTGCTGTGCACAATTGCCTGCCGCGTTCGCCCACAATTATACAGTCAATTCACTTTGCAGTGTGTTCTGTGAAGCACTTTGGGACGTCCTTTTGACGTGAAAAGCGCTATATCAAATGCAAGGAAAATAAATAAATAAATTTGTATGCAAAACACGGCAGCACAGCAGTTGTGGATTCAGTGACCAAAATATTGTTATTTATATACACATTTGGATCTTTTTTAAATCAATTATTTGTATATTTGATATTATGTGGTATCCTTTATGCATATCCTTTTCAGCAACATGGGAAAATACAGGAAAAACTGCAGTGTAAGTGAAATTTCTGTTCACAACCAAGAAGAGTGTGGTCAATGAACAGTTGCCTTGTATATTCTTATTAACATGAGGGTTGGCTCATAAATGAACCAGTTTCTTACCTTGTGTGTGATGGGGACACTGAATTTGTGGCGTTGATTCAGATGACCTCTTTAGACAATTGCCTCTCTGTGCTGCACGAATAGGGGTGGGGTTTGGAGGTCGGTTACAAACATCTGATACTAAAACTGAAAAAAAAGGTTTCATCTTTTCATTCTTGTTGGTGCAAATATTTGTTAATATAAGGATTCAAGATTTTTGGGGGAAATGGAACAATTCATCATTCTCTGTCAGGCAGGTGAAATATATGTATCTCATGCATTATCAAATCAGACAATTTCATTTAAATCTGCCCATTGTGAAGTCATAAGTAAATCCAGTCCAGTCACTTTTTCTATTTGTCAATTTTTCTTTTACAACTTTCTCCCCTTGACTTGTTTTCCCCTTCCACTGGGACATGGTTGTGTGGGACCTAATCACCTGCCCAGAACCTAGTCCAAGTGACCAATAATTATTTCTGAATTTTGAAAGTTACTGTTGGCAGGTTATTCTTCCATAGATTTTATTACAGCCAAGTCCAATTACTCGATGAATACTTGTACACACTTCCAGCTTTGGTCTCTGCATAGCAGCCAAGAATGCAAATCCTGGTTGACCTTCTCTTCTCTAACCAATGGGGACACTGAAGGATCATGAGGAATCCTCATTGATAACCTGAGCACTTGCTTTTAGTAAAACTTTACCCAAGCTCACAAGAGAGGTTTATACTGTATATATAAGCTCCTTCCACCTCGTTCTTCCTGTCCAATAAGAGGAGTCCAACATTATGGCATCAAACTGTGTAAAATGAATTGAGTGTACTGATCTCAACTCTTCTACACAGATTCCTGAGGTAACTCACTGAATGCCAACCCCATTTTGACTTTACCTGTATCTGAATCACAAGAAGTTGAAGCTGAATTATTCTGAATTAGTCCTGAGCAATGAGTTTCCATCGTTGGGCATCCTGACACGTGCTTGGAGTAACAATTCACATCAGGCGCCTATGCAAAATAAATATTATACGCAGAATATTTTTTATATACACTTCTTGAACATTGCATACCATTCAGATTGCTGCAAGAATTGAAGCATATTGTTTCCATGCAGGCTACTCTACTAAAGTATTGATCTTTTCTGGGGAAATTGGGGCTATGAAATAAAAAAATTATTGATTTCCTGAAAATTGGAAATCCAGACCCGTGTAACTATCGACAGGTTTTGGACATGAACCAATTGTGACTTTGGCACAATGGTTTAGTCCATTGACAAATGTTACCGTCTTGGATTCCTGCTTAATGGTTCTAATTTTCAAACCAAACCAGTGTTTGACAGCTGCTTCACAGGTCAAATGGAAGGTTGAAAACTTTAAAGATTGCTCCCATTGCTTTTCTCTGATCGTGGAGAGAGGTATTTCTGTTAATAGACTTACCTCAATCAGTATAGTGTAAAGCAACACTGATAACAGCGGTCTTGTGTTGAGATAAAGAAAATTGTTGCTGGAGGGCAAGGAATCCAAGTGAAGGTAAAACATTTTGAAAACAGGCTTTGGAACAAGCCGTTGTGGTACAGTGGGAAGGGGCAGGAGAAGAGTACATTCCAAATGTATCGATAGTTATAGACCGGATTGATTAACAATTTTTGTTGTTGTGATAATGTTTCTGAATCTCCAAATTTGCAGTAAATTATTTAAATGAGACCATGTTTCCTCCCCTTGTCATCATTCTTTCCTGAGACATAGGCTCATGTTTCACACGTACTTGCAACGCTCCAATATTTTGCTCATACTGGCTGTTCATTATATGATACAAACGGAAATTTGTATTGTATTGATTATGTGAGTCAATATGGCATGGCATGTCCAAAGGAACATATCTTGATAACTGATTGCATGCAACTCTTTCCTAGCTATTGTATTGTGTTATATTATTATATTGAGTTATATTATAATATTATTATAGTATAATTATACATTATATTGTGTTATATTATTATACTGTATTGAGAATCATGTTTGTGTTATATTATATATTATTATATTGCATAATAATATTGTATTACAACTCTTTCCTAGCTATTGTAATCTGGATATCGACAAACAGTCCTTTACTCTGTATGTGTAATAATAATAATCTTTGTATTTGATATATCGCCTTATCATGTCATTGAGACAGCTCAAAGTGCTTCACAGAATATATTGTAAAGTGGAGTGACTGTGTTTGGTGTAGGTTTATATTCCACTGATAACAAATGATCACCATGCTGCAAAAGCCCTTCAGAATTTGAATTGCGGAGGCAAAAATAGGGAAGAATAGTAATTATAATAATCCTTGCATTTGATGTCGTGCCTCATCACGTCTTCTAGACATCTCAAAGCGCTTAACAGAATATACTGTGAAATTAATTGACTGTATTTTGTTTGGTGAAACGCGACAGCCAATTGTGCAGAGCCGTGTCCTTCAAACTGTCGTGGATTGAGGGACCAAATAATTATTATTTTTTGTAAGGAAATATTACCCCTGGAAAAGTGATCCACCAATCGACTACCAATTGGGTTGCTACTTATTGCTGGGTAAACAGAGGCGTGAGTAAGGGAGTAAGGAAACTTTTCCAACGTTTCACCCTGCCCGGGAATCAAACCCAGGTCCTCTCACTTGCGAGGCGAGTGCTCTATCCACTAAGATACAGAAAAGTGCCGTTTAATCATCAGTACCTCCACTTTGGTATCACAGTCAGTGTCGTGGGAGTCACAATGAAAAAAAGCACTAATTTTTACACTGAAACATTGAACAACAAATTATCTAGTACCTGGTTCGAGATAAAAGCCATACCCATCTCAGACTGGAAGTAGGGGGGGATGATCATGTTCTTCAGAGCTAATTGAGAGTTTTTTGCCTCACAAAGCTCCTGCCTAATAAATAGATACAGCAGTTCTGAACCACAAGAAACAATCACAGCTACATATCAAATGTTTACAATTACAGTGGAAATAACAAGCCTTTGAAATTCTAGCTTCATTCATTCCATTCAACAAAGTAACCAGCTAGGTGCTTCTCTCACACTGGAATATCACTACTTATGCTCCATGAAGTCAGTAAAAAGGATTACGTTCCTTCTTTTTTGTTTTAGCTCGGAGTAGGAACAGAGGATGAATGTTTGGGTCAATGTTGGGTTGAGATTTGGCTTAGGTGCTAGACGGGATCTAGCAGTGTTGAAAAAGTATCCAAATATCTTCAGGAAAGGAGGAGGGGTAAATTGGAGGAATGGTCTGCCTTCACCTGTAATATTACTCTTGTTCTATTATTTCTTGAAGTTGCTTCTGGTATCATTTTTGTTTCTTTTAAGTAAGAAACGTCATGACGCTTCCTACTTAAATAGTCTTTGTGTACTACAACCTCTGAGTAGAATGGGGAAATTTACTGCAAGACAGTTGTAGAATGTGACAAGTGGTTTGGCTTCAGGATGGAACTCAGGGCAAATTGTTTTGATCCCAAGGTACCAGACTCCATGTATCAGACGATGTGCCTGAGTTTGTTATTTTAAATGCAACTAAAATGAAAGTCTGGGAAACAGCAGCTTTACTTCGAAGGAACACCTCCCAATCAGTCTTTGTATTCTATTTAAACTAGCATCTCCCTTATCTTCTTACATTCATTTATTCTTTCTTAGAGTATTTTTTTTTACCTGTACTCTTCTAATCTTTGGGGCCATTGAGATTCATGCTTGTGTTCACTTAAGAGAAAAATAGAGAATATTAAAATTCCTGATATGTTCACTTACACTATAACAATTGTTTTTCTTTCAGTTAACTAATACTACAGTAAAAAAAATCTGGTTTCTGTTATGTAGGTTCTGGGATCACATTAACCCATGTGATACGGTATAGTGCTTCAATCCATTTTTTAAAAAAAGTCAGACCATTCAGTAGAATAAGTTCTAAAATCAGTTATTTTATCAAAAAACCTTCATTATTTTAACCTGTTAGTAAAGATAGTTTGTTTTTCTAATATAAAAGTAATTGTAGCTTGCAGTCATTTTTTAATATTTATTTGGCTGAATTTATTTGGAACCAAAATGATTTTGCTATTAAAGAATCCCCCATTAAATGTGAAATCATTTGACTAACAATATTTTTCATATTCAGCAATTTAACATTTCATACTATACATAGTCCATTTGGGTAAGTACCAGAAATTATCACCTTCAACTAACTGATTTAATATTTTTCAATTATTAAATGCTAGTGCCATGAAACAGAAATAAAAATGAAGATGGGAGAGAAAAAAATTTGGAATTCTGCTGAGATTGGATTTGCGTACCTGCCTCGAAACAACTCTTCACATTTAGTCATCTCGGTTGGGATCTGTATTGGGGGTGCCACAGCGTGCTCATAAATTGAGGCTACATCCACTATATTACATAGAAAATAATTAGACAGATATGTAGAGATTTAAGATTGTCATGCCTTTTCGTTCACATTCATACCCTTGCACAAAATGACATTGATTACTATTTTCTATGGTCTGTCAAGTGGCCATCCCGTGGCCCGCGGGCAGGAAGAGCCTGTGGGGCCGTCAAGAAGTGCCCTGCTGAACTTTCGCACTAGTCTAGGTGAGTCTGTTTCGAATCAATATTTTGTTTCCATTTCTTTCTTTATTGAATGTGTCTGGATTTATGCCATCAATCAAGAAATAATCAATCAATCAAGAAAATGTATTTTGTTGGCTGAGCAAAAAGACTGATCACCACTGAATGGTATTCTAGATCAGGGTGGTCCAACTGGTGGCTGTGGGCTGCATCTGGACCAGGGGATGATTTCCAACTTCATTGTCCGCTGAATAAATACAGGTGACAAGTTGAGGAGATGGTCACTGGCTGACAATGGTACTGGTCAACAAGGAGACAGACATGGGTGGGGAGGGGGTTCAGGCTCATCACCATGCTTGAGAAAATATGGGATGTTCTCTCGTGACTTTAAATCTGTTTTGCTTATTCTTGATTATTTTGAAATATTAGATATCACTGAAACATGATTACAAGGAGATCTATGGTGGGAGTTAAATATTCCAGGATTCTCAGTTTACAGGAAAGGTAGGCACTGTGGGAAATGAGGTGCCGGGTTAGCCCTGTTAATTAGGGATGAAATAAAAGCAGTGGAGAGGAAGGATCTGAAATCCGATGACCAGGAGGTAGAGATAATATGGGTGGAAATAAAAAATAACAAGGGGCAGAAAATATTAATGGGAGTGGTTTATAGACCCCCAAACAGTGATCACAATATAGCACAAGGTATTAATCAAGAAATCAGTGGAGCATGTAGGAAAGGTAAAGCGATAATAGTGGGTGATTTCAATCTCCACATAGATTGGGAAAAACAAATTGGCAAAAGTAGGTTAGAAGAAGAGTTCATTGAGTATATGAGAGATAACTTTCTAGAGCAGCATGCCGAGGAACCAACTAGGGGATAGGCCATCCTGGACCTTGTTTTGTTTAACGAAACAGGGCTAGTCGGCAGTGTAGGTATTAAGACTCCTCTAGAGCAGAGTGATCACAATATGATTGAATTCTGCATTAAGTTAGAGAAGGATATAGTTAAATCCGAAGCAAGTATTCTGAATTTAAATAAGGCTAATTTTGTAGGTATGAAGAAAGATTTCGGTAAAATGAACTGGAGAATCAGATTAAGAGGTAAAAATGTAGACCAACAGTGGCAAATATTTAAGGATGTAGTGCATAATTCTCAGCGGTCGCATATTCCCTTGCAGAATAAGAGTATCACAGGGAAAGCAATTCATCCGTGGCTAACTAGAGCAGTTAGGGAAAGCATCAAATTAAAAGAAAAAGCTTATAAAAGCAAATCTGAAGATTGGGAGAGTTTTAGAAACCAGCAAAACAAAAACTAAAAAACTCATTAAGAGCGAGAAAAAGGAGTATGAGGGTAAGCTAGCTAGGAACATTAAGTCAGATTGTAAAAGTTTTTACAAATACATTAAGAGGAATCGGCTAGTGAGGGTAAATGTAGGTCCACTTCAGTCAGAGACGGGAGAAGTTGTAATGGGTGATAAGGACATGGCAGAGTCCCTAAATGGATACTTTGCATCTGTCTTCACCCTAGAAAACACAAGTCTGCCAACAATAGAGATGCACCAAGGGGATAAGGACAGGGAGCAACTTAGGGAAATTTTTATTAGTCGAGAATTGGTGCTAGGGAAACTGTTAACACTAAAAAGTGACAAATCTCTTGGTCCAGATGGCTTGCATCCCAGGGTTTTAAAAGAGGTAGCTTATGATATAGTGGAGGCCTTGTATCTGATCTTCCAAAATTCCTTGGATTCTGGAATAGTCCCCATGGATTGGAAGATCGCAAATGTCACACCACTATTTAAAAAAGGTGGAAAGGAAAAGATGGGGAACTATAGGCCAGTTAGTCTCACATCAGTGATAGGAAAAATTTTAGAATCATTGATTAAGGATGTGGTTTTGTGGTATTTAGGGGAGCACGATATAATTAGGCCAAGTCAACATGGCTTCACAAAAGGGAAGTCATGTTTGACAAATCTCATAGAATATTTCGAGTAAACTAGATAAGGGTGAATCAGTGGATGTGGTCTATTTGGACTTCCAGAAGGCATTTGATAAGGTGCCGCACAAAAGGTTAGTCCAAAAGATAGGGGCCCATGGAATTGGGAGCATGTTAACGTGGATTGGGGAAAGGTTAACAGGTAGCAAACAAAGAGTAGGGATAACCGGGTCCTTTTCAGATTGGCGGGATGTGACTAGTGGAGTGTCACAAGGATCAGTCCTTGAGCCTCAGCTATTTACCATCTACATCAACGATCTAGATGAGGACATCAAAGTTAATATATCTAAATTCATGGATGACACAAAACTAGGAGGAAGTGTCAACACAGAGGATGACATTAAAAAAATGCAGCGTGACATAGATAGGTGAGGTGATTGGGCAGGTAGTTGGCAGCTGAAGTATAATGTAGGGAAGTGCAAAATCATCCACTTAGGTAACAAAAATAGAAGAGCAAGTTATTTTTTAGAAGGGGAGAGATTGGAATGTGTTAGCGTCCAGAGGGACTTGGGTGTCCTTGTACACCAATCACAGAAAGTTAGTCTGCAGGTGCAGCAGCAATTAGGAAAGCTAACGGTATGTTAGCATTCATTATGAAAGGATTAGAGTATAAGAGTAGGGAAGTCTTGCTGCAACTGTATAGGGCCCTGGTGAGACCACACCTGGAATACTGTGTGCAGTTTTGGTCTCCTCATTTAAGGAAGGACGTACTTGCCTTGGAGGGGGTGCAGCGTAGATTTACTAGGTTAGTACCAGAGATGAAGGGGATGAGTTACGAGGATAGGCTGACCAATTTGGGCCTATATTCTCTAGAATATAGAAGAATTAGAGGGGATCTTATAGAAACCTAGTAGATAGAGTAGTGGGAGTAGATAGTGGGAGATTGTTTCCCCTGGTTGGAGAAACTAAAACCAGGGATCACAACCTTAAAATCGGAGGCCAGCCCTTTCGCACTGAGTTGAGGAAGAACTTCACTCAAAGGGTGGTGAATGTATGGAACTCGCTACACCAAAGGGCTGTTGACGCTCAGTCCTTGAACACATTCAAGACTGAGATAGATAGATTTCTTATTGCAAAAGAGATTAAGGGATATGGGGATAAGGCAGGGTCAGGTTATTAGCTGGAGTTAGATTAGAAGATCAGCCATGATTGAATGGCGGGGCAGGCTGAAAGGGCCGAATGGCCTACTCCTGCTCCTACATGTTATGTTATGTTATATTCAGTGTATCTTTATTTAATATCTTTGATAGATTTGCAATGATGGATTAATCTGTTTGGGTTTTGTTGAGCATTCTCTGTAAGGACATCCACATGCTGAGTTGATATCCTGTGTTTTGATACATAAAAATGAACTTAATACATATATTATTTCCATTTTAGATTATCATTATTTTGTTCATTGTTAGGGCTGTTAATAATTGTGTGCATTTTAATTCACTTAATTATTTTCTTTCACTTTCATTGTTTACTATGGAGTTAATGATTATTTTTGTATATATGTACTTTATTGATAAAAGTGTATTAAGTATAAAAGGGTATGAAAGCAAGTTTTATGTAGGCTGGATTGTTAGTAAAAAATGAAAATGTACCTTTAGTTGCTTCCTTATCTTCTATTTGTGATTCTTCATTGTCAGGATAGGACTGCAGAAGAGTCACAGTGTTACATTTAAGGTACTGTATTTCCAATTTTCAGTACATTAGTCAGAAGACAAATAGGATGCATGATGTAAAGATAGACTAAATAGATAAACAATGCAGCCTACTGAGCATCCAATAAGAAAGCAATATGAATTGAATAGTATTATTCTTTAAAGGGATCCTCAATATAGCACCAAAACTCTGCACTGTTTTTTTTCCCTTCATTTTGTGATGTTACTGGAGATTCAAAGAAGAGGCCAAATACTTGGTCATATGGAAATGGGAGTAAGGAGAGCTGTCTGACTTCTATGCATTTCCTACATGTTTTATTAGGTTTTGGTATACCTAATAGGGTACAATTTGTGAGGATCCAAAACTGGTTAAAAACATCAGTTGAAGATATTGTGAGAAATGTATGCACTGATACATATATACCTATATACATATATAGTGTTCTGCCAATATCTCCCCACTATCTCCAAAAAAATAACGATCTTTATTGATGTTCACCCTGCATTTCTGAGTAATTGGTTTCTGCTGGTTGAATAAGAAATGTTACAGTGTGGATTAGAAAGGTGGTTTCATACCAGAACTAGTTTAAACAGATCAGCAGCTTGCATACGCTCTTCCTCACTGCGTGGCTCCTTAATTATCATTTCATTCACTTCTTGTTCCTTCTGCAGAATTTGCTCTATGTACTCCTAACATGAAAGAAATATTACCTTAAATATTGCAAAATACATAGGAAAATATAAAACTAAAGAAATTCCCTTACTTTTATTAGTCGTGCCCTTTGTTTTAAGATAGAAATATTAGGACCACATTTAATTTAAAAACCTAGCTGACACCACAAGAATTTTACATTACATGTACTCTTCTACTCTCAAAATCTAAATACCTTAAGAGAATTTTGCATTTGATGCCGGAGTTCTACACGAACAGGTTCATACTGGAAGAGCTGACGGACTTCTAGAACAGGGGGGCACTTTAAGACAGGAAGAGGAGGTCGTGGTACATTCTGAAGTGACAAGTCACAGATGTTTGTGCCAAAAATAGGTCCGGGTGTCTTCTGCTGTAAATATTAAACATAGAAAGAGGAATATATATGATTTACAAGGATGTGTTATAAATTATACTTATGGTGAGTTAGCTTTGGATTTGAGAAGCTTTATTGGCAAAACCTAGAGACAGAAACACAAAACTAGTAACTAAACATCTGTGTGACAATATTTTAAAATTGGAAAGTTGTGAAACCCATGTTTGTGAAGAAATGAAGAGCAATTTCCCAGTGCTTTATTGTTTGCCTGGGTTAATCTGAGTTTGATTGCAACTACATAATCAGTGCATGTCTCAGAGAAGGAATGATGCCGGGGGCTGCTGAAATTTATAGTAAGGGGCTATTGAGAAGACATTCAATAAAGCTGTAGACTTTTTCTGCATTCAAGCTAGAAAATTAGAAGCTAAAGTAAACCTAAGTGAAATTGGTGACTGCTCCAGTGATGCAATTGAATATATACCAGAAGCTTTAAAGTACTTCACTAAAAGAGGCTATTGTGGAGTCCTGTAGCTCAGTGGTTAGAGCACTCGCCTTGCAAATGAGACACCTGGGTTCAATTCCAGGCAGGACGAAACTTTGGGCAAGTTTCCTTACTCCACACACCTAATAATAATCCCTCCAAAACAAAACAATAATAAATTGGTCATTTTCAATCCACGACTGTTTGTGGGACTCTGCTGTGCGAAATTGGCTGCCGCGTTCGCCCACAAATATACAGTCAATTCACTTTACTATATCAAATGCAAGAATTATTATTATTATTATTAACCTCCTCGGTCACTCTCCTCCACAATTACATAAGAACATAAGAAATAGGCGCAAGAGTGGGCCATTCGACCCCTCGAGCCTGCCCCACCATTTAATAAGATCATGGCTGATTTTCTAACCTAATTCCATTTACCTGCGCTATCCCCATATCCCTTAATCTCTTTAGTTTTTAAAAATCTATTGATCTCAGTCTTGAATATGTTCAATGACTGAGCATCCACAGCCTTCTGGGGTAGAGAATTCCATAAATTCACTACCCTCTGAGTGAAGAAATGTTTTTTCAACTCAGTTCTAAAAGGCTGAGCTTTAATCCTGAGACTATGAGCCCCTAGTTTTAGATTTTCCAATCAGGGGAAACAGTTTCACATTATCTATCCTGTCAAGACCCTTAAGAATCTTATAGGTTTCTATAAGATCACCTCTAATTCTTCTATATTCTAGAGAATATAGGCCTAGTCTACTCAACCTCTCCTCATAGGTCAACCCCCTCATCCCAGGAACCAACCTAGTGAACCTACATTACACCCCCTTTAAGGCGAGTATATCCTTTCTTAGATAAGGAAACCAAAACTGCACAATATTCCAGGTGCAGTCTCACCATGGCCCTACACAATAGACTTTCCTACTCTTGTACTCTAACCCCTTTTCAATAAAGGCTAACATGCTATTAGCCTTCCTAATTGCTTGCTGTACCTGCATACTAACTTTCTGTGATTGGTGTACAAGGACACCTAAATCCCTCTGAATACTAACACTATCTAGTCTCTCCCCCTCTAGAAATTAATCTGTTTTTCTATTTTTTCTACCTAGGTGAATAACTTCACACTTTCCCACATTATATTCCACTTGCCAAATTCTTGCCCACTTACTTAACCTGCCTATATCGCTTTGCATCCTCCTTGTGTCCTCCTCACAGCTTACTTTCCCACCTAGCTTTGTATCACCCTCACCTACAAGGCCATTCACGGCCTTGCTCCCCTCTACCTCTCCGACCTACTATCCCCCTACCTACCTGCCCGTACCCTCCGTTCCTCTGGCTCCGGTCTGCTCCACATCCCCCGCCCCAACCGCCCTACCATCGGTGGCCGGGCCTTCAGCCTCTCAGCCCCCAGGCTCTGGAACTCCATCCCCCAGTGCCTTCGCCTTGCTTCCTCCCTTTCCTCCTTCAAGGCCGGTCTCAAGACCTTTCTCTTTGACCGTGCCTTCGGCTCCCCTCTCGACTCTCTACCCCCTCCTCGTTCCCTCCCTTCCCTCCCCTCACCCTGACCATTTCTCCCTTGCTCGGGTCCTGACCCAACTGTACAGCGCCTTGGGACGTCCTCCCGACATGAAAGGCGCTCAATAAATGGAATCTTGTGTTGTTGTTGTTGTATCGTCCGCGAATTTAGATACATTAAGCTGTATTTCCTCATCTAAGTTATTGATGTTCACTGTAAATGGTTGAGGCCCAAGCACTGATCCTTGCGGCACTCCACAAGTCACAATCTGCCAATCTGTGAAGGACCCGTTTATCCCTACTCTGTTTTCTACCTGTTAACCACTCTTCGATCCATGCTAATATATTACCCTTAATTCCATGAGCCCTAATCTTATGTAACAACTTTTTATGTGGCACCCAGATACTGCTGTGCGCAATTGGCTGCCGCGTTTCGCCCACAAATATACAGTCAATTCACTTTACAGTATATTCTGTGAAGCGCTTTGAGATGTCTAGAAGACGTGAAAAGCGCTATATCAAATGCAAGGATTATTATTATTATTATTCTTTATGGATGAACTTCTTGTGTTGACAGTGAGTGCCAAAACATTATTGGATGGGCAGGTAAATAACAGGAGGACAAATAGCATTCAGGAAAATTTGGATCAATTAAGCAGACACAATGGACTACAAATTTACATTTAAATAGTGCTTTTCACGTTGAGAGGAGATAAGCCATGAAGTTGAAGATGGTACCTCTACTGAAGGAAACTTGTCCCACTTTCTTGACTGAAGGTTGGGAGGTACAATGTTGTCTATTTCTTTCTTAATTAACCAGCGGGATCCAATGTCCTCAGTGGCTGGCTGGAGAAAAGTGATACCCAGGACCCCTGTTTGAAACAGATGGAAGGCTCAAAGGTAAAAGAATAGTATCAAGATGTTTCTGTTAAATATGGTGTATTTCACAACCATCTAATAATATAAAATTCCATGTTTCAGTTGCTATGTGGTTTATCCCTTCAAGGATAATTATATGGGGAAAGTGTGTGATGAATGGGAGGCTCAAAAATACCTTATTACTATATTCTTAAAAAGTATATAAAGTTACAGGGAAGTTATTATAAGAAACTACACCTATTTCTGGGACACTACTGTGCGCAATTGGATGCTGCATTTCACCCACAAAATATAGTCAATTCACTTTCCAGTATATTCTGTGATGCGCATTGAGACATCTCGAAGACTTGATAAGGCGTTATATCAAATGGAAGGATTATTATGATTACACTGTACATTTATTATAAATACTGCTACAAAATGCTGGTAGCTCCACGAGTGAGTCACTGAACTCTCAAAGCAATGTATAGCAGTTGTTATTGAATGAGTATTCTCATTTGCTGGCATGGTTGTCAGATGGCATTTCTACAATACATCGACAGCATTGATTGAAATAAGTAAACACATCACAAAATAGCACTGACTATCTCAGTTGCCTAGCTAAAGGAAGAAAGATGGCGAGAGGAGGGACATAAAATACGGGAAGGTGAAATCAAAAATAATATTTAAAAATAGCCATCAAAATTATTACTACTAAGAAAATTAATGTATTCTGTTATGCTATAAAACATTTTTGTAAATGTGATTCTGAATCTAGCCTTGGATCATGTCACTTGCCACATTTCCACTTCCTAACCTGGAAATTCTGGCAGTCGTTCTTTCAGGACGGCGGTGGCTGGATTGCAGTATGCCCGGAACAGGTATTCTTCCACTTCGCTGGATCGCAGCAGTTCAGTACCTGAGAGATCATCATGCAGGATAAAAAACCTAGCAGGTAAAATGTGATAATGTTAAGTTGTAAATATGTCAACAGGTACACAAAGAAGGGTGGCTGGTTCCTAGGTATGACGGTTCTGTATACTTAAGCATTAGTGCACTGTGGCTGTGGGGAGCAAGTTCCAAGATTCATGATTTAAAATCTAGGATTTAAAGTAATAAAGGCATTCGATAGGGTAGATACAGATAAACCATTTCCTCTGGTGGGGGAATCCAGAACAAGGGAGCATAATCTTAAAATTAGAGCTAGGCCATTCAGAGTGAAATTAGAAAGCAGTTTTTCACCCAAAGGGAAATAGAAAACTGGAACTCTCTCCCCCAAAAGAATGTGGATGCTGGATCCATTCACATTTTAAAGACAGAGGTAGACAAATATTTGTTACGTCAGGGTGTTAAGGGATATGGGGCAAGGGCGGGTAACTGGACTTAAGGTACAGATCAGCCATGATTTTATAAAATGGTGGAACAGGCTCGAAGGGCTGAATAGCCTACTCCTGTTTCTGTATCTATGTATGCTGTTGAGCCTCTGTCAGACTGCTGTGGCGAGGTGCAATAATTTTTTGGCTGCTGTCACATGTAATCCAAAGAGTTGCCCTTCTCCCTCATGTGTATATTTAGCTCCCTCTTAAATGCATCCATGCTATCTGGTTCAACCACTGTTTCAGGAAGCAAACTCCACATGCTCACATTCCCTCTGCATGAAGAAGTTCCTCTTATATTCCTCCTACATTTAGTCCTGGCCAACTGTCCTTCCTAGACTTGAGACCCACCCTGGTCCAGAAGCACAATCTATGGATTAACTGATCATTTTAGTTTAACCTACAATTTAAATTCCCAATGTGTTATTTAAATAGATTAGAATTTTCAATAGCAATCACTTGCTAATGGTTCAATATACAATTATAAATGAATATTTGTTAATTAAAATCAAACCTTGGAGCATGTTTTTCATATTTGACTGGTTCACTTTTTTGACTATGACTCTGCAACAAAAAATGTTCATCCTCTTGCTCAATCTCTTCAGTGTCAGTGAGAACAGGAAGTGTTGTGCCATCCACCATTACCTACAAAAAGTTTAAAATACATAAAATACAATCTGTAAATATTTCTAATAAAATAATAAAATAATCCTTTTGATATAGGATAGAGTCCTGTAGATATTGACCAAACCACTCGTCTCACAAGCGAGAGAACCTGAGTTGATTCCGGGCAGAGTGAAACATTGGGCAAGTTTCCTCACTCCGCATGGCTGTTTACCTAGCCGTAAGCAGAACCCGGTTGTTAGTCAATTGGCGGATTGCTTTTCTGCGGGTAATAATCCCTTCAAAAAAATAATAATAATTTGGACACTCAATCCACGACTGTTTGTGGGACACTTCTGTGTGCAATTGGCTGCTGCTTATTGCCCACAAAATATACAGTCAATTCACTTTACAGTATATTCTGTGAAGCGCTTTGAGACATCTCGAAGATGTGGTAAGGTGCTATATCAAATGCAAGGATTATTATTATTATTATATAGCTACTTTCACATCTCAAAAGTTTTTCACCAGATTCACTGTAGACTTTGCATTGTGTGGACAGCAGACATAGTCCACAGACAAACAGCCATGATGTAAATGGGGGATTGTTGGCCAGGACACTGGGAGAAACTTGCTTTTCTCTCCAAATAGTGCCATTGGATTTTAATGCCCAACTGAAAAGGTAGATGGGACCTTGGTTTCAGTGTCTCATCTGGCACCTGCAACAAAGCAGAACTTCATTGGAGAGTCAGACTAGATTGAGAGTTCAAAGTCCACACATGGGGCTTGAACCCAGATAACAACAAATTACATTTATATAGCGCCTTTCACATCGAGAGGATATCCCAAGGAACCGATGATTGAATAGAGTTACTGTATAAACTATGAAATGGATTCTTGTTACCTGGAACTCATTTCCCTCCTGGTCGATGACCTCACAGATGACCTGGGAAGTATATTTCATGATATAGGTGCCTTGTTGGAGATCCATAGGGCCATTGTTGCTTGAAATTGATGAGTATAGAGCACAGCCTTCCTGATCAATACTTAGGGATCCCACACTTGCTGGAAAAATCTGAAATACAAACAGCAGAAACAAATCAAACTCTGGAGAGATTCAATCCTTTTTCATATTTTTGACCCACATAAAAAGTTTTATGGAATGTTTGCTTTTTCAAAACAGAAAAGAAAACATCAATTTACAGACAGATCCATTCCTAATTTAACTACAATGTGACGATCTCTTCATCTTTCTGTATGTCAACATTACAGCAGATTAATTTCTACTACAGAGCTATGAACTCTGTGTGCTAATGGTACAAATTGTTGGGTAAATGTGTTTTCAATAGCTACGAGGAAATGTTAAATCCATAATATTGTTAAATGACTTATTATGGTGCAAATACTTTAATGTGTCTGTTTCAGCTTTTGTACTGTTGAGTCAAAAAGAATAATACTGTACACCAACAGAAATGGACCAAAATACTTTTGGATGCTTCTTTTTACTTCAATGCCATTGCTGTTGCAGTAGTTTATTCCATAAGTCTGCACAAAAGGTAATCTACCAGAAAGCATGTATAAATATACAACAATAAATTGCACTTAAATAGGGCTTTTCATGCAAGACAATATCTCAAATCACTTTTCAGAGACAGAGTGGGAGCTCGAGCTAATTAAGAGACAGAATAGGAGGAGATGCCTGAAACCGCGGTGAAATCGACAGGTTTCTAAATGGATTTTGAAAATGGAGGAGGAGGGAACAAGGTAGAGGGATTTTGGAAAAGAGTTCCAGAGAATGGGACAAAAATATCTGAAAGCTCGTTCACTAATGGTTGGAGTTCATTAATGGTTTCTCACTCGACCAACCAAAGTTGGTGGAGTGGGAAAGGTGGGTGTGGGAGTAGGACAAAGGGAGTTCAGTGGGGCAAGACTGTCTGAATGATAGAACATCAGAAGGAATTCTGCACAAGGTTGTACACCAGAAGGCTGTCTGCACAAGACAGTATACCAGAAAGCAAGCAATGAACCCAATTTATTATCAGAAATCATGGTTCTCAGACATGTCTTTACTCCTTCCTTCCTAAACATTTTGAGTAATTCTATTTTTTGATAAACTTTATTAAAATTATTTAAATAACTCATTTTACCTTATCAGATCACAACTGCAAGAAACTGTATTTTTTAAGAAGGCAGAATGATGACAGAATGTTAAAAGCATAAAGGTCACTTGGCCTATTATGTCTGCGTGGTTTGCTTCCACACTGGAGCAATTATCTTAAGCTGATTCCCTTGCTCTTTCCCCTGGAAGATTTTTAATTTTTCTTCATGTATTTTTACAATTTATGAAGTATGATGTTATATCTTATTCTTAAAACCAATGATCAAACAACAATAATAAATGTACGGGAGTACCAAATTGTATAAATGAAGATAAGAACTAACATTTTTATTGCATCTTTGAACATGGATAGATCTCAAGGTATTTACTATCAGGTGCAGTAACTATATTTGCAAGCAAATGCAAATGTCATAATTTGTCCTAGCAACAGCTCGCAACAGTCAGGAGGCCAATTAACCTCAAAATCGTAAGTAAGTTTGAGAAACACATTTCTCTTTTCAAAAAGAGTCATGAGATCCTTAAAATTCATCTTATCAGGCAGACGAGAGCTCAACTTTTAACCTCACTAATAATAATAATAATAATAATGTACAACAGCTATTTTCTTCCAAGTTCATTATAACAGAGGCAAAACCCACATATTCCACCATTATGTAGCTAACTTGTTTGGTTGTCTCTTCAGTACCCTCTGTGAAATAATCACTAAAGGACATCACCTCTAAAAAAGCAGGACTCTCTCAGCACTGTGCTGGGATGTCAGTTGAGTCTGAACTTGATTCTTGACATGGAAGTTAATTCCACAATCTTTAGCCTCAAAGGGAAAAATATACTAACTTACATAGACTGCATGTACAGAAAGACTGCTTGATTTCAGCACAAGAAGTGTGCTTTAGTTCAATGCTCAAAATAAAAAAGGAGAAATAATAATAATCCTTGCATTTGATATAGCACTTTTCACTTCTTTGAGACATTTCAAAGCCATTCACAGAATATACTGTAAAGTGAATTGACTGTATATTTGTGGTCAAAACACGGCAGCTAATTGAGCACAGCAGTGTCCTACAAATACGAATACCCAGTTTGGTAAATAAAAACAAATAACTTGTATCTGTGATATATTACCTGGTATGTCCCTTGTGGCTTGGCAACAATGGTTGTACCATTCCCAAACACTGTACAACAGCTATTTTCTTCCAAGTTCATTATAACAGTGGCAAAACCCACGCATTCCACCATTATGTAGCTAACTTGTTTGGTTGTCTCTTCAGTATCCTCTGTGAAGTAATCAATAACCTTTCAAACTACAGTAATATTAATAATAATATTGCATTAGATTTCACGGCTAATCACGTCGGAAAGACATCTTGAAGTATTCACGTTTTCGCAATGTTTTAATGGATTTTAAAGAAAATTGGTTTGGTTCGTGAACTATGGCTTGTTTGCCTTAAATACTCAATTGCATTAGAAATATAACAAAATATATATACCTGCGTATGTATATAGTATGATATACTTACATACGCAGGTATATACATTTTGACATGGCACCAAACATTAATGTTTGATGAGAATGTCTGATTAATTGAGGTAAAAGTAAAATAAAAATATTTGTTTTACCAGCTTCATGTCTTCCCTCAAAGAATGGCACTTTGACATCCTGATAGTATGTACTAATCCTGGTTCCATCAGCATGCTCCACTATAATGCTGTTATTCCCAAGGACAGTTATTACTTTATCCTGCCTTGTAATCATTACCTGCATTGCAACATCACAAAATACATTAATCTGTAAAATGTCATTTTTCAACAATATAAACAATGACAATTACTTCCATTAATATAGCGCATTTACACTTGGTAGCACCTTGGAGTTCTTAACAGTGGTGCAGCTTGACACCTAGCCAGGGAGAGAGAGGAAGTGACCATAGGTGCAATCTGAAGACGGACATGGAGGGGCAAAGAGAAGGGATTAAGGCAGAGAGTTCCAGGGTTTCAGGGCACAAAAAATAATTACATTTGTATATTGTCTTTCACATCAGAAGGATGACCCAAGGCGCTGGCAGTTAAGGGTTTGTACCCAAGCTGGGGGTTGGAATCAAGAGTGATGGAGGATAGGGGAAGTGGGAGGGTGGCCAAAAGCAAGATCAAAGAGAAAAGTCTTGATAAAGGCCCTGAAGCAGGCAAGGAAGATGGGGGGTGGGGGGAGGTGGAGGGATTGTGGGATGCAGTTCTAGAGGACAGGCGCTCTACAAATGAAATCTTGTTGTTGTTGTTGTTGTTGTTGACAGGGGCAGAGAAACCCAACTGCCAATAGTGAGGTGGGCAGGGACATGAAGCAGGCCAATGCCTGCCAAGTGGAGGGAACGGACAGGTTGGTATAGTGTCAATAAGTCGCAGCGGTAGGGAGGAGCAAGGTTGTGAAGGGCTTTAAAAGGATGACGATTTTAAACTCGATCCTCTGAGGGATGGGGAATCAGTGGAGCAGGGCGAGGATAGGGGTGATCAGTTCACAGAGCTTGGTACAGGAGAGGACACGAGCTGCAGCGTTCTGAATAATCTGCAGCTTGTGGAAGGAAGAATTGGGAAGTCCGTTAAGCAGGGATTTAGCATAGTCGAGCTTGGATGCAAGAATGCTTGAATGAGGGGAGAGGCAATGGCAGAGGTGGACAATTGGAGATGGGATGGTAGATGGGTCGAGGGAAGGTTTTTTGAGGGTCAGGACTGCTGTTTTTAAGGGGGTGGGTAAATGCCTTAAAAGAAAGGAATCTACTTACCTCTTCTGTCCCAAGGTCTGTTGCTTTATAGAACAAAATGGGTTTTGTATCCAGAATTTCCTTGCCTTTTGTTCCTATGATTTGACCATCTGGGGTGGTGGTTAACCAGGTACCAGGTTCTTGTTCTGGTGTACTTTCCAATGGGATTGTTTGGGATAAAAATGTATCACTGGGAGTCGGCACAGAAATACTCTTCCGGGCATGTTTTCCTTAATGAAATGATACGAAAGCTAGGGATAATTATTTTACAACAACATTATTACATGTGGGGTGCATGTATCAACTCTTCCAGCACCAAAAAAAAAAGTTTAAACTTATCAAATGTGTACATTTATCTTTTATATAAATAGGTTCATTTTGCAGTATTTCTTAACAGGATTCCATAATTTGCAAAAAATGTGTAATGAAGTTGCACAAACGAATAACCGGAACTAACTTTTATTGATCAAGGGAGTCAAGCCAAAGACATTTAAGCCGATCCATTGTTTGGTTAAAGACAGAGGTGGCTTTGGGCCCTGCTTGATGGATTAATCAAGGCCTGGAATCAAAGAAATTAGGAGGTACCTGTTGCCACCTTGTGGTTCATACCAATGTTACTTTACATCAGTGTTAAATATAATTTACATTTATCACAAGATCACAATATTTGGATGAAGTCCATTTGGTCCATCTGATCTCATTCTTCCAGGAACATCCACTCTACCGTCCTCCCGTCACAGGACCAAGCTTTTTTTTAAAAAAAATGTCAGTGTCCTCGCCTCAGTTGTTAATTACTCTCTGGGTAAAGAAAAAACTCCTGATATCTGTCCTGAAAAAGTTCCCGGTATCTCTGTAACTCAAAACATATGTCTTGTTCTTGGTGTTAAAGTATTACTCTGGGTTTACTTTTTCAATCCCATTTAAAATTTTATACCCCTCTATAAAGTCCATTCTGAGATGTCTTTTCTCAAGACTGGAAATGCCTAGTTTATCTATTCATTGCTAATTGTTCATTCCTTCTTCCACTAGGATCATCCTCATCATTCTCCTCTGAACTGCATTTTCGACCTGGACAGTCCCCTTATGATGCAGTGATCAGAACTGTACACAGTGCTTTACACAGCCAGCATAGCTGAACTATACCGCTTGAATGTGACGTCTGGGATTTGAAATCAACTGATTTAGCAATAACGACCATCTGAAGAGGGTTATTGGCAGTGGGAGGGAGGTAGGGGGTTGGTGGCGGTGGGGAGGGAGGGAGGGGGAAGGTAACTGGAACCACCCCTCCCCTCATTTGGATTCTGTGATGGCTGTATAAGAACAACAGCAACAACCTGCACTTATATAGCACCCTCCACGCAGGGTAATATCTCAGAACGCGTATCAAGTACTTTGAGATCCTCCCCATGTGAAAGATGCGACATAATGCAAATTGCCACCACTTCAACCCTCCTTCCCACTTGCACTCTGACCTCTCCATCCACGGTCTCCTACGCTGTTTCAATGAGTCACAGCGCAAGTTCGAGGAACAGCACCTCATTTATCTACTAGGGACCTTACAGCACTCTGGTCCGAATATTGATTTCAACAATTTCAGACCATAACAGCTCACTTTCCAACTTCCCCTCTTCTGTGACCATTACCACATCATCTGGGTCCCAGACACACCTTTTCCCTCTCTGGTATGCCTATTTTGTTGCAATCTTTTCCCCTTTTTGTTCTGCATTATTAACACCTCTTTTCCCCTGCTTTGTTGCAGCCCCCTCCTTTGTTTTGCATCATTATTAATACCTCTTCAACCCATCATCCACTATCCTCCACCCCATTTTCTCCTATGTCTTTCTTGCGCTACCTCTTCCCTCTCTGTTAGCCCTTAAAAACCTCTCCCTCCAACGTGCCCCAGTTCTGACGAAGGGTCGTGGACCCGAAACGTTGACTCACTTTCCTTTCTCCGTAGATGCTGCCTGACCTGCTGAGTGCTCCCAGCGACTTTTGTTTTTGTAATGCAAATTGTATTGTGTTGTATAACTGTTTAGCTCAGGATGTTTACTCTCAGTAACGTAAACAGTTAGTCACTAAGGTTTTTTTTTACCTCTTTTAGGAACTTCGTCACTAGTCTCGGGTCTCAATTCCTTTGTGTCCTTTGAATCTTGGGACAGTAACTCAGACTGGCTCGGGATTGGTTGAGTTGGTATAGGTATGGTGACGGGACCTGAATCCGGACTTTTGCTCACAGTTCCATCAGCAAACAGAACCTAGTTAGAGAGTAATAAAAGCAAAACTGGGTACATTTGTGTATTTTTAAGGAATGCTTCCTCACTTCTAGCCTGATATTTCTAAAAAGCAGTCACAGTGCTTGAGATGCGGTTGTACCAGAGTCAGGCACAGTAACAAAATAGACTCTTCAGATTTGTAATATATTATCAGTGTTATACATCTCTGTACTTGGTTAGCATTGGTGATGGCTGCCTCACATTGTTGTTGAAGCATAAAACCCCTCCCTAAAGGTAATCAAACCAGGGATTCTTTTCACTGTTTTCAAATACTAATCAGATAATTTTAAGTTTCCTTTGACAACTATTCATTATGTTCCCATTGCCCTGTTTTTGAGATGATGAAAAATAACATTCTATATGTAAACCCAGAACAATATTTTCAGAGATGTCAAGGCAACAGGACGAGAGTTAACACGTTCAGGGTTGTGAATGGTAAATTCAGAACAAATGACAGGAAGTCCTTTTTTATAGGACTATAATCTAAAACTAAATGGTGAATGGGAACATAGTAGGGTGGGTATCTTGGAATGATGGGATCAAACGAGCTGAAGGCCCTTCTTCAATCAAATTTGTCTTATCTTGGAACAATTCCAAGTTTGAATGTCAATCTTCAGCAGACTTAGTTTGGAAAGATAATACAAGACATGCTCAAGACATCCTTTGGATTGGGCAATTTTGCATTCCAATTTGTAATTTTGTAGTATTTTATTAACGTTATCAATAAATAATATCAATAAAGACAACTGCCTGTGCAAAAATCATTAAATATTACAAGTTTAAGATAGTGTTGGCTTAACTTATTTTATTTGAGAAAGTCCTTTTGCCAGCTTAAAATGTTAAGGCCCTGTACATGAAACATCAATTACTTTACCTGAGTGGATCCATCCATCATGTACTTTACCACAGTTCCATCAGATGTAATGACCCTTGACATCTCTTCCATAGCAGGCCATTTCCGTGCAGCCTCACAGGGTTGGGAGCCATTGGTTTTGATAGGATAACTCTGACGGACCAGTATTTTCTCTTTAGGGTTTGCCTCATCACTTGTGATCTCTTTAGGTTTAAGGCAATTAATGCACAGTTTATTGGAGTTAAATATGTGCTATTTGTGCTAATATTAACAAAAGTTTTGTTTCATGCTTATTGTTGGATTTTGAAATAAAAGTTTGCTAGTAATAGCCATCAAGATATCTTAAAAATCCTTTCACTATACTTTTCTCATCTCTTTCCATACTATTACGGTACCTATTATTACCTAAAGAGAAAGAGAAGTCCCCTCTTTCCTTGATAGCATCAGCCACTGAGGATTATAATAATTTATAATGCAAGCTCTCCTTGTTAATTGATATACCTGTAGGTGGCTTAACAGCAACTACATCAGATTTTATTGCCTGTGATTATCTATTACTATCCTTGCATTTGATGTAGCGCTTTTCACGTCTTCTAGACGTCTCAAAGTGCTTCACAGAATATGCTGTAAAGTGAATTGACTGTATATTTGTGGGCGAAACGCAGCAGCCAATTACGCACAAGTGTCCCACAAACAGTTGTGGATTGAAATGTTTTTGTTTTGGATAGATTATTATTAGGCGTGTGGAATAAGGAAAGTTGCCCAAGGTTTCACCCTGCCTGGAATTGAACCCAGGTGTCTCGCTTGCAAGGTGAGTGCTCTAACCACTGAACTACAGGACTCCATAGTGATCATCAAATTGTTAACAAGATCTCTATTTAGGTAAGGAAAGAAACAAAGAACAGTCACTGGAGGCAGGGATTCTTCCCACTTGACTCCTGTCAACCTGCAAGCTCAAACCCCAGTAGCTAGGTTGATCCTAGCTAGACAAGGAGTTTCGCAATCTCTCTGATGTTCTGTCCTTAAAGTTTCCTTGTAAAATACACAATAGGTTTTTGATAAAAGTGAAAGATTATTAAGTACTGAAGTACCATAGTTTAATTTGGTGCCAGATTGCATTTTATTAAAGTGAAACATCAGAGGTGTAGAACTATAACTAAATAAAAAGAATACATTAGAAGGACAGACCTATAGAGCTCTCGGTGAAGAATGTTACCACTAGGCCATCAGGAGAGCATGCACTCAGACACAGGAAGGTAGGGAGTTCTGGGACAGGTTCTGGTCCTTCAACTGTTGCTTCAGGTTGTTCAACCTCTAGCTGAATAAAAAACATGGATTACATTTACAGAATCGCAACAGGCTGACCAATGCATACTATAACTCAAGGTTGTCATTAATTAAAAAGATTTTTCAATTACCCAACATTGGGTTTAAAAATATAGTGTTCTCAAACTGGCCAGCAGTTTTCTTTTACCTTTTTTGGACAGGAAAAGGTTTCAAACAGATTAAGGAATGACTGGAAAGCAAAATAGCCTTTTCCAGAGATCAGGATTTGTGATTTTTTTTCTGCAAATATGGCAGTGAAACCTGCAATTTCAGTAGCAAATTGGAAGTTGCTATTAGCGCAGCGCCTATGTATTTTGTAGGGGAACGCGGCAGCCAATTTGCATTTAACATTGTCCCCAAAACGGAGCCATACATGGTATATGGATACAGAACATCCATAGTATATAAATATAGGACATACCTTTGGTTCTTCCAGTTTTTCTAGTATCTCTATAGACGGTAGAGAATTAAACTCCCTCTTTTGGCTGTTTTTCCCTGATTTAGGTGTTTTCGTAATCTTGATGGCTTTAGTCACCAAGGTACTCTTAGTGCTTATGTCATTGGCAAGGGGAAGTGACGTAGGTGTCTGTACTGATGGCGAATTCAAAATGGAAGCTAGAATTTGATCTTCTTCAGCTGTACAAAAAGTTGAATTTAAAAAAGACATACGTATTAGACATTTATGAGTTCCTGCTGTTGACAAAATAATTATTTTAATTGGATTAGTCCTGTAATTCAGCTTTAGATATCTTAATATTTTACACATGTCAACTGGTACATTCACTTAACAGAAATTAAATGTATTTTCCCTTCTTGCTTTAGTTACTTCACCTTTGGTGTCGTTTTTAGACATGGGTCTGCTAAGAGTCAGGATTATTCCATCATCAAGAACAGCAGAGAATGATCCAAACTCACTGATCCTTGGGTTCTTTACATTTACCTCTGCTGTAAGAAAAAATACAAAGATTTAAATATGAACCTGGAAAGCAACAAATCAGAATTTGTGGTGTTGATCATTGAAAATGTTCCCATCCCCCACCAAACATACATGTATACAAATTTTGAGTTGTACAATGTAAAACCTCCATTTACAGTATTTGATTTGCCTTTGGTGACTTCTCTACCAAAGCTGATAAACACTGACATGTGATTATTTGGAAAGCAAATAAATAAATGTTGCTTGTGCAAATAATCACAGAAACATACAGTATTTAGATGATTTCCCTTAATAAATAGTTGCTAATAAAAAATGTTATCCTAGAATTCTTTTATTCATAATATTGTATCTAAAACAGACCAAAACAGAATTATAAGCAAATAAACAAACAAAATAGTATAGTCTTACTTACAAGCTTTTTATGTACAGAGCTAACAGATACTATGCAGTTGGATATATCTAAATTGATGGCCATTATATGATACTATTATCTGAGTGGTTAGCCTTCACACTGTGGGACAAATGGATGGTAGGTCTTTTTCAAAAGGAGGATGAGGACAGTACTGAAGTCAGAGGAGAGGGAAACAACAGTGCCTGCAAACCCGGGGCCTTGGGCTTGTCCCCCACACTATTATACCTTCTCTTGCAGGGTCTATCAGATTGGTATACTGTTTGACTGGATCAGCAGAGAGGCCTTCCAGTAAAGGGGCAGAAGTATCAGGAAGGACACCCAATAGATATGATATCATGTCCAGTGGTTATCTTCTTATCTGTCATCTTATTGACTACACTGAACACAGTACATTAAAATCTTTGGATCTTTGCACATCCCAACAACAACAAATTACATTTGTATAGCGCCTTTCACGTCGGGAGGATGTCGCAGAAGATATCTAGGAGGGTATTCTTCTGGCTGCAAGCTGGGTCAAATGACAATGTCATTGATGCAAAGGATAGAGGTTTGGTCTGGAACAGTTCTTGTTAAAATCAACAGATCCCTGGTATCTTTGTTAAATTATTTACTCACCTAACTTTGTGTTCACTACCTCTGAAAGAAGGCTCTTGCTATTGGCAGTATTTGCTGAGGAACCTTTTGAGCCTTCCGTTTCAGAAAAATGTCCTGTTCCAGGTGAATGTGGTTCTGTACCAGTAAAAGTACTAGTTGATTCTAAAGTTTTAATGAGAGATAATCTGTGTTAAATAATAAGCTCAGAAGAAAAAACTAATTATATAATAATACTTGAATTTCATATGCTTCATTTATGTCGGGAGGACCTCTCAAAGCCCTTCATAGGACACACTGCATAGTGGAACAGCTGTGTATTTTGTGGACCGATTTCCCATCTTGAATTTCTCCCCCAATTAAGAGGGAAATAAGAGAGGTGATAACGCAATTCTGTTCTTTCTCACCTTCTTTCTCAGTTTCAGATAATTTACTCTCTAGGTTCTCTGCTGTATCTTCTTTCCCTTCATCCACATTTTTTAAGGGGTTTGTAATGTAAACGAAGAAGAGATGCTTGTCCTTCATCACACACACTTGAACGTTGAATGAACCTGTTGAAACAAATAAGTTTATATACTCTGACGAAGGGTCGTGGACTCGAAATGTTGACTCACTTTTCTTTTTCCATAGATGCTGTCTGACCTGTTGAGTGTTCCCAGTGACTTCTTATTTTGTTTCAGATTTCCAGCATTTGCAGTATTTTCCATTAAGTTAATGTGCAATCATTTGGTAAAATCCAATACATTTTAAGCCAGAAAAAGATCATTAGGATTGACAATCCTTTTCTCATCTCCAGTTAACTGTCTTCCCATTATATTTTCAAACTTTTCTTTTGAACCCATTTAGACATGTTGTGATAATAGCCTCCGCTGATAAGTTATTCCACAAGTCTTACACTTTGTCTTAAAACGTTTTGTCGGTCTTCCTCTTGTTTCAACTATGTCCCCTGTATTTTGAAAGCATCACTATAAATGAACAATTTATGCAGTGAACCTTGTTAATTTCCTTCATAATCTTGAAAACCTCTTTCAGGTCCCCTCAAAGTTACCATTTTTCCAAACTGGACAACAATAAGTTCCTTATTCTTCCCTCATGTCTCAGATTCACATGTACTAATATGATTTTGGTTGCTTGTTTCTGTACTCTCTCAAGTGCGAAAATATCCTTCCTAAGATTAGGTGATAAAAACCCCAAGTAGTTTTCCAAATGAAGTTTACCAATGACTTGTACAACAATAATGTGACTCCTTTTGATTTGCTCTCTATCCTTCTGCCAATCCAAACCACCATCGCATTTGTTTTTTTAAACTATTACAAAGCACTGGGTTGATGGTTTTGTTAATTTATTTATAATATATTCAATACAGCAAGAGATCTGAGGTCAAATTCCCATCTTTTCATTAGTTTTTTTTACAAATAATATACCTACAATGTAACCTTGTTGCAAAAAGCAATGGAGGAAATTTGCAGTATGTGAATCAATGATTATCACATCTCATACATGGGGTAGGTAAATGCCTCCATTTTTGTAAAGATTATTGAATCAGACTAATATATGCCACATCATGAAATCTGTTTCTGTTTTTGGTATCAATGGAAAGAAAGAATATGTCTATAAGGCTTTACCCATAGACATATGGTTAAGTCTCCACTGAGCTCACTGATCTCTGCGATGTTGTATAAGACCAGTAGAACAATCAAGGTTATTGACTAATTACCATATAGAAATTGCCTGGTTTTCACTCGAATATGTCCTCCATCAGCAGGAAAAAGAGACTTGACTTGACCAGACACTTGAATTATGTCATTTGCCAAATCATAACCAATGAACTGCAAAAAAAAGTATAACAATTATGTTTAGATAGAATTTTAGCATAGGCACCTATTGTTTGATTTTGTTCCTCTTCCATTGACAGCAGTTGAGAGAAGTGGGAAGACAGAAGAGAGAGTGAGGAAGAGGGAGTAGGAAAGAGAGAGATGGGAAGAGAGAGGGTGGGGATGTGGGGAAGGGAGAGGGAAAGAGAGCAGGAATGGAATAAGTGTCAGTGAGTAAAAGGGAGGGAGGGAGGGAAGGAGAGACAAAGAGAACAGAATGAGGGAGCGAAAGCCAAAATGACATACAAAGATAAACAGAAGACAGATTCATTCACAAATAAGCTACTGTTACACTTGCTACCAGGAGCTCATTCTTACAGATCTTACCGTGTAAGCCTTATTGCTACCTTATTACCTAACCTGGGACAGGCCATTTTACCAGTTTGATATATGAACAAAACTTTTTAAAAAAAGGTGATGTTGAACATTTTGAGATATATTGCCCCTTCAGTAACGTTGATTTTGGTTCAGTAAAGTGCTGATCTTGAGGTCTATGATATGCCAATGGCTAGAAATGGCAATCCTATGTTACGTTTCTTTGCAAATATATCATTATTTTTAGCTATCAATGCAAAATAAATCCAATTTTGACATTCGTTTGCAATGAATAAAACACAAAGGTTTGTTTTTCAAATAAAACCAATGTAGATCTTTCTGTTTCTTATTTTTAACACCTTAAAACAATGTCACATCTTTGAGGTTTTCTTTCCAGGTTATGTGCTAAAAATGCTTTCAGAAGTAAGAATAGCAAATATAATAAACCTTGTAGATTTTTTCAGCTGGCAATGGTGATTCCTGAGCTTCTCCTTCAACATCTGAACTTTTTTCTTGCTCCTCTTTGCCATCTTCTGGTGATTTCTTTGATGAAACTACAGAACGCTTACTTCCAATGGAATCAGATCGTTCCTTGGGTTCTAACCTCTTCTTATTATCCATCCTGCCTTTCTTTCCCTTTTTGTCTTTCTTCTGTTCCTCCTCTTTCTGCCTCTCCTGCTCCAACTTCCAAGCCTGTAGTCCAATTAATAGAATGTTCATAAAGACACATGTAAAAGCATTTCTAACTTTCCATTTTCCCATTGTGGAGTCCTGAGGCTTAGTGATTAGAGCACTTGCCTCGCAAGCGAGATGACCTGGGTTCAATTCCCAGCAGGGCGAAACTTTGGACAAGTTTCCTTACTCCACACGCCTCTGTTTACCTAACAGTAAATAGGAATCTGGTTGTTAATCACATTCCCGATGGTCATAATTCCTTCAAAATAAATTAAAATAATTTGGTCATTCAATCCACGACTGTTTGTGGGACACTGTATGCGCAATTGGCTGCCGTATTTTGCCCACAAAATATACAGTATATTCTATGAAGTGCTTTGAGACGTCTCAAAGACGTGATAAGGCTCTATATCAAATGCAAGGATTATTATTATTATTATTATTAAGTTCTCTTGTTTTTTTAACTCTTTCTTTCATCCCTTAACAATGCTTGAACCACTCTATGTAATATTTAGCCTCTGTGTGAAACTGGGGAAAATGTCAGATACCCCCTTCTCGAAGATCGACTGGTTTCAATTAACCCTAGGAATATTGCAACACTGGTATAAAAAGGGAACATCTGAACAGATCTAGAGTAGCTGAAAAGAAACCACTGTTGAAAGTAGCCTAGCCTGAGAGCCCTACGTACCTCTGTTCCTGTAGCACAATGGCAGATAGCTCACTCCAACCCTCTATTATAGAAATACACCGCATCAGAAAAAAAACTTTGCCTATACACTGAATGTACTTGTGTAAAATATTAATATAAGTACAATGTAACACAATGCAAACTGACTGTGGCTGTTAGGTAATGCATATACATTATATGCATATAAATCTTTGAAATCCTAAAAAAAAGCAAATGTTTGAACCATACAAATTTGTTCATGATGAAAGCAACCAAAGTGTGAAATAAACTTAGATTTTTGTTAAAATAAGTCATGAAATATTTACTTTAAGCGATCCTTCCCGCATGAATAATTCACCGGGTTTATCTTCCTGTGTATCCTCTTCTGTTTTGCTAGAAGCACTACTCCCTTAAAAAAATTACCATGAAAACATTATTTCATATATAAAGAAACCACTGTAGAAAGTGGCTTTTGATTTTACCTGAGACCAAAGACATACAAGGTAAAGATCTCCACTCTGATGATTAAACATACTTACAGCACTAATAGTTTTTTTAAAATCAGAGTTAGAATATTACATATCCCTGCTATGAGATATCTTTTCAAGGCTGAAAAGCTCCAACTGATAGAATAGAATTGGTCATTAGAGTAAAATATTTTGAATGTAGAGAAAATTGTGATAATGTAGTCTATCATTGGAAGATTGCTAAACATACTGATGTTTTTGTTAACCTGCAACAAAAAGATCACCATTTTTAGCAATCCTCATAATAGAAAGATCACTATTATTAGTGATCAGGTTGTTAGAATGCAAGATATAAGTTTACACAATCTGGTACTGTAGTTGGAAGAGGAGGTGCTAACAGTAGAAAGACAGCAAACAAACTGAGCTAATAATGACTCCTGAAAATAGAGGTAACATGTAATCTCTTTAAATTAATCAAGTGTTACGTACTACTGTATTTCTTTGGGGATTTTTTCCTATTCACAATATTTTCTCTTTGGGAAAACAATGGTATTTCAGGTGTAGCCTTCAGAGAATTCAAGCCTTCTGTCTCTTTTATTAACATTTCAGCTTTGTATTTGACTTCCTCCTCTGCCACCCAGTCTGAGATTGAACTGGCAACATGTTCCAGGTAACTTCTGCAGGAAAAGGACAAAGGACACACCAACACTGTAAATTCCTTGTGGATGAGAAGTAAAGTCTATACTCACAAGCTTGTTTTTCATAAGCATGGGAAAATGTTTTAACCAATATTTTAAAATCAGGTTAGATGACAACAGTATCAATCGGCAAACAAAAACTGGAAGCCCTTAAATGATATATGTCATAGATGAAAGGGAACGAGGAGACAAAATCTAATTTGCCCTTAGGTTGTTTAATCTAGGTTTACTGTGTTCCATATATTTAAAAGTTAGTCTAGTGGTGGCTAAATCAATGTACTGCAGTTTACTGCCTTGTTCAATCTTGTGTTGTGCTTGTCTTGAGCTCCATAGCAATATGGCGTTTGCTAGAGAGTTCAAGACAAGCATGGCACAAGATTGAGCAAGCGAGTAAACTGCAGTTTACACACACAGCATCCATATAAATACTCACCTGAATCCAACATTGGAATGAAGAGCTATATTCCAGGATTCTTGGCATTGGCGCTGCTTGTTCATAGGGTTATGGAGGACGAGCAGTAATGAGTTGTCCTGCCTGTGGTAATATGTATCCACATATCTGTAAAATTTAATGGCTTCCTCAAGGACCTGAAAACATTCCAAAAATGTCCAACACTGTTACACTGTTAAAGAAACAATTATGGCAACAATTTTGTTTAATACAAACCTGTTTATTGATAGACTCTTAGAGATTATAACAGTAATTAACAACCTTGGCTAGCATATGTTCTACAGATCTGTTTGGGACTGTCACTCTCTTTTACCTCTGGTTCTTTCCTCACTCATTTGATTCAAGTTGGAGTACGGGTTCCTAATATGCCTGCCACTCTGTAATAACCCACTCAGGGTAGATATTCTTGGTGTGTGAGCCTGGAGAGCGAGTTCTAGCAAACTGTAAGTAATAAAGCTTTTCTTGTCAAATGTCTACAACTACATACTTTACAGAAAGAGGGTGGAAAAAAGAGGTCATTTTGGAAAGGGAACCATGTCTCTACATGATACTAATCCAGGTATCTATTTGTCACTGTAAAGTAACCTAACACAGGATTGTTGCATGGGAATGTGGTGTGTCTCAGAAAGAGGAAATAATAAGCCATGTCAGCTCACCAATTAAATCATGCCATCTATTGGATACCTGCACAGTATTAAAGTCAACAGGACAAGCCACTCAAGTTGGAGGAAGAAGCTTGGGGTGAGTTCTTTCAAAGGGACAAAATGAACAGGGAAAAAAGACGGAATTAAATATGAAGTACAAGGTTTAGCCATAAAAACCTTCTAATTTCTGGGTTTTTCTCTGTTTTGGAGGCAGAATTTAGATTTAGAAGCTTTTGGAAACATTACAACCTTTTGAATACTGGTTTCAACTGGAGATCTCTTAAAATTATGCAGTGTCTTAGGGTACCTGTAGAAGAACATATGGCTCGTGGTGCTCAGCAAAGCACCATTCATTCAGTGATCGGAGCTGCAGCCGCCGTATAGCTTCCAGATCAACCATGAGATTTTCTTTTGTTTCTTTGCATTCACCCTAACAGGAAAGGAAATAAAGAAGTTACCATTCTGCTTAGCTTTTAAGAGGAAAAGAACATTTTTATAAACTCATGGCTATACGGTAGATTATCAGAGTTATCATAATCCTGATAATAATAATCCTTGCATTTGATGTAGTGCCTTATCATGTCTTCGAGACATTTCAAAACATCACAGAATACTGTAAAGTGAATTTACTGTATATTTTGTGGGCAAAATGCAACAGCGAATTGTGTCCAGCAGTGTCCCACAAGCAGTCGTGGATTGAGGAACCAAATTGTTATTATTTTTTGAGGGATTATTATCTCTGGAAAAAGTGATCTGCTAATCGTCTGACAACTGGGTTCCTACATAGTGCTAGGTAAACAGAAGCGTGTGAAGTACAACAACAACAACAACTTGTATTATTTTAGCGCCCTCCACACCGGACGGCGTCTCAGAGCGCTTCACAGTAACGGATCCTGGGTCCGAGCCAGGGGGATGGGGAGGAAGGTGACCAAAGGTGCAGTTGAAAAGAAAGGTCTTCAGCAGGATCCTGAAAATAGGAAGAGAGGGGGTGAGGTGAAGGGAGTGAGGAAGGGAATTCCAGAGCCTCGGGGTATAGTGGCTGAAGGCACGGCTGCCGAGGTTGGAGTGGAGGACTTGGGGGACGCGGAGGAGGCCAGACCCAGAGGAACGAAGGCAACAGGTACTGTTTTGAGGAGAGAGGAGGTCAGAGAGGTAGTGGGGGGTGCAGAGGAGAGGAGGGATTTGAAGACAAGGGTGAGGATCTTGAAGTCGATCCTCTCTGGAATAGGCACCCAGTGCAGTCTGGCAAGGACTGGGGTGATTGGGGAGCGGAGTTTGGTCCGGGTGAGAATGCGGGCGGCAGAATTTTGAATGATCTGGATTTTATGGATGGTAGTGGATGGGACTCTGACAAGGAGGGCGTTAGAATAATCCAACTGAGAGGTGACAAAGGCAAGGACTAGGGTTTTAGCGGCTTTCGGAAAGAGGTATTGGCGAAGACGGGCGATGTGTCAGAGGTGGAAGAAGGCGGTGCTGGTGAGGGATCGGATGTGGGGGAGGAAGGATAATTGGGGGTCGAACCTGACGCCAAGGTTGCGTACTGTTTCGGAGAGTTTTAGCGGCAGGTCGGGTAGGTGAGGAGGTGAGAGCTGTGAGATTTTAGACGTTTACGAGAGCCAAAGAGTATGGCTTCTGTCTTGTCAACGTTCAGCTGAAGGAAATTTGCGCTCATCCAGCCCCTGAGATCTGACAGAACATCAGGGGACCGGGGGTCGCAAAGAGAGGTGGAAAAATAGAATTGGGTGTCGTCTGCATACATGTGGAAATGAACCCCAAATCTGTGGATGACATCCCCAAGAGGGAGCACGTAGATCAGAAAGAGAAGGGGGCCAAGGATGGGTGAAAATGGGAGGAGAAGCCGTTTGTGCAGATGTACTGTTGGCGGTTTGTGAGGTAGGACTCGAACCAGGCGAGTGTAGTCCCATTGAGGTGGATGACGGAGGAAAGGCGGGGGAGGAGGATGGCGTGATCGACTGTGTCAAATGCCATGGAGAGGTCCAGGAGGACAAGGAGTCAGAGGGAGCCCTGGTCACAGATAGAGAGGGTGTCATTTGTAACTTTCACAAGTGCAGTCTCTGTATTGTTGGCAGGGCAGAAACCGGATTGGAGGGGTTTGAAGAGGGAGTGGGAGGAGAGGTGTGCACGGAGTTGATTGGCAACAACCCGTTCTATGACTCCACCGCCCTTTGGCCTTCTCTCGGGCGGTAGAGGCTGGGGTTTGAGAGATCCAGGGAAGGTTTTTTGAGGTGGGGAGTGATGACAGAGAGAGAAGGCCAAAGGGCGGTGGAGACTGGTTGATGACGTCAGCCAAGAGTGGGCAGAGGAGGGGGAGCTGGGTGACCAGCAATTTGGTGGGGAGGCCGTCGAGGCAGCAGGTGGTGGAATTCATGAAGGTGATGGTGGGTGAGAGGGAGAGATGGGGAGGAAGGAATGTAGGGTGGGGGTGGTGGAAGGAGCAGATGATGGGGAGGGTGAGGGTGACAGAGAGGGCATGGTGGTGGGTGACAAGAGGCAGGTGGATGAGGCTGCCTGGCGGATGTTGTGAATTTTAGATAAAAAGAAGTCCATGACCTCCTTGCACTTGGCATTTGATATGAAGATTGAGGAGGCCTGAGTGGGGCACAGAGGAGGTAGTGGGTGGTGGAAAAAAGGATTTTAGGGTTGGGTTTAGTCTCCAAGATGATGTTGGAGTAGAAGGCCATTTTTGTGTGCGTCAAAGAATGACGGTAGCTGTGGAGATGCTCGAGCCACAATTGGTGGTGGGACTGTCAGGCCAGTTTTCCACCATCTGCGCTCGAGCAGCTGGGTTTGGGTTTTTAGGCGCGGAGATGGTTGTTGTACCAGGGGGATCGGGTGGGTTTGGATATGGTCCTGGATTTCAGGGGGATGTAGGAGTTGAAGGTGGAGGAGAGGCAATCATGGAGCAGCTGGATGGCTGCTTCAGGATCTCTGCGGGTGGAAGGCCAGAGGGATAGGATGTTTGATGATGCGAGGGTCTTTGTGAGGGTCTCAGGGGATAGCCTTTTCCAAGGGCGGTCGAGGACGGTTGAGGGCTTGGTGGAGGAGAGAGGGATGTGAGAGGAAGTGGTCCGAGCTGGCCTTGTCCACTATGCTGAGGTCGGAAATGTCAAGGGCATGACCACGGTTGTGGGTAGGTGAATATATATGAAGGGTGAGGTTTAGGGAGGAGAGGAGGGCAGTGAAGTCAGCAGAAGTAGTGCAAGGGGAGTTTAGATGGAGGTTGAAATCGCCCATTATGAGCAGGCGCTTGGAGCAGAGGGACAGGGAAGAGAGGAGAGTAGAGATGTCTGTGTGGAAGGAGCCAGGGGGCTTAGGGGGGGCGGTAGACAAGGAGAATTTTCAATGGGAGAGAGGGGTGGAAGAGGGTGAGGTGCTCAAAGAAGGCGAAGCAGCCAGAGGAGTAGGGGTTAAGATCATGGGAGGCTTTAGAAATGAAGGCCACCCTGCCGCCATGTTGGTTTGGATGGGGGGTGTGGTGGAAGGTGTAGCCTGGAGGAGAAGAAGTAAACTTGCCTAAGGTTTTGCCCTGCCCGGGAATCGAACACGAGAGAGAGAGACGAGTGCTCTAACCACCAAGCCACAGACTCCAATACATAAGTCTCAAAACGCTTCAAAGGTACAAAGCATCTTTGTGAAGGAAAAGACAGTAATGTGTACTGGATGCAGAAAGGGAGTGCAGGATGTGAAATCACTGGCACTTCCTCTCCATAGAATGCGTGTGCAGGAATTTATGTCAGTAGCAGTTATGTCAGTAGCGATATGTAGGAATTAATGTCAACAGTGACCTGAAGACCTCAAAGTTAGCCAATTTTAAGTTTATGATTTGTGTACCTTGTTTGCAACACTCTTATTGAACGTTCTTTCTGCAATCATTTCATTCAAATTTTGAAAATGCACTGAAAAATAAATGTAATAAAGTCTTAGCTGTATTTTGGTCTACATTAAACATGTCAGTTACAAACACAATACTTAGTCATTCTTCAACAACAACAACAGCAACTTGCATTTATTTAATGCCCTTTATGCGGGTTGGGTCTTGGAGCACTTAAGAACGGCTTGACACTGAGCCGAAAACAGAAGTGAGGAAACCGAATGCAAGTCCTTCAATGTAAGGCCAACCTCCATACCTTGGACTCTCAATACAACAACATAACAACAATTTGCATTTATACTGCTTTTCATCTCTTTGATTCCTCTGAGAAAATATAATAATTTCTTAATTACTTAAAAATGTAATTACTGCACAGCTTTTTTTTTGGTTAACAACAACAAAATTATTTAGACTATGCCTTTCACGTCGGAAGGACAGTTAAGGGTTTGCACTTGAGCTGGAAATTGGAATCAAGAGAGGTGGAGGATAGGAGGGTTGGGAGAGTTGTTGAAAGCATGATCAAAGAGGAAAGTCTCGAGACGGACCTTGAAGAGGCAAGGGAGGGGACAAGGTGGAAGGATTCCGGATCAGAGTTCGAAAGGGTGGTGGCAGAAAAGCTGAAAACCTACCCACGAATGGTGAGGCGAGTAGGGCAGGGCACTTGAAGCAGGTCAGCGCCTGCTGAGCGGAGGGAGGGACAGATTAGTACGGTGTTAATAGGTTGCAAAGGTAGGGAGGAGTAAGACCTTGGCAGGCTTTAAAAGTAAAAAAAAATTTTAAACTCAATCCTCTAAGGGATGGGGAGGCAGTGGAGCCGAGCAAGGATGGGGGTGATCAGTTGTGGAGCTTGGTACAGGAGAGGCCACGAGCTGCAGTATTTGCTTTCTGGACTTGATCAGCCGAATATGGGAGACATTCTGCTTTCTATAGTTGTATTTGCACAAATTCAGAAAATACCAGCAACAGAAAAATAAACACACAAATTCAAACATGCATACACTTAACATCCTCTGCTGCATGAACTAATCATTGAACTACAGTGGGTGATACCTGAGGTGCGTGGTTCTCCTGAAGATTTTCTGCTATCTTTTAAAGTGTTGCTTTTAAAAATGAAAGGACATGTTTGGGATTCTTCAGTAGCTTCTGGTTTAAATAAAACATTATCAGTGCATTAGCAAAGAGATAAATACACTTTACATTTGTGTAAGTGAACTGATAGGCAAACTGATTCTTTAAAAAATATTATTGTTATTTGAAATGATTGCAGTTCTCTTCCCCAGCCTTATCCACAGTACAATACAAAATTACATTTGTATAGCACCTTTCATGTCGGGAAAACATCCCATGATGCTAAACTATTGAAGGCTCACAACTATTCAATATAAGAATATAAATGATTAGTAGAATTTGGGGATAATACTCAGATTTATGGCTGCAACATGATGATCTTCAAAATTTCACAAAATTAAACTAGGACTCTTAGGTTAATTTCATCTTTTGAGGGCTACAAGTGTAATTTTATATCTGAACGAAAAATGCAACATTAAATACGAGAAAATGGTTCGGTTGCAGTACCTCAGAACCTATGACAATTTGTTTCTTGATTAAATAAATCGAAGAATACTTGTTATTTTATACAAGAAATCAAGAATCCCTTTAAAGGTGCAACTATAAAGCCAGTTCTGACTCAAATACTAAGCAGATGATGAGAGAACACAAGTTTAATATCCCCAAAATGGCTCTTAACAGAGTCTGTGGATAACAGGTTAGTGCCCTTCAAGTAGAGTAATATCTCGGTCTGCCATACAGTGCTGGAAATTGAGCAGGTGGGATGGGGCGGGGAAGAGAAAGGTGACCATAAGCATAAAGGAAAAGGTAGCAGTGGATTACCTGCACATTCATCTTTCTGTTCCTCATGTATGCTATCGATTTTTTTGACACTAAAAAAATCTCTCATGTCCTTTGCGAACCTGACTGGGTCATCCCATGGAATGTATGATGATTCTGACTCAGGTTGTTGAAAGAAAGGTTTATCAAGCCTCTCCAGCTCTCCATTCTTTTTAACTTCAGTCAACTTCATGCTCTCAAAGACAAATTGCTTAAAGATTCTTTCCACTTCAGAGTTTGTCATCCTTTCTAAATACAATAATCAGGATTTTTGTTAGTTACATAGTGAGATTAGCCCCTCAACTCCCCACCTGTAGAAATTAACTAGTGACAGTCACAACAACAAATAAATTATTCTAACTTAAGATCAGGAACCTCGGAAATATTTTGTAAAATACAGATTTTAATTTAGATCGAATCCAGGCGGAATACATTGACCAATTCCTTGCAATAATTACTGCTGAATTCCCTCCCCACCACATGACCTCAACACAATGGTATCACGTGTGTCAGCCTGGCTCAGCGGTAGCACTCTCATCTCAGAGTCAGAAGATGGTGGGTTCAAGCCCCACGTCGGGATTTGGAATCACATTGTCTAAGCTGACACTCCAGTGCAGAGCTGGAGGGCTAGTTGCATTGTCAGAGGAGCATCGTTAAACGTAGGTCCCATCTGTCTGTTTAGGTGTACGTTAAAGATGCCATATACAAAAAAGAGAAGGGAGTTTCTCCCGGTGTCCCCCAAATAAAATTGGTCACTCATGGCTGTTTGTGGAACATTGCTGTGCGCAAACTGGCTACCGCGTTTCGCTCACAAAATACACAGTCACTGCAACTTACAGTGTATTCAGTGAAGCACTTTGAGATATCTTGACGATGTAATAAAGTGCAAGGATTATTAGTATCTGAGGGAAATCATAACACAAATGCTGTATAACAATAATAATAATCCTTGCATTTGATATAGCTCTTTTCACCTCTTCTCGACGTCTCAAAGCACTTCACAGAATATGCTGTAAAGTGAATTGACTGTATATTTGTGGGCGAAACTCGGCAACCAATTGCGCACAGCAGTGTCACACAAACAGTTGTGCATTGAAAATGACCAATTATTGTTTTGTTTTTTGGAGGGATTATTATTAGGTGTGTGGAGTAAGGAAATATGCCCAAGGTTTCGCTCTGCCTGGAATTGAACCCAGGTGTCTCGCTTGCAAGGCGAGTGCTATAACCACTGAGCTACAGGACTCCAACACAGCACATTGTACAACTATTAGTTCTGAACAATAATACTGTAATGAGGTAGGTAAATGGACTGCAATATCTAACCATTGGTGCAATAGTACATAAGTTCTTGGATCCCGGCCAGACGTTTCTTATCATCTTCGGGTGAAGGACGAGAAAAATTAAGAGCCTGAGCCACGAACAGCTTTTTCATCATTTCCTGTTCCACTTTAGCAATGTCAAAGCCTTCACAAATCTAAAACAACAACACAGTTCAGGTCAGAGAAGGCAGACATTCAATTTCTATTAACTCTGTGCTGTCTCATCAATTGGTGAAGGGGGGACTGGGTGGGGGGTTGGAGAGATTGAGGAGTACTATATAAATGCAAGTTTAATGTTGTTATCAGAACAACAACAACAATTTGCATTTATATAGCACCCTTCACGCAGGTAGAGTCTCGGAGCGCTTATCAGTAATCTGAAATTTAAATGGCCATGATGTCAATCTTACAAGTGTAGGAACAGGACATTTGGCCATTGAACCTGCTCTGCTATTATATTAGTTTATTGCAAATTTTATTGTTTGCTTTTTTCTTTATTGACTTTATTCATCAAGATTCTCTATCTTTCTATCTTAATCATCCCAAATTATTCTATTTCTTCGAGTCTGAGACAAGGTATTCCAGAACGCCGTAAACACTTGTGTGAAGTAATGTTTTCTGAATTCATTTTTAACTATAACAACTTTATTCTTATTCTTGATTTCTCTGTTGGAAGGAAGAATTGTTCCTTATCTACTTTCAATTTGATTATTTTTTGATGACTTCATTCTAATTATCTTCTTAACATTTTAGAACCATAGAATTTTACAGCGCCAGACAAAAAACGTTCGGCCAATCCTGAGTTGGCTCTTTGAAAGAGCAATCCAATCAGTCCCACCTCCCTATACGCTTTGCAAATTACTGCTTTATAATTATCGATCTAGTTCCCTCTTGAAAGATAATATTGATTCTCGCTCGACCATTGCTCGTGGCAGGACATTCCACATCCTAACCTTGCACTTCTTGAAGTTAAATTTCTTCTGCCATCTTTCTTCCCAATCTATTTGTTAGTCTAGGGAATACAACACCAATCTACAGCATGTTATTATAGCTATTCATAGCTGATATTGCTTCATCCTAGGCACTCTGGTGAATTGTCCCTTACTCAAATGCCCATATATCTTTCTTGAAGCCAAGATTGACCAGAAGGGAGAAATGCTTAAGAATTGAGAAATTCCACCTGGGTCTAGATTTACTCTACTTTCTTAGCTTTTCAGTAAACTATTGAGTTCTGTTTTACCTTCAAGGAGATTTCTGTGGTTCTTACCAGAACAGAGAAAATTAGCTGCAACATTAAGACTGTATTTAAGAACTCGACAAATTCTGGACAGTCTGAAATTTCAATTACCTTCAGATGGTGCGTCCGCCATGTTAAGTTGTCATGGTGATTAAGGAGCAGAGGCTGACTGGGTTCCTCACGTGACTTCTTTCGTACAGTTTCATTCATATCCCCGGTCACTTTCTGTGCAATATAAATTGGGTAGAACCTTATATTCATATCAGGATTATGGACTGGGCGTATTCCTGGATATGAAATTCCATACAAAAGTAGCTATGGACACCTTGTTTGGTTAAAGAAAATCTATGCCCAACAAGAATTTTGCCAGCATCTGGTTTGTGTTTATCCAGTGTTAGCTGCAAGAACATCCATGTTTCATTGTATTAGTTGTTATTGCCATCTTTTTAACAACGGGAAAAACAATTCAAAATTAAGATTAAGAATTTAATTATTTTCCCAAAAATATGCATGATCTTAAATGTTATGAAAATGGTCTTAGGATAAAGACTTTGAAGTATTTTGTGCTTCACCCGATAATGACACATGTGAACAATCTATCTCAAGAATGTGAATGGAAAATTGGTGGAGAATAATAATAATAATCCTTGCATTTGGTATAACGCCTTTTCACGCCTTCTAGACATCTCAAAGCGCTTCACAGAATATACTGTAAAGTTAATTAACTGTATATTTTGTGGGCAAAATGCGGCAGCCAATTGCGCACAGCAATGTCCCACAAACAGTCGTGGATTGAAGTGACCAATTCATTATTATTTTTTTAAAAAGAATTATTACCCCTGGAAAAGCAATTCACTAATCGACTAACAGCCGGGTTCCTACTTACTGCTAGGTAAACAGAGGGATATGGAGTAAGAAACTTGCCCAACATTTTGCCTTGCCGGGAATCGAACCCAGGTCTCTTGCTTGTGAGGTGAGCTCTCTAACCACTGATCTTCAGGACTCCACAATACAACTTGTAATATTGTAATGTTCAGAACAATACAACTCCCCACCACCCCACTCTAACCTTGTGCGCTTGCTCCAGGCAATAGAGAAACACGTTCTGGAGGCAAGAAAAAGGGAGAGGAAAAGTTCAAAGAAACGAAAAGGCATGGTAAACAAAACTTCCCTCTCAAGTTTTGAGAGTGAGCTGGATGTAGTGGTGAATGAGAAACTCCATATTGCTCATGGCTGAAAGAGATACAATTGTCTTTTAATTATATGCTATATCCATTGCAAAATAACTTTATAAGAGATCTCAAACAGCTCAATCATTTTAAATGGGGAGCTAAGCAAAGATTTGGCAAGATCCCACTTTTCCATTTTGTCTTCGAAAATGTTGCTGTGGCAACCAGAAAAAACAAGAGTTATAATAATAATAATCCTTTATTTGATATAGTGCTTTGTCATGTCTTTGAGACATCTCAAAGCATTTCACAGAATATATAACTGGAAGTTGACTCCCCAATCTCATTACTAGAGGAAAAACGGTTTCAGTAACAACAACAACAACGTTAGATTTGTAAAATGCTTTTCACGTCAGGAGGACGTTCCAAGGCGCTGGACATACAGAGTTACAGACTGTAAACACATGGATTAGAGAAAAGTATAACTGAGAGACAAATGTTGTTCATCTATAAAACAGATACCTGTTTTGAATCCTTTGGTAGGGGGGTATCAGCCACTGTAGAGACTTCGCCTGTTAGGCTTACTTCAACAGATTCAAATTGTGTTTCAGAAAGTACCTCTTGAGTGAGAGGAATATTTTCGTCGATTACAGCAGACTGTATTTAAACAAAAATAAATTAGTTTACAGTGAAAAATACTATGTACAGGCTTCAGATTAAACTTACAGGCTTCCTATTGCAGCACTGGACGGTAAAGGTACCTCTAGCGCAGCACTAAGCCATATTAACCAGTTGATTACAGGTTAGAATCAACTGATCTCAACAAGAACGGCAGTTTGGGTGCCACAATTTGCCTTAATATCTTTGCTTCGGGAGGGACAAATCAACTGGGTTTCAATCCCTGATCGCTATCTGGAGGCCCTCTACTGGAAGTTACTTGTGTAGAAGGTCAAGCTCGAGCTTGGCTATGCTCTGCTTAAGATCTATTAGTCCCTTCAGTTGTTCCATGATTGTACTCTGTTATTTCTATGGATCACCCGATTCAACCCATCACACACCTTATGTCAATACAAGAGAAAAAATGCAAGTGCAAGATAAAACATTCCAATAAAATATATGCACTTGCTACACTATTAGCTTTGGAAACAAAATGAGATGCATTGGTCGATACTGTCTCACACAGTAGATTCACAATAGTAACCGTAGACAATGGTGCTCATTTCTCAGAGGACTACTATTCAAACACAGGGATGAATATATAATGCCTGTGGATTGGTGTTCTTCTCCAAAACTGGAAGAAGCACTCAATCTAATCTAAATTTTACTAAATTGTAAGGAAGAGTAAATAAATAGGATGCTTTCAATATGTATTGATTTCTGGAGGTTATGCCTATTCCAGATATTATATTACAATTGGAGAACTGCAGGTAATACTGTTCTGCTTGAGAAATACATAGCTACAGAAACTTACTGGAGGCAGAGCAGCTAAATCAGATTTGGGTTCAATGATAAATTTGATTTGCAAATTCCGCTATGATAACTGCATTAACATTTGACTTACAAAACAGGTAAACATGCTTAATCGCAAAAGAAATGTTGTTTATTTATACACCAGCTTACCTCTAGATCTTGAGCAGTTTGGGATTTAGCAAGTGAAAGGGAATTTGTGAAATTGGAAATAACAGAATCCTGTTTCTCCAGCTCTCCATCAACTACAATCTGTGCACATCAAAACAAGAAATAATAATAGAAAAGTGTTTGAAATTCTCGTTGCATTGCACTTCTCCCATGCTGCATAGGGCTCTCAATAAAGTGCCAGTTATACAACCCTCTCTGAGCAACTTTGCAAGTGGCCTGAAAATTAGTGAAACTAAGTCCTGCATGAGAGCCAATTTCCTCCAGCTCAATGTTGGCAAGACAGAGGCCCTCTTGTGAGACTCCCGTCAGGGCCTCCGCACCTCAGCCACTGACATTATTACTATTCATGGATAGAAACCCTGGTGTCCTTTTCAACCCCCAGCTATCCTTCAAACCCCACATTGGTGCCGTGACCCGTTCCACATTTCCCCACCTCCGCAACATTGCTTGCCACCGTAATTGCCTTACCACAGGCCACCGAGGCACTGATCCACGCTTCCATTATGTCCTGGCTTGACTACGCCAATTGCCTGCTCACTGGACTTCCGAACTCCTCCCTCCACAAGCTGCAGATTATTCAAAACTCTGCAGCTCGTGTCCTCTCCTGCACCAGCTTCCGCAAAACTAATCACCCCCGTTCTTGCCCGGTTTCACCGGCTCCCCATCCCTCAGAGAAATCGAGTAAAAAACCTTTGTTCTCACCTTCAAAGCCCTCCACGTTCTTGCTCCCCCTACCTCTCCGACCTACTAACCCCATATCAGTCTGTTCGCTCCTTCCACTTGGGGACACCGGCCTGCTTCAGGTCCCCCGCACTTCCAGCTCCACCATCGGTGGTTGGGCATTCAGCATTTCTGCCACCACACTCTGGAACTCTATCCCGAAATCCCTCCACCTCACACCCTCTCTTGCCTCCTTCAGGTTCCATCTAAAGACCTTTATCTTCCACTGTGCCTTCAGTAATCATAACTACAAAAACATCATTTCATTGTTGTGCATAAGTCACAGAATGCCAAAGCTCACAATTTTGACATTCTGTGACTTATGCACAACAATGAAACAAAGTTTTTGTTTTTAATGTGATTAAAGAGACAATCGCTGCACAGCAGTCCATCCGAAGTGCTACTGGGGTTGGTGTTCAACTCAATTTCCTCCCAAAATGCTTACCCTTGGGTTCAAATCACATTGCAAAATGTCCTTGATACTGCAAAGTGGGACAAGGAGGATAATAGTATGAATACTTAGTGGATCAGATCATGTTTTCTGGCATATCCATATCTACATTTGTACGGTATATTAAGAGTGGCAACAGTCCACCTCACTGCCCATCTCAGTCCATTATTTCAGTGATCATAACTACGCAACTAATATTCCCTGAATTGCCAATGAAAAGAGGGGCCTTTCCTGAGGTAGAACCTAAGGATCTGTTTGCTGGCCTAATAGCTGCAGGAAGCTTAGTAGCTATAGCATTTGAACAATGTAAATGAAAAGGTAGAGATTCCTCCTGCAGCAATTATCCACTGGGACATCTACAGACCCAGAATATGGCATGGTGTGATAATTATCCTGATGATAATTATCATGTAACAATCCATTTCCCCCCTAAAGTTACATTCATATTGACTCACTTTTGCCACTTAGAAGCTTTCTGTGATGTTACTCTGCCTGAAGGGAACTAGAATAATTCAAGTTGTTATTGTAAAAATTACATATTTGAAATATCTCTATTCCCAACTATTTCAAATATGAAATATCAGATATCTAGGCCTTAGTATCCACTTTGAAACGAAAACAGAAGTCGCTGGAAACACTCAGCAGGTCAGGCAGCATCTTTGGAGAAAAGAGTCAACGTTTCAGGATCCGAAACGTTGACTCACTTTCCTTTCTCCATAGATGCTACCTGACCTGCTGAGTGTTTCCAGTGACTTCTGCTTTTGTTTTAGATTTCCCGCATCTGCAGTATTTTGCTTTTGTTTTGTATCCACTTGAGTGATATGCAAAGAGGTAAGCAGTTGCTGCTATAGGTCTGAACTTTCATCTGGTAGAACCATCGCTCAATGAGTAAGGATGTGGGTTCGAACTGTGGGTAGAAAGATGGGGGGGCTGTGTTGCTCACCAGGAAATTCGGAAGGGAGTTCCTGGTACCTGCTATCCAAACACAATACAAATCATTATTACCTTTAGCAGACTTGAATTTTGTGACTTGATATCTTCCTTTGATGGTGAATGTTTGCGCAACTCACTCTCTTGGTTTAACTCATTCTCTTTTTTATGTCTGGGGTCTTCCAAATCCTCAATCATTTTCTGTGTGCAAAAAAAAATAATTGTAAATTAATGTTGCATTTGAATCAGGATGACCTGTTTTAAGAATTGATTTCTCCAATGTCCTCCCCAGTTGTACCAACAAACCTCAACTCATCCAAAATGTGTCTGCCGCAACCTTACCTGCACTAAGTGTTTGTATGCCCATCACTCCTGTCTTTGCCAGGCTTCACTAACCTAACATTCCTTCTTAAAAAATCTGTGAAGACATACTGTGAATTAGACCCAAATGTGCACTTCTAAAGGGAAAATCTCATGCCATATGAATGTGCACAATGTTTCTACATTTAGTGGAAGATGAATTTCACAGTCACAAAAGTGGAAAACTATTCCATTCTGAAAACTGTCAACTCTGATCAAAAGATTCATCCAAAAATTAGGCAGCATCCTAACAGGTGATGCTTTAAGTGGTAGGTAATAATAGATAGGTATAATCATACTTTGATGATGTGGTTGGAAAACTGGATATGGCGATATAAGTGGATATGATCAGAATGCATTCTATAAGTATTGCTACATGGAGTATCACAATCTAATACCATGTATCACATCCTAAACCTTTTGTATCATTTGAAGCTCTTTGTTTTGATTCACAGTCTCATAACTTACAAATGGCTATCCAGTAACCTTCTGCATTTGCAGATAGCCTTACAAATGGCTATCTGCATATCAACCTGTTCGTCCACAAAACACACAGCCACTAAACTTTAAACTATATTCTGTGAAGCACTTTGAGACATCCTCCCGATGTGAAAGGAGCTGTACCTTACCAAATGTAAGCATTGTTATTATTATTCAACTTTTCGCATCTCTCAACATGCAGTGTGTCTAAACTTTATGAACAGTTTATATATTTTGGCTTTCTCTGTGCATTTAGACTTATGTTAGCATACATTTTGATTGGATAAATGCATAAATTTTTCAGATGTAATCATGCATTTAATGTTGTCGATCTGTCCTTTGGTGTAACAAGGACTTTAAGTACCTTTTTTTCCTTCTCAGACACAGACAGTTTGAGCACAACTGAGATGATATGATCAACTATGTTGGCGTTTAGTCCATCTTCTCGTGGTTCAGGAATAAACTCACTTGGAGGAGTTCTATTTTCTTCTGATGCAATGACCTGTGTATATCCAGAAAACAATCAGTATTTATAAAAAGTGTTTGAAATTCATCCCATGATATTAGGGCCCTTTCGTTTGGTCTTAGTAGTGGCAAGCTCTTAGAAAAAACCTTAGCAAGAGATTGGTTATTCTAATATTCCCACAGCAATATTCTAACAATATACCAATAATATGATGGTAAACAGTATTTAGTACATCAAAAGATAGTATTGTGGTTGGGGACTGGGCTGTCAGTTTATTACAGGACAGACAAAGATATACAAACCTGTTCCAGGATACAGTGTAATATTAAAGGTACTGAGAGGCTTTCCAGGGGCACAACGTTCATCAGATCATTGTAGTATCTCATATCCACCTCAGCAGGAGTAGGTTCTATGAAAAAAAAGAACCAATAAAATTTCACAGTTGATGTGAATGAAACGGATGCATTGCTCATTGAAAAGAAATATGTATAAGTGGAAGACAGCATAAAGCAGAGAATGTATGCTTTGGAATTCTGACACCAAACTCATCAATAATTTAAAGAACGGAGGTGTGTGCTGCAATAGTATTGGTAAAAGACATATTATGATGATGCTACTGTCAGTAGAATGCCTGACGACAGAATTCTGATGTCCTCCATGTGAAGTGCTGCTTCCTCTTGATCACAACTCAGATAATAATAATAATCCTTGCATTTGATATAGATTTGAGATAGCGCCTTATCATGTCTTCGAGACATCTCAAAGCGCTTCACAGAATATACTGTAAAGTGAATTGACCGTATAATTTGTGGTCGAAACGTGGCAGCCAATTGCGCAAAGTAGTGTCCCACAAAGGGTTGTGGATTGAGAAGGCTGTCATTTGAGGCACCTTCCTGAACTGAACTAAGTTCCACGTTGGGACTTGAAATCATATCGTCTAAGCTGACACTCCCAGTGTTCTGGCCAACAAACACCTAAATAAAAGTGGTTCACTCACTCCATGCCTGTTTCTGGGACATTGCTGTGCGCAACTGCCTGGTGCGTTTTGGCCACAAAATATATAGTAAAACCACCTTACAGCATATCCTATAAAGCACATTGAAGCCATTTCGATGCTAAGGCGCTATATCAAATGCAAAGATTATTATACTATTATTTTATGTTGGGAGTACATCATCACAGGATTTATTGTAAAGCCTAGTGACTGCGTATTTCTGTAGGCAAACACAGATATTTGCCATTTAACGGACAATTTCGTTCACAGGCTCCATTCCTACATCAAATACCAGTTTGGGTTTTCCAATATTAAGTTACTGACAATATATAACATGTTTACTTTCTGCCTTCAACTCCCCTTCCTCTAAAGATAAAGATCAAGTGTTGATTATTGTTCACAAATATAGGTAAATCCGTGAGATTAAAGGCAGTAAAGTACAATGGTGCCAGCTGTACTACACTGAGCAAGCTGGGTACTCGTGCTTCAGGGGGCAGCATTCAACTTAGTACATTCTCTTTGATGCACTTCTTAATATCAATTACACTTTATATTTAGCTAGTCAGTTAAACTATCCAAAGTTAGTCTGCAATCTGAATTTAAAATGCCCTTAAGTACTACAAGTCATATTTACTCCTCATCCACCTCTCTCAGATCCAAAAAGCACACTTCATGTTGGGACGTCCTCCCGACGTGAAAGGCGCTCTATAAATGCAATCTTGTTGTTGTTGTTGTTGTTGTTTTAATGTGCTTAGATTGAGGCCTATGTTGACATTTTCACTGGAATGTCATCTCATGTTTCTGTCGTCCTCCACAGACAGAAAAAACAGCAATTTGATTAAATCCACAGCAGGATACAAGATTGAACTTCAGTTCAGAATGGGATTGCAAGAGAATGAATGGCAAGTTGCACATGAAATATTAAAGACATTGTAATGATATGTAGTGTAATTTTACAAATCAGCTACCTTGTTCAGTATGAACTGGTTGTCCTACTACTTGTCCTGATGGTGGGGTCTTCTTCTTGACAGGCTGGATCTGCTGTTCGAGCACCTATTGCAGAGATTCAAACACAAAAACTTAAAGGTCAGAAGCATGTAAGTATGCTCTACCAATCTCAATCTGAATGCTGTACTGGAAAGTTCTGCATTTTCAGAGGTGATGTACTCTGGAAGGGTGTTAAATATCCTACAGCACTATTTAAATACAAAAGGGAGTTTCCTCCCAGTGGCCTGACCAAAAGTGCTCCAGATAAATTGATCATTCGCTTTATGGTTGTTTGTGGGATTGCTATGTGCAAATTGGTTCTTGCATTTGCGTAAAATTCTAAGTGACTACATTTTACAACAATTTCCTAGGAAGCACTTTAAGATGTTTATGTTTCCAAGGTAAAGATTATTTACTTATTAATTAGGTCATGTTCTGAATAAAATCAATCTTACATGTTAATAAAAATGGGCATATCACAGCATAATTTCTCCAGATAATACAGCTTCTCATTACCCCATAATCTTTCCTGGAATTGAAACGTTTCACTCAATTTAGTTTTGGGTGTTTTCACATTTCATTTTATTCAGATTATTTGTTTCAGTGAAACATAAAGCTTAAAAATAGACCATAAAGTTTTTGTTTTTAGTCACAATGTTATCATGTTAATGAAATATCTTTGTAGAAAATCACAATGTAGAATTTGTTGCTTTACCTGCTCGGTTTTGAAGGCTTCTGGTACAGCACACATCTGCATATTGTTTATGTAGTTTAGATACTGTCGTTTCCAATCTATGCAGTCATAAATCAGACAGGCAATGTCTTCAAATAGCAGAGTGGCAAATTCCAACTGCCAGGAAAGAAATAACACAGTCCTCAGAAATATACGTGTGAGGATATAGTTGACCTTAATTCACAGGGCAATAAGGTTAAATTTATTGAAATGGAAATACCATCCTGCTGCAATTGATCATGCTTTTATGAGACTGCTGTACATACTTAAAGAAACATAACAAGCATGTTGTACCTGGCCCATGTTACGCCTGACCTTCATGTGCTTGCCATTATCACTTGGAAGAAAAAGCTATTCTACTGCTCAGTGCTCTTTACTCCAGTTGACACACATGTTTAATGCTCAGAACCACCTGATGTACGTTGGAGCAACAAACAATGGTTGTAGCTGGTTTATCTTGCTTGTAAATGATTTTTATTTTGGTGAACATTGTGATCTTTCACATTGATGGTTCTGTGGATGAAGTATTTCCATTTGACAGCAGTCATGGTTCAGAATAGCAGTACATTAGATGCCATGCAAATAACATAATAACAATCCTTACGTTTGATATAGCGCTTTATCACGTCAGCGAAATATCTCAAAGCGCTTCACAGGATATACTGTAAAGTGATGAAGCTGTGTGTATCTTGTGGCTGTGTGTGTTTTGTGATGATCACGGCAGCCAATTTGCACATAGCAATGTCCAACAAATAAAAATAATAATAATAATAATAATCCTTGCATTTTGATATAGCGCTTTTCACGTCTTCTAGATGTCCCAAGGCGCTTCACAGAATAATAATAATAATCCTTGCATTTGATATAGCGCTTTTCACGTCGGGAGGATGTCCCAAAGCGCTTCCCAGAACACAATGTAAAGTGAATTGACTGTATATTTGTGGGCGAACGCGGCAGCCAATTGCGCACAGCAATGTCCCACAAACAGTCGTAGATTGAAAATGACCAATTTTTTTATTATTATTTTTTGTTTTGGAGGGATTATTATAAGGCGTATGGAGTAAGGAAACTTGCCCAAGGTTTCGCCCTGCCTGGAATTGAACTCAGGTCTCTTGCTTGCAAAGCGAGTGCTCTAACATGGAGTGAGTGACCAATTTTATTTGGGGGATTGTTGGCCATGACACCACAAGAAACTCTCTTCTCTTTTTGAATACTGTCATGCCATGGGATGTTTAATGTCCACCTGGACAGGTAGACGGAACCTCAGTTTTATGTTGTATCCTGAAGGCAGCACCTCTGACAATGCAGCACATCCCCATCCCGCATTGGAGTATCAGCATAGGCTATATGGGTTCAACACTTGACGTGGGGCTTGGTCCCACAATCTTTTACCTCAGGGGCAAGAGAGCTACCATCTGAGCCAGGCTGACACACGGAATATGTGCTTCAAGCGCAGATATGGCACATTGGTGGAATTTACATTCTCAAATTGTTTACCTATGATATCTCATCCCATTAGCAAGTAGCTAATGAATGGTGTTCACAATAGCAATGTAGTCTCCTACAAAATACACGGCATATCCACTAAAAACAGATGTCTCAATAATGTGAGTAGATGCTATATCAAATGTAAAGATTATTATTATCCTAAAATCTTTTCATTTCTTTCTCATGCCATTTTCACTATATTTGGATTTCACTCTTTTAGATTAACAACTGCCTGTCATGAAGAGCCAGTATCACAGATAAGTATATAGACAGATAAATGTATGAATCCCAGTGTACCCAATTCAAGGATCACCAGTGTTAAACACTTTACTACCACATCACAATGCCTTCCATTTTCAGGCTTATCTGAGTTAAGAAAAAGCATTGAGGCCTGGTTACATCATTAATTTGTTACAGATTTTTTCATAATTCATAATTCATAGATCTAGAAGAGTTAAAGTTTTCACTAAAGTCTTGGGTTAAAACTGACCATCATTTCATTATTGGTCCAGTCTTGTGGGGAAATGGATTCCTTTACTGTATATTGCAGTCTGGCTACATCAAACAGCTTGAATTCATGTTTGTCATTATTCAAAACAGGCTCAAGATACTTCCAGAAAATATTCAGGTCATTGGTGACTTTCTCCTTCTTCAGCTTCTCTGCTTCCCTCTGCTGCACCTCTGCGTCATTAGCTGTAAACCAAAGATTTAAAATAAATTAAGACCTTTTAAATAATTAGCACGCTGCGATTGCCAGCATCCTGATGAAAACCTCAGTGCTCAGTTTCTAGAACTGGGCATTGAAGCTGACTGTAAAAATAGGGTACAGATAAGTTTGGGTCTGAATACATTCTGTGTTTATTACATTACATTTATTATATTTTAATTGCTAGATTATGACTGTAGGGATAAAATTATTAAGAATTTTATAAAGAATTACAACTGATCTCATGTTTTGTAAATAAACAAAAGTCTGTAAATACTGCAATTATCTAAGTGGCTCAGGAGCTGAGAGACAGTGTGTTCAGCGCAGAATCACATGAGAGAGAGGAAGGTGAGTGGGATGAAAGATAGTAATCCTTGCATTTGATATAGCGCCTAATCACATCTTCCAGATGTCGTAAAGCGCTTCATAGAATATACTATAAAATGATTTGACTGTATAACTTGTGGGCGAAAAGCGACAGCCAATTGCGCATAGCAGGATCCCATAAACAGTCATGGATTGAGTGGCCGAAAAAGATGTGGGCAGGAGGCTGGAGCTGAGTGCTTAAACATTGTATCTCATTGTCAAGAATGAAAATCAGATTAAAAAATCCAACACTGATTGGAAAGCCAACAATCTCTTTTAAATGTTAACAGATATAAAATGAAATGCCCCGGGAACACATTTTGAAGGAATAGTCTAAGATAGGCCTTTGTTTCGTTTTATCCTGAAGTACACTTCGATCTAGGTTTTGACAAACCTTTTAGTTAAATTTGGCTTAAATCATCCCCTAAAAATGGAAGGGGATTTTCAATGACAAAGTATTATTAGAATAAGGATAATCATCTGTAAAAACACAAGAGAAAGTGAAGTGATATCTGTTTGCAATCTAAACAAAACTAAGGTATTTAGTTGGTAAGTGTTTAAGGACAAGCATGTACATACACACAAAAAAGTGCCACTTAAAAGAATTTTATTCCTTAAAAACACAAAAGTTGGGTCACAATTATAGATCCTTGCCTCTTCAAGTTATTGATCTCATAAATCAATGTTTATGGACACAAGTCAGGCAGACTTTTGGTTCCAGCATCTCCATTTTTTGAACAAACTCAGTATTTGGTGAGAAGAATTCACCCATGGAGTCTGCCTTTGATGAGTTGGCCTGTACATTATAGAAGCGACAGGCAATAATTGTGGATAGATGGGCAATTGAATGTATGGGTGGGTGACAAATGAAAAAGCAGCACAGTAAAAGCTTTCTATACTTATAGCAAAGAGGGTATTCAAAATCATATGATATGCATATTAAACAATTGTTCGGTTTATAGAATTATCCTTATTAAGAGAAAGCCATCAACAATTACGTATGTACATTGGATTATCCATTAGATTAAGTGCTCTATGGTTTTCTTTATTAATAAGACTAGCTAATATACCTTCATAAAAAGCATCTGATTCAAGTACAGAGTCCTGTTTTGGAAGAACTTCAGAGCTCTCAGAAGAGATCTTTATTATAGCAGTGATATTAATTCCGAGCTCTGCCAAGATAAATAGCAGCTGAAGCTGGTGGAAGCCAATGATAATGATGTAGTGTTGTGGACCATCATCAGGTTCATCATCTATTGTTAAAGCAAAGCAAATTTTAATGTTACAGTCTTTGCCAACTTTATTAATTGTTTTATCTCTGTCAGTTACATTCCTTCAAGTAACAGAGCACAGTATTCTAGACGTATGTTTCTCTAAGACAACATTTAATGCTGCTCTGCCTCAAGTAACCTATGCAGAACTTCTGTGTCTTGTTCAATCCCCAACAGTCCTTCAAGCTCTACATCCAGACTCTCACTTGCTCGGTTTTCCCTCACCACCACAAAAATTGCTCGTCTCCATTACTTCCTCTTTACCCAGGCTGCCAAGAATCTTATCCTTATCTAGCGGAAGATAGTCTTGTTGGGAACCGAGCATTTGTAATCCTGTATTCCCATTCCAATTTACACAAAATAAAATATTGAATTCTCCACACTTTTAAAACAGGGACAAAATTGCAACCACAGAATACATCTGGAATTTTGTACCTCTAAAGCTATTTTAAAATTTCATTTATAAAACCCCCCTGCATATCTGTTAGCCATTGTTTTTGAACCAGGTTTGAACTCTGAAATATATAAACTGGCAATCCTACATCATACATCCGCATACTGTGTCTACCAGCACCACTTCCTTTTCATTCCAGTTACAGAAGGGAGACCTGATGCCAAAAGGGGGCTAGGGAAATTCTGATTCTTTTCATTACAGGTTGCCAACAGTGTCAAGCACGTTTTTGCTGGGAAACCTATGATGAAAGAGCGACATTGGGAGATGATTAAATAAATATCCTCGGATAATTGAAGATGAGGATCAATGAGTCGCACCCTCAGCATGAAGAACCCTATACTTCAAAGTGTTTAGTTTCATATCAGTGATGTACCTGCGCTGCTGTCTTCTCAGGCTTGCAAGAAAATACAAATTTAAACTTACCAATATATTTCAATATAACTTCTTCTTCGTCTCTTTTTTCAGCTTTGTGTTCAATTTAAAGGGAGGAGGTTCTGGAGTTTTCTTTGCCTTGCCTTTCCCTTTGCTTGAAATTTTCCTCTCTCCCTTCTTCTTGCTTCCAGCACTTGACCCTTTTGGTTCATCCTTTTCTTCCATTTCCTGGAGCAAGAGAACAAGGGAAGTGAAATAAATACAGCTTAAATTCAATAAAAAGCTTTTGTACAACATTCTACAAAACCGTACCAGTCACATTGCGATCAATTGTACAGTGTATTCTTAAAATATATATTTATTTAATAAATACAAAATTCTAGAAATTTTGAATGAAAGAAATAAAGAATGAATGGTAGTTCCAGTTATTTAACTAGAATTTTATTTGTGTAAAACAATTTTCCATGACAATTAATTGATTAATTGAGGATCTTTGCAACACACATAAAAGAAATCATAGGAGCTACTGAAATCTCAACTAACTTACTCTCCTTTCATTTTCTCTCCTTTGCATATCTTTCTGTTTGATCCACAGTAGATGGAACTTGAGCAGTTTCCCAATCAGTGGTAGTGGAAGCTCCTCGTCTTTACTCAGTATTGCTCTTGCTGCTTCTGTGATCTGAAATTCCCATAAAGCAAAGATAGTAAGGAATTAATATCTAACAAGTCATAGTTCATAAAAGTCACTCAAAAGAGTAAAAAAAAATCTGACAAAAAAGTGTGCATTTGGGAAGACGCTCAAAGCACTTCACAGGATTTACTCTAAAATGTGGTGCCTGAGTATTCTGTAGGTACTTTTTTGGCCAGGACACTGGGATGAACTCTCATCTCTTTTCAAATAGTGCCATTGGATCTTTAATGTCCACCAGAACTGGCAGATGGGACCTCGTTTTAACATCTCATCTGAAGGATGGCATCTCCAACAATTCAGTGCATCCAATAAAGTGACAACCTAGAATCTGAGTTCAAGGTCCCGATGTGGGACTTGACCTTCTGACTCAGAGGCAAGAGAGCTTCCAACTGAGCGAGGTTGACACCAGTCTAATTTGAAGAGTGAATAATGTTAAGAATTGCAGAGGTAGGTGGAAATGTTTACCTCATAAAACAGAGGAATCTCATCCGACTTTTTGGGGTTTCCAAGTGCATTGATCTACAAAGGTAACATGTTCAAATATATCAATTGTTGTCAAGTTAATGCTGTCCCTTTTCAATGATGTTGGATTTTTGCATTCGTATTTTTTTCCCCTTTACATTTCTATATATTTTATAAATATATGTATAAATATTCACAAACAGTTATTAGGATCTGAAATGAGCTACCGTAGGCAGCTGTTGAAACAGAATTGTTTACGACATTTATAATTTAATTAAGTAAACACATGGAAATAAATCTCAGCTGAACCCCCTCTATCATGGTGACGTCTTTCCTAAAGTGGGGTGAGCAACATTGGACACAATATTCTAACTATTCCATTCTAACTCTATATATCGTAGAGGTGTATGCACATACCTGCACCATCATTTCTTCCCAAGAAATGACACTGAAGAGCTTGCGCTGTGGAACTCGGATTGCAGTGGACAGAGATTCAGTAAAGATTTCATCTTCTTGTCTCTCACCAACAACAAAGTAGACAGCTGCATTCCATTGTTCCTGCAGCACCAGACAAAATATATTAAAGAATCCAAATTAAGTTGGAAATGTGATCACCATTTTCATCTAATTTCTCACAAAATGTCCCTTGTGTAAATCTGAAAACAAACAGAAGTCACTGGGAACACTCAGCAAATCAGGCAGCATCTAGTGTTCCCTGAGTGTTCCCAGCGACTTCTGTTTTTGTTTTCATATTTCTAGTATCTGCAGTATTTTGTGTTTTGTTTTTCCTTGTGTAAATCTGTTGTTTCCAAGCTGTATCCCACATGCAGAGAAATTCAGTCCATGAGATCCTCTACAAATGCCACCTTTTATGATTGGACAAATGATGCATGTGTGAGATGCCAAGGAAACTATTTTAGTAGTCCTACTTCCTTGGTGAAACCCAATTAGAACTACTTACAATTGCCTATTCAACAGATGCCTTTTTATAACTATTTGTGCTGAATGAATGATGTGATAACATCACTAACAATATTAGAATGCACTAGTGTTTTGTAATTGAAGAATTAATTTTGAATTTACCTCTTCAAACTGAGCTGCCAACAGCCCTGGTTCCCAACCTTTGGAGCTTGGTGGTGCCTTAGATGAAGTAGCAGATTTTAACTTCTTTGCGGGCATGTCTTTTTATTGTTTATTGTTGTTGTTGTCTTCTTATGCTTCCATGTGACCTGTGACAGTGTAGTTCTCCTTATGTGGGGCAATCTAGGGGTGAAAGGAACAGTGCAGTGAGTTAACAAGCAACTCAGGGGATGATACATAATTTTCCCCCCTTCTCTATGCAGCTAATACATTTCAATAACACCCTAAATATTGAAGAGTTAAAGTTTCCCAATGTATTCAGAGAGGCTTTAGAGCCTCTCTGGATACCCATGCATTATTCGAACCCCTTTAGTCGGGTTTCCGTGCTGCCCATAGCACAGAAACCGCCCTGGTCAAGGTCACCAATGACATCTTGACCACCTGCAACCAGGGTTCCCTTTGCCTCCTCGTCCTCCTCGACCTATCGGCAGCATTCGATACGGTTGACCACACTATCCTCCTCCACCGCTTGTCCTCCCACTTAAACCTTCAAGGCCCTATTCTTGAGTGGTTTCGGTCGTACCTCTCCCACCGCCTTCATTTTGTTTCCACAAACGGCTTTTCCTCCAGCCCCCGCACTGTCTCGTGCGGTGTCCCTCAGGGCTCTGGCTCGGTCCCCTCCTCTTCACCCTCTATATGCTCCCCCTTGGTGACATCATCCACAGACATGGGGTTAACTTCCACATGTATGCGGATGACACCCAACTCTACCTTTCCTCCTCTACCCTCAACTCCACGACCACCGATGTCCTGACAGCTGCCTGTCCGACATCGAGTCCTGGACGAGAGACAACTTTCTTCAGCTCAACGTGCGAAAAACCGAGGCCCTCCTGATTGGCTCATGTCAGCGCCTCCGCACCTCAGGCGCTGACACCATCAGCATCCAAGGCTGCACTCTCCACCTCTCAAAGCCAGTCAGGAACCTCGGGGTTCTGTTCGACCCTGAGCTGTCCTTTCTCCCTCATATCCGCGCCACAACTGGCACCGCCTTCCATCACCTCCGGAACATCGCCAGACTACGGCACTACCTCACCCCTCACGCTGCTGAAACCCTGGTCCACGCCTTTGTCACCTCAAGGCTGGACTATGGGAACTCTCTCCTCGCCGGCCTTCCCGGCACCTCCCTCCACAAGCTGCAGGTCATTCAGAACTCTGCAGCTCGTGTACTGTCCCGCACCAGGCTTCGACCACATCACTCCCACCCTCGCTCGCCTCCACTGGCTCCCCATCCCCCAGAGGATCAAATTCAAGATCCTCATCCTCACCTACAAGGCAATTCACGGCCTTGCTCCCTCCTACCTCTCCGACCTACTAACCCCCTACTTACCTGCCCATAGCCTCCGTTCCTCTGGCTCCGGTCTGCTCCACATCCCCCGCCCCAACCGCCCTACCATCGGTGCCCGGGCCTTCAGCCTCTCAGCCCCTAGGCTGTGGAACTCCATCCCCCAGTGCCTTCGCCGCCTCCTCCCTTTCCTCCTTCAAGGCCGGTCTCAAGACCTTTCTCTTTGACCGTGCCTTCAGCTCCCTTTTCGACTCTCTACCCCCTCCTCGCTCCCTCCCTTCCCTCCCCTCACCCTGACCATTTCCCCCCTGCTCGGGTCTTTACCCAACTGTCCAGCGCCTTGGGACATCCTCCCGACATGAAAGGCGCTCTATAAATGCAATCTTGTTGTTGTTGTTGTTATTAGAGTTTGTCCCTTTGCAATGTTTTCATTCAATGTAACCTACCTGAGATTTCACAATGCAGATTGAAGTCAAGGAAGTGCTCTGTTTGTAGTACAGAGATGATTATACGTGTGAATGAGCAGAATCGTTCTCAACCCTAGCCAATATAATTGGGAACACAATGTATACATCAGGCTTCTGCTCCCAATTACTTTGGTGTTGAAAGTGATATTACTTCATTTCCAGCAGCATAACCTGGCATAACGATATACAATACAATCCAAATTTACATTTACCTGTATATAGTGCCGTTCAAATTGGGAGGATATCCCAAGCTGCTGGACAATGCAAGGTTCACACCTGAGCTCGGGGTGGGAGCGAGGGGGTGGAGGGTAAGAGCAAAGCTGGCTGAAAGTGTGGTCAAAGAGGAAGGTCTTGAGGCAGACCTTGAAAGAGGCAAGGGAAGGAATTATAATAATTATTGTGTTGGATATAGCATCTATAATATTGCAACATCTTAATGTGTTTCATAGGGAATTGCTGCCAAAGTGCGTTGATCGTGTGATTATAGGCAAACATGTCAGACAATTTGCACACAGCAAGATAGGACAAAGTCAGGAAATGAATGATGAATTAATCTCAATGATTTTTGGCCATGATGCCAGGAGAAAGTTCCTTCTCTTTGTTGAATAGTTTCTTGAGATCCTTAAAGTCCACCTCAACAGACAGATGTTTAACGTACAGCACTCCCCTATTACTGTCCTGGAGTGTCACTATGAATATGAGCTCAAGTCCCCTGGAATCCATAATCTTCAGACTCAAAAGTGAAGTAAGCGCTCTGCTAACTGATTTGAGCTGACCCAAAATAAAGGTATTTCAAGTAAAACTGTAATTATACAATGTTTAAAAACAGACTTGATGGTGAAATTGCCTCTTTAATTTAAGAATCTCATTTGCTCTTCTGTCTGATGCATAAACTCCAAGAAATGTTCCTAAACTTTGCCACCAGATGTCAATCTACATCTACAATTTGTTTTCAATCCCTCTGCCTTGCTCTCTCCTTGCCTATCTTCAGATCACACCTTAAGACCTTCCTCTTTGACCATGCCTAAAGTCACCTCTCGCCTCTCTCCGCCAGTGTTAAGCATTCTGAGATGCTACGCCTCATGACAGGTGCAAAAATGCAAGTTGTTGTTGCTGCTGCTGTGGTTGATCAGTTTTTTGTTCGTCGAAGTAACAAGAACAGCAAATTACATTTGTATAGCGCCTTTCATGTCGGGAGGACGTCCCAAGGCACTGAACAGTTAGGGATTTGAACCCAAGCTGGGAGTTGAGATCAGGAGGGCTTGGAGGGTAGGGAGGGTAGGTGTCGGAGGGTGACCAAAGGTACTGTGAGATGGAGTTCCAAAGGGTGGGATCTGAGAGGCTTTTCCTTCTCTCTGGGTCAGTGTTTGTGTGTGTGTCTCTCTCTGTGGGTCAGTGTGTGGTCGCCCTCTCTCTGGGTCAGTGTGTGGCTCCCTCTGGATCTCTGGGTCTCTTAGTATGTGTGTGTGTGTGGGAGGGGGTCTCTGTGTGTGTGTGGGGGGGGTCTCTGTGTGTGTGTGGGGGGGTCTGTGTGTGTGTGGGGTGGGTGGGTGGGGAGGGTGGTCTCTCAGTGTGTGTGTGTGTGGGGGGTTTCTCTGGGTGTGTGTGGGGGGGTCTCTCAGTGTGTGTGTATCGGGGAGTGGTCTTTCAATGTGTGTGTGTGTGTATGTGGGGGGGGGGATCTCTCAGTGTTTGTGTGTGTGGGGGGGTGGTCTCTCACTATGTGTGTGTCTGTGGGGGTGGGGGGTCTCTCAGTGTTTGTGGGGGGGGTTGGGGTGGTCTCTCAGTGTGTGTGCGGGGTTGGGGGGTCGCTCAGTGTATGTGTGGGAGGGTCTGTGTGTGTGTGTGTGCCGGGGAGGGGGGGGGGTCTCTGAGTGTGTGTGTGGGGGTCTCTGTGTGTGTGTGGGTCTCTGTGTGTGTGTGTGGGGGGGGGGGGGGGGGTCTGTGTGTGTGTGTGGGAGGATCTCTGCATGTGTGTGTGGGGTGGGGGTCTCTCAGTATGTGTGTATGTGTGTGGGGTCTCTCTCAGTGTGTGCGTGCGTGCGTGTGTGGGTGGGTGGGGAGTGGGGTCTCTGTGTATGTGTGGGGGGGGGGTCTCTGTGTGTGTGTGGGGGGGGTCTGTGTGTGTATTGAGGGGGTGGGTGGGGAGGGTGGTCTCTCAGTGGGTGTGTGTGTGGGGGGGTTTCTCTGGGTGTGTGGGGGGGTCTCTCAGTGTGTGTGTATCGGGGAGTGGTCTTTCAATGTGTGTGTGTGTATGTGGGGGGGGGGGTCTCTCAGTGTTTGTGTGTGTGGGGGGGTGGTTTCTCACTATGTGTGTGTCTGTGGGGGTGAGGTGGGGGTCTCTCAGTGTGTGTGTGCGGGGTTGGGGGTCTCTCAGTGTGTGTGTGTGTGGGGGGGGTCTGTGTGTGTGTGTGTGCCGGGGGGGTCTCTGAGTGTGTGTGTGTGGGGGGGGGTCTGTGTGTGTGTGTGGGGGGGGGTCCTGTATGTGTGTGGGGGGGGTCTGTGTGTGTGTGTGGGGGGGGGTCTCTGTGTGTGTGTGTGTGTAGGGGGGTCTCTGTATGTGTGTGTGGGGGGGATCTGTGTGTGTGTGTGGGGGGGGGCGTCTCTCAGTATGTGTGTATGTGTGTGGGGTCTCTTTCAGTGTGTGCGTGCGTGCGTGTGTGGGTGGGGAGGGGGGTCTGTGTGTGTGTGTGTGTGGGGGGGGGTCTCTGTGTGTGTGTGTGTGTGTGGGGGGGTGTGTGTGTGTGGGGGGGGGGGGGATGTGTGTGTGTGTGTGTGGGGGGGGTCTCTGTGTGTGTGTGTGTGTGGGTGTGTGTGTGGGTGTGTGTGTGTGTGGGGGGGGGGGGGGTGTGTGTGTGTGTGGGGGGGTGTGTGTGTGTGGGGGGGGGGGGGATGTGTGTGTGTGTGTGGGGGGGGGGTCGCTGTGTGTGTGTGTGGGGGGGGGGGTCTGTGTGTGTGTGTGTGTGGGGGGGGTCTCTGTGTGTGTGTGTGGGGGGGGGGGATGTGTGTGGGTGGGGAGGGGGGTCTCTGTGTGTGTGTGTGGGGGGGTCTCTGTGTGTGTGTGTGGGGGGGGGGGTCTCTGTGTGTGTGTGTGGGGGGGGGGGGGGGTGGGGGGGGAGGTTCCTACCCACCTTTCTCTCCGGCTCCTCTCCCCTCGTCGCACTCGCTCCGTTTAGTTGACATCGATGTCCCGGGCAACGGTTCCCTGGCAACGGCCATGGCGTCCGGTAACCAGGAACTGTGGTCGAGACGGCAGCGGGTGGTTTGGCTCCACCGTCCTCCTGCTCCACGGACAGCGCCCCCCGGCGGAGGAGCTTGGAGTTGATCAGCCCAGCGCCCCCCCCCCCCCCCCCCCACCCTCCCCCCCCCAACCCCTCAGGAGAGCAGCACTGGCACCACAATGGCACCGCAATGCAATCAATGTCCTTCCATCCACCTTGGGGAAAGCTTCCCGGACAACAAGATGTGGCGCTCTCTAAGCGTAGAGTATTGGTTCGAGCGCTCGCCTCGCGTGCGAGAGACCCCGGGTTGGATTCTGTGTTTCCGGGGTGAGGGGGAGGGGGGGGGTGGGGCGTGGAGGTGGGGTGGGGTGGGGGGGGGGGGGTACCAACCCCTTCAGTGCCTTCGCCGCCTCCTCCCTTTCCTCCTTCAAGTCCGGTCTCCAGACCTTTCTCTTCGACCGTGCCTTCAGCTCCCCTCTCGACTCTCTACCCCTCCTCGCTCCCTCCCTTCCCTCCCCTCACCCTGACCATTTCCCCCTCCTCGCTCCCTCCTTCCCTCCTCACCCTGATCATTTCCCCTCCTCACTCCCTCCCTTCCCTCCCCTCACCCTGACCATTTCCCCCCTATGCTCGGGTCCTGACCCAACTGTCCAGCGCCTTGGGACGTCCTCCCGACGTGAAAGGCGCTCAATAAATGGAATCTTGTTGTTGTTGTTGTTGGTCACTTCAATCCATGACTGTTTGTGGGGACGCTGCTGTGAGCGAGCGGCTGCCGTGTCTCGCCCACAAAATGTGCGGTCAATTCACTTTACAGCGCGTCCTGTGAAGCGTTTGCGACGACTGGAAAGCGCGATAAGGCGCTATGTCAAATGCAAGGATTATTACTATCTTTATTATCAATGGCAAGTTTTGCGGTTTTAGTTGATTCGGCTCCAGCAGTTACCCCAACTCTCACGCTGGGGACCCCAAGCCTCGGCTCTTCCCAGTCTAGTGCCTAATACTTTCTGGAATTAGGTAAGCAGAGTGTGCTTTCCTTTTCCAACAACCGAGGTATCTCTGGGATTTCCGTGGGATGCATGGAATGTCTGGATATTCTTGATGGGTTTCTGCATGTGTCATACACCCAGTTGACACCACCCCCCCCACCCCAAAATGTTTTTCCCTGAGAAAGACAATTCAGTGCCTAATTCCCTCCCACCCTTCTCCCCGCCATGTCCGCACACAAACACGCAAACATCCCATTTCACAGCAGGGAGGGAGTTTCAGAGGTTAGGAACTAGGTTGCAAAGGAATTGATATCTATACGGGAGTTCAGATAATGATAATTCACTTTAATAGTTACAGTTTATAGCATAATTTTGAACCCTCTTCCACCTTCCCCACCATTTAGTTGCAATACTTTCCGCACATTACACATACACTCTTTCTCTAAATTCACTAAGTCATTACTGCTCTCATCCCAGTATGCCACACACTGTTCACAAAGGCAAGCTGTCTTGGTGCTTTTAGTTGGCTAAACTCCCAACAGTACCCCAGGGCACACACTGGGGTCCTTAAGCCTTGGGTCTTGCCAACCTGTGCTGAATACACATAGGGATTATGTAAACACAAAGTGCTCCCCTCTGGGGAGAGTGTACGCTCCACTTCCAGAAAGAGAAATTTCCATGTATACGTGGAACTCTCAGTCTGGTTTGGATACTGTTAAGCATAGTGATGGGTGTTCTGCCTGTGCTATATACCCAACTGAGAAACAAGGGCACAGTAAAGGGAAGAAGAGCTGCAGCAAATTTGTCCTGTGAATTGAAGTTGGTTTAACAGGAGGCTTGTCTCTTTGAAAAAAGCTACTTATATGAGGACCAAGAGGGGACATGTATGCAACCACAACACATTACATTTGTATAGCACCTCACGTCGGGAGGATGTCCCGAGGCGCTGGACAGTCAGGGATTTGGACCCAAGCGGTGGTGGGGGGGAGGTGTGGTTCACTGTAGCCAATGGATGGATACTTAAGAGTCCTTGTATTTGTCAGCCTGGACAATGAGCTCAGTGTCCCAACGTGGGGCATCATCCACAGCCTTCTGACTCAGACACAGGAGTCCTACCAACTGTATGTGATACAAGAAAGTGATGATTTGACTCTTTTCTGTCATTAACATTTGAGTGTGTGCGTGTCTGTGTGTGTGGGGGTGGGAGGACTCCAGTACAGTTGTACCACAATCCACAAATGTAATTTTGTATTGGATTCTGATACAACTGTACTGGAGTCGTTCCAGTTACCGGCTCATGTGGGGGATACTAACGCTGCAATAAGCATGGCAGCGGTGGGTAAAATGTATCTCCACACTGCCCTCTGCAGCCTCCTGCGTAGCTTGTCCGTCTCCCTCGAGCTCCTATTTGAACGTTGCAAGGCACAGCGTGTGAATACGTGACACAGACCCCACACAATATTGGTCATCCAATAAAAATTCAAAATGCGGCTTTTTTAATATATATAATCACGATTCATGTGGTTGTAAAATAAAACCTCTTCTTTGGCTATGGGGCTGTTTCTTTTCTCAATATCTCCCACAAGACCAATGCTACAACTCGTATTCACCAGGCAATTGGGGAGAAAGGACATGACATCATTCCGGTTACCTGCTGTTTAGAGCCACGCAGGTCTAGGCAGGTGCAACCCTTTCACAGGCCTCATTCAGAGGCCGGCTACAGTCAAGCTGAAGCAGACAGCATCTTGGCTGAGTGAGAAGAAAAAGGGAGGAGGTTGCCAAAGTAAAGAATTTGTTTTACACATGTTCAATGAAGAAAGCAGCCTCGCTTGCAGCGCTGTCCTTTGATCATTAACAAATTTTTCCACTAGTGTTCGTCTCAGATAGCTAGGAAGCCCATCGACAGTCGAAGCTGGCTCCGTCATTTTAGTCCAAAACTCTTCGAACAGTGACGGATTTTTGTTTGTTTTAAGAAAACAAAGTCTCTATTTACGAGTTGAGTGAATTTTGCTATACTGTACGTGTTGGTATGTGACAAAACGGGCATGTTTTGAATCGTGAGGCTCCATTAAGGGAGAAAATGAATACTAAAAGGAAGGAACAAAATGGCCACTCACATCCCTGGTCTCTCTCCAAGTGGATATGGGGCAAGTGAAGCAATGTCACGTCAATCATAGATCATTACATCACTGCTGACTGATTCGAAGAAACTGCATATGACACAGTGGTGTCTATCCTCCTTTTGGGAGTGGTAGGGAGTTGGGAAAGTAAGCTGTGCTGGCTCCAAGTACATGTTTTTGCCAACGGAATATCAGAATCAAGTCAGCCCTCTGGGCAGGCTCAGTAATCCAGTTCCTGAGCCATGTGGGTCTGCAGTATTCTTGGCAGAACTGGGGTTGGGGTGCGGGTGTGTGTGGAAGGGGGGGCAGGGGAGCTGTCATTGGAAACAAGGACTCTTCCCACTCAGCTTCAGGTAACCCTACAAGCCAAAGTCCTAGCAGGTAGGGTAGTCCTAGCTGGTCAAGTAGGGTGAAGCTTACCACCCAGTGTTTTCAAAGGCAAACAACGTGGTTTTAGTTGGTTAAACGCTAGAGTTCTCAACATAGGCTCTGGGATCCCCAAGTCCTTTCTCTTGCCTGTGCCTAATACTCTCCAGAAATAGGATTGCAGGGTGTACTCTTGTTTGAGAGAGTGCGCATTCCATTCCAAACACAGGGAGATTTCCAGGTGTAGATGGCGTATATATGTGGAACGTTTGGTTTGATCAGGATATCCTTAAGCACAGTGATGAGTTTCCACATGTGTCAGACACCCAGCTGATGGGAAAAAAAGGACTTGTGTGGAGGATAGTAAGTCAATACAAAACACTTGGTCTCTTGCAGCTGGCTGCTTCCAGAAGACACTCACACATTTGCTCTGTGCCTAAGTCAGGATGTTGTGACTCCGGAACAGGAAGAATTGGAATTTTGTTGTCTATATATCCAAGTTATTTGGAAACATCGGGAGGATGTTATTGAATTCCAATGAGTACAGTACATGGTTTGTCAGCAATCTTGATGGATTACCAAGATAAAATGTGAGTTCCTGCAAAGAATGTGTTTCAAAATATATTGAAACTCATCCCTCAAAATACATTGAGGAATACGAGTATTGGAGGATTATATGGTAATATGTCTGATTAAAAAAAACGGTCTAAAACTATGTCGTTCACATGAGACATTAAATCAAGGCCCTTCCTGCTGGTCCAAATTCTATAAAACTATTTGAAAAGAGAAGGGAGTTTCACCTGGTGTCCCAGCCAACAATCCTTCAAATCAAATTGGTCATTCACTTCATGGCTATTTGTGTGATCTTGCTTGTGTGGAAATTGGCTGCTGTATTCACCCACAAAATACACATATTTTGTTTTTATAATGTTTGGCAATACTGAGTATGTGTATGTCTATTATACCTTGCATTGGTAAGTGGATTTGTACAAAGGAGCGACACTTTCCTTTGCAGGTGATGAAACTGATAAGCCACTATTTTTTAATTTCACCTATTTTTTTTTGCAACATTTCCCCCTCTCCCCAAAAGACTCATTTTCCCACTTACAGGACTATCACATGGGGTGCTTGCATAAGTAGTTATTATACATGTGTGAGGTTTGACGGTGAAGGTCAGGGAAGATAGTTGACTGTGAGGGCCATCGTACCAAGATCTTGCCCTTGGTTGGAGTCTACGCATGTGCACCTCCCTTGGGGACTGCCCTAAGCCATCAGAACAGTTGGACGAGTCTTTACTTGAACAGCTCATCAAAGGACAGTACAGTCCAGACACTGGATTCATTCAAGAAGCAGTTGGATTCTGTAATAGGAATACAACTGGGCTGGATGTTTGAAAGAATAAAAAGTAAGCCAAAAGGCTTTCTTCATCTTAACAACCAGGCTGCTAGGATTGTGAGTAAAATTTAATGTACATATAAAATTTGCTAAGAGGTGAATGCATGTTCTTAGCCC